AGGACAGAGATGGAAGTTCTGCAAAATATATGTCTGCATGTTAAGTGCAGCAACAGATGTAAAATCACAGTAAAACAGAGGTCTGTTTATTTGGCTGATAACTAAACTCATGCTGTATGGCTGTACATGCAATGACTGTATGTTCTACTATATGGTTGGTACTGACATCTGTAGTATCACTGTATTTTGTTGTGTTTACTCTCCATCAAAGCTGCTGTCAAACACAGATATAACATATCAAATAATAAAACAAAGAGTAAAGTCTAGACCTAGACTTTACAGATAAAGATTGATTGATTGATTGATTACTGTTACTCATGTGACTGTGCTAGTCATCACATGCTTAAAAGTGAATTTTCATACAACAGGATGTAGAGTTTTACATTAGATATTAGAATATGTATTAAAATTACAACCCAATATCAAACATGCAATAAAACGCTGTTTAGTCAAATTAGTTTTTGCACTTGAAATAAATGAATTGTTGTGAGAAATATCCTAAAGAATGGCAACATCTGTTTTTTAACTCCTCAAATATTGTTATTTTTTAGATTTTTCTAGTCCTCTAATCTTGTAAACAGAGTACGTTTGGGTTAACGAGAAGTTTGAGGATGTCATTTTGAGCATTGGGAAACTCAAGCAGATCATTTTCCTTTTTTTTGACATTGTATGGATAGAATGATTAATACCTGAAACAAATGATCTTTATAGGTAGCAGATACATACTTTAATAGTTTTTCCTCCAAATAGTTTAAAACTTAGATTTTATGTCAAAGTCTCATCTTAATTCGTCTCTAATTCAAATATGCTTTGTAATATATTTGCATCATTTCATGGTTGAGGAAAAAAATTAAAAATCATCTGCTGTGATTAATTCCTCTTCCTTCTCTCTCCCATTCCCACTTATGGAGTGTGAAGGTATCTTATTGTCACAGGTCTCCTCCTGATGTCTTCATGCCTTCGTCACTGATAACACAAAGCATTGACATTTATTTTATACGTCAGTCATGTTGACCGCTCTTTCCACTTAATTTGGTTTGATTTCTTTATTGTTTTAACGAGACCTTTATTGGAACTGAGGCAGAAGGAGAGTAAGGCTTAAAGAGCCTCAACAGAAGACAGATACCACTTGTATACATTTTGGTTTTTAAATTGTTGACTAGATTAAACAACGACGTATGTGGCATTCAACCCAAGCTTTATTTTTTAAGCACAGGCTACAGAAAAAAGGGAAAGTTTCTCTAATTGATCAAAGTATTCTGTCAACGTGTTTGTAGATATCATGTTGGTCGGTAGTGCTTGCTGTACTTTCATTTTATTTATCTGGTATACTGTGGTGTGCACACAAGATGTATCTTATGCCTCTTCCACTCCTCTTCGTTTTCACTGACACTTCATTGATTTCTTTTCTTATTAAAGTTTTTGGAGAGGAGTTTTTCCTTATCCTATGAAGGGCTTAAGAATTAAGGAGTTACGTTTTTTCTGCAGAGAGGTAGATTTTTTATCTTGGTTTTAAAAATGAAATTCAGGTGTAATTAAAATGTAAATAGTCTTACGTTTATAAATCCGTTATTCATATTGAAATGATTGTATATTATATTTGAAACATTGAGTTCCCTGTCTTGTTTTAAGAGTCTGCAGTTTAAATCCGGCTTTATATAGCTATGAAGTGATCACGTTTGAACAACGGTACTTTAATTAGCACCCAAGCTGTTTAATTGTGTTTTTATAACTCCTGTTCCACATGTTAGTGCTGCACACAATTTAATTGGGTATATTTTGAGTGTAGTCTGGAGGAGGATTCACAGAGGCGGATGTGCACTGAGCACAGATTTATCTGAACCCTAACCAGGGTTTTTACACTGATGTCCACATGGTTCAGTCATATGGGAGCTCAGGTTGAAGACTGCACGGCTCAATGGGTTAGTTAGCTTCCTTTTGTCATATGGCGATCTGAGCTCTGCGAGTGTGTGAGATGGACTGTAAACATGACCTGTGAAGAGCAGGGTCTGTACGGCTGCAGAGAAACGTGTATTATTCCGTGTGTCATCCTGCTTTGACTTTAATGATGAGAGGTTAGCGTGCAATACAGGACATAAACATTTGCAGCGCACATGTGTTTGTCAGTGTATGCTTAAGTGCATTATATTTCATGTTGTGCTGAATACCTAAGAGATAAGCAGAAAATGTATATATACTGTATCTCATAATATGCACATATTCAATGAGAGAAGGTAAGATACAGTGAGTTTCTTTACAGCACAAATAAACTACGATGACTCAGAGATATATTTATGGTCATCCCCAAAGGCCTCTCTCTCTTTCCACTCTGTCTTCTTTTCTCTCCGTCTCCCTCACTCTCCTCTTCCGTCTCACAGTTTAATGTGCAGATGCTTGAATAAATCACTGATTAATTAAGAGGGAATGGTTTTCATTTGCTATTACATTCAACATGCTTTTCCAAACCAGGAAGTGGCAATTTGCATGAATTGACTTGGCTTGGAAGTTGGAGCGCTCAAACTGTTCTGACAAAGCATGACATGCTCGTTTCAGTATCTTGACAATTATAACTCAATGAATGCTGTAGAAAACACTGGTGGAAATATGATCTCAAAATTATTTATTCTCAAATTTAAGGAAGCTGTTAGTGGACACCATCCATAGTTTTTATTAACTCTGCTTTTCTGTGATTATGAGTGATTTCCGCTGGTTTCCTCGAAATCTCGATTTATTTATCTAACTTCCCCGGAGTAATTCCCGTCAGACTGCCCGAAAATTATCCTGTTTTCACAAGAAAACATACTATGTTATCTTAAGTGCAATTTATTGAGCGCAATAAATTAATCCGTTATAATAGGAAAACCAGCTTTGTTATCCTCAGAAAAATAGGTCTAGATCCTGAGAAAATATCCGCAAATGACCTCCTATCATGCCTTACTGACACCAACAGGAACTGAAATTGCAGTTTTCTGTCAGTCCCTTTTTTCTGTAAACACCTCTATAATAGTTCACCTCCCCCTTCCTTCCACCCGGTGGACCGTTGTGTTCTCCCTGCTCCCTCTAGCCCAAGCTTGCTCCGACATAGAGGGAGCAGCCATGAGCTTAACTCAACCTTTTACTTCACTAACAAAGAGTCCCATGTCTCTTATTGTGGACTAAGTGCTTCTCACAATCTGCAGTAAACTGCTGGGAAAACAAGCCCGCAGTCCACAGTGCTCCTGTATTCATGGTGTTCAAAGAGACCACGGAGCTGCGACTAAAGGACTGCCTCAGGCTGAGGATCTATTATATATGTGTGTGGCTCTAGGCATTTGCCTGTTTTTTTTCATTTCTTATAGGACCTAAAGGGCAAGACATGTGAAATGCTACAAGACTCTTATTGACATTCACTAAACATGTTTAGCAGCCTGGGTGGAGAGATGATATGGTGTCTGTGTGAATAGGGCATCACTCTGGTTTCCTATCTCCAGGGAGGTCCTAGAACTGTCCTAAACAGCTGAGTCATCCTGTGATGTGTCATCCTCCAGCACTAACATGCACATAGCACCTTTATCCAGCTGTGCTATTCTGTTGTCTGCTGTGCACCCGATCGACCTCGACCTGATGATTTGTTCTGCCCGTCTTTGAAACAACCCGAGAAGAACACAATCCTGCATCACTGCGTCTGATCTCTACATACCCTCTAAAACATGTATCAAAGTGTGTTTGCACAGTTATTGAACATTTCTCATATATTCATCATGCATCAGTGAGTAAAAGATTGGTTGACTGGTTGTTCAGTACTAAAATATTGCATTTTATAAATAAATATTCCAAGATGATAACAAAAAGTTTTTTTGTTTTGATCTTCCACTGTATTCAATGTGATGCTGTGAAATATGTTTTATTCCTCACACAAATCATTACGCCTGTGGTCTTTTTGTCCTAGTTTGAGGTTTCTCACACTCTTCTGGTTTTTATGGTTCTGTAAATATGTGCCGAGACATCTTTGGAAAGACTGAGAACCAAATCAGATCAGACAGAACAAACTTGACTATTGGAAAATAAAACAACATTTTATTGGGATTTTGTGTTTCTCTAAAAATGTACAGACGCTACAGTCCTCATGGCAGCGGCCGTGGGTTCGAATCCGACCTCGGCCCTTTGCTGCTTGTCGTCCCCCACTCTCTCTTCCCTACATTTCCTGTCTCTCTTTCGGCTGTACTATCTAACAGAGGCAAAAAATGTCACACATTTAGATTATGGTTGCAGCATATAGGGTTAGTCTTGTTAAATGATTTAATGGGACTATAATGTATTTTTATTGCTGATTATTATTGCAGTCCACTGCACAGCTCCTACATTGCACCTTTTGTACATTTTGTGTTTTTTATCTTTATTTTTTATCATTTTATATTTTACATTTTTAAATTCTATTTTATATATTGTAATAGCTTCTTATACTGTATTATTTAAGTTGTTGCTAGTTCTGTGTTATTTCCTTGTTAATTGTTTAGCACCAATACACAAAGTCAAATTCCTTCCTTCCTGTAAATGTACTTGCAATAAACCCCGATTCTGATTAGGGTAGCTATTTAAATATGATGACATTAATATGAGATTAGATTCTAAGAGATGCAATGACAAACAATAGGTGAGAGAACTTCTATAAAAACAGAACTCATTAGTTTTGTAATTCAGCTATAATTCTTCACAAATAAACAATGTATATTCACAATGTGCATTAAACAGAATGAAGCTGTACATAAGCCATATTTCAACATTTCAAGTATCTGTTCAATATTCTACTGAGGCTTCTTTTGACAAAAGTTGCTCCGTCTTCTCTCCATGGAGCCATGTACTACAGAACTGCACACTCATTTCTGCATTGATGTTTGACTCCTCTGCGTCTTTTTCTGTGCATAATTTATTGTATAGATACTTCTTTTATTAATGACCATCCATCTAACTAGTTCCTATTCAAATCAAATGATTCTCTGTTTTTCTCCTTGTGTCTGCAGGAAACAGTTGAGTATGCCTTCCTCATCATTTTCACAATTGAGACCTTTCTGAAGATCATCGCTTACGGTTTGGTGATGCACCAGAACGCGTATGTGCGGAACGGTTGGAACATGCTGGATTTCGTCATTGTCGTCATAGGGTAAGTGCTGAGCATCAGTTATTTTAATTGATTGATTTGACTAAAACAAAGTATTTGATCTAAATGAATACCGACATGCCAGCTGATCCAAACATGTCGTAAGGTTTTTGATATTGTTGTCCAGGCTCTGGCTTTGCACTTGGACATCAGTTTAACACTTATGGTTGACAGTGTTTCTGTTTAAGTTGCTTAAGCCTCTACACTGAGCGACCAAGTGCTAATAGAGACCCTCATACACCCACAGTATATGACCCAGAAAAGACAGAGAGAATAAATCAGAGCTTTACCACCGCTGGAATGAGTCACCATCTCTCCATACTTCATCTCCTCTCCAACACTCCCTCCCAGATTTCTCTCCTTTCACTGACTGTCTTTCTCTCTCTCTAGCTCTCTGTTCCATCCGGCTCTGCAGCTTTGTTTTTTTTTTTTCCAATTCTTCCCCCTTCCATTTTGATTTCTCAAATTGTGCACTTCCTGCTTCACCTCCTCCTCCTCCTCCCCACCTCACTCTGCCCTCTTTCCTGTCTCCTGCTTGCTCTTTCTCTTGTTGTCTTCATCTTTAGTGCAGCTTTTTTTTTTTTCTCCTCCATTGTCCTTCCTCTCTCTCCTCCGTCTTTCACTCCTCTCACACACACAGTCCAGTGGGTAGCTGGGTCAGATTTGTTTATATGCTGCATGCAGGCTTGTTCTGCCATGCAGCCAAATGCAAAGACGGCTGCTCCTGCTCTGAAGGGTGACTGTTACTGCCCAAACATCTAAAAGAACTCGTGTCAGAGGTCAAGTTTCAGTCCACTGCATCAACAGGCTATGCTTTTTTTTCTTATATTTTTAGATTCTAACAGTTTATATATATGCCATGGTTTAAAGAAGTTTAGTAAAGACGTGTCTCTCAAAGCATGCCTAGTTCCCTTTTCTCCTCTGTTACAATGTTTGACAACACAATTTAGACAACACAACCTTATAGTGATAACATAACCACTTTCTATTATATATATGTGTTATGTTATCTAGTCTATCAAATGTATTACTGTTGCTTGAGTTGTAAGAGGTTCAAGAGTCTGAAATACAGTGAAACTAGTGGAGGACTTACACATTAGAAAAAATATTTTATGTTCTCAAACACAGTTGTGTGTTTTCCAAAATGATTGTTGAGAACATAAGATTTGTCGTAGATGTACTGAAACATTTAGTGTAAACTCGCTCTCAGATTGTCTAACTACTGAAGAATGCATGTTGACATTAATCAGCTGGACTGGTATGTTAAGTGATGCGTCACTATTTAACCCTGTTAAAGTTTGATTCCTCAGGTATATTCAGTTAAGAAGGGTCAATAATACACGACTGTAGTTTTCTTTTGAACATGGCTGGGTGAGTAATGACATCCCAGTGGCAGGCAGTCAGTCTTACAGCTGTGACTCAGTCTAACATAAGTCTGAGCAGAAGGAGCTTATAGGCCCTTAGAGCTCCCTACAGACACCATCGACAGCTTCAGTCTCGGCTCTGAGTCCAAAGCTCTGATGTGATGTGTGGGGATGATCTCCCCTCTTGGCTAGGTGAAAAATGTCTAACTGACTGTAATGAAAGGTCCTCTATCCTCATGAAGATTTGGTCACTGCAGAGAAGTCAACAGCTATGGAACTACTTTTAACGTATGTGCAGATGCTGCTGCACTGTACAACACTACCGATTAGAGCGGTACTGTAACCCTTTCTCCTGCTGAATTCCTGATTGGTATTTCTCCCAGAAGATTAAATGGTGTCCTCATATGTTTACACATTACAGACAACTCAAATGAAATCATTAGGCTTCTATTTCATTCCTGATTTGAGTTTAACTGTGAAATATATATAAAAATGTTTCCTTGTTGCAGAAAAACTGCTATTCTAAAATTGCTAAGTGGTCACTCATCTCTTAACTTTGCTCCAATGTGATGAGATTCTTGGGGGGCCCCCAAAATGGCCAGCCCTGCTTCCACATCTGTTGATTGAATTTATAAAACTGTGGTTTAGGGTTATATGGGGATGGGGTCGATGGGGACAAGCTGATTTTTCCCCATATCTCCCTCTTTATCACATCCTAATGTTGGCAGGTAGGCTGCCACTCAGCTTTTTGTAAATAAATAACAGATAATTTCTTCATCGAGTCCTAAAAGTGTATTTACCATCTTTGAATTGTAATGATTTTTTTTTTTACATAGGAACATAGAAATTGTATTCATCCAAGTACATCTTGTTTATGTTAGCATGGTCTGTGGGTGGTTGTAAATCAAAATAATGCAGAAAAGTGTTTAGTTTCACAGATAAAGGATACTTCATGATGAGAAGCATTCAATTAGAAATGTTCTGAACCAGAAAATACTTTTTTGTAGACATACATTTAAAACAAATTGTAATAATTTCATGCCCTTAAGGTCACCTTGAGGCTCCAGAACTCCAATATTGCAGTCTTCATATGTAAAGCTGCACAACAAATGAATGTCAGGATGTAGTCCTAAATCTTGGATCATTATGCAGGGTTTGTCCTGAATATAAAACGAGGCGGCCGTCCTCCGCAAATCTTGTACAGCCCCTAGCCCCCGTAAAAGTCTGATGTGTGTTTTCATTAAGAACATGTTTCCCACAGACAGCACTTAGTGAAGTTATCATTTATAACTGCAAATACTGTTTGTAAAAAGTGTTTGTTTTAAGCCAGTGTGCACAGTACAGACGTGTGTGCACACGGTAATAAAGGTACCATCTCAACCTCATTTTCAGCCAGGAAAAACCCTGTTATGTCCAAAGTGTGGCCCCTACTGAAAGCATAAAAATATATCAAAAGCTTGGTCTGAGATACTAACTTTTGCAGTTAAAAGGAAGAGTTGTTATGAACAAACTGTACTATCAGACACAGGAAAGTTTTAGTTTTGTTTAAGAGTCTGAATTTATTTTATTTAATGAAGCAATAAACCATAAATTCAATAGAGAGAATGAAAATGATTTGTTGCACTGAATAGTTATAGCCTTTGCTCAATGTTAACTCCTTTTCCTAGTCTTACCCACTTTTAAGCTTCTTTAGGAGTCGGCACTAGATAGGGTTCAAAACTGATTCTGTCCTTCATCAGCCTGTACTTCAACCTTTCATGAACGTTTAAGCTAAAAAAAGGCCACTAGATTTTCAGTAATGCTTGCAGACAGACAGACAAATGTCTCATAAAGACATAAAGTTCAAATAATCCTGCTGGAACAACTTCTGTTAAAGATGTCCCTGAAGGACATTACTGATGTGTGAGACAAACACAGCAGGGTTTTGATGACTTATAATTAGTGAGAAGATTCTGAGGATTGGAGTTATCAGCTGTATGAGGAGGAAGACAGTGTTGTTTGACGCACTTACCATAGGTATTCATTACAGGAATGGACTTAAACCTGTTATGTATACCTTAATTTTACAAATCAGTAACCATAGAACATCAACAAGCCTACACAAATGTCCAAGACAGAAAAAAAAAAGAAAAAGACTTTGAAAAGCTGTAGAAAAGGAACACGCTTCCTGGACTCAAAAAAGTTTGTTTTTGACAACTCAACTCAATTGACCTTATAATTAAATGACTCATACTAATGCTTGATGAGGATCATCTGGAAAATCTAACGTACTTTAAATCCATTTGGGATACAAACACATTGCATATTGTTTTCCTGGAGTGGACAGACTAACATTGTGAGGTTCTCTCTTTGTTTTCTGACAGACTCTTCAGTGTTGTCTTGGAGCTTTTGACCAAAGAGGAGAAGATAGAAATTGAAGGGGACATTAACCATCCGTCAATGCATGGTCATGGTGGAAAACCAGGTGGATTTGATGTTAAAGCCCTTCGAGCCTTCCGTGTGCTGCGACCCCTGCGGCTGGTCTCAGGAGTACCCAGTAAGTAGTGAGGCTCTCTGCACCAACTCACAGTCAGCTGATGTGAACACGGTCAACCCAATATTTGATTTACTGTATACTTCCTGTATTATATAATCATTTTAGTTCTATGAGTCCCAGTGAGTGTTGTGTTGCTTGAAGCGTTCCTCATAGTTAAAGGGCCAGATTTTCTCCTTACCATCCCTGAGGACTGTTTTTCAATAACATCTGTCAACATCTACATCAGCGCCCGAGAGACATGAGCTCTGGGTGTAATGAAAACATGCAACACAAACAGACTCGGAGCAAACACACTGACACATTTATAAACCATGTTGTTTTATATGTCCTAACATTTATACTGATATTCATTTAAGTCATATCTGCTTGTGTAAGAAACATTCAGTCCAGGCTGTTGTTTAACACAGCACACGTGCTGTATGTTGACATCTGTTATGTTAAACATTTGATATGATCATAACGTGAATCATCATTATTTATACTTTTAACATAGTCTAAACTTCTGAAGTGCATCGATACTGTTAGAATAATTTACATATCAAGATCATGCAGAGTTAATGAATGAACCATATGGACAGTTCATATTTGTGTCATGAGAACAGAGTCTGTAAGTAGCTGACGTTTGTAGCTGTATTTTCAGATGTGTACTGTTCATGCACACACTACAACAAAATATGATGTTTCTTTTCTTCCTTGCCCAGGTTTACAGGTGGTGTTGAACTCCATCATTAAAGCCATGGTCCCTCTTCTCCACATTGCCCTCCTGGTCTTGTTTGTCATTATCATCTATGCTATTATCGGCCTGGAGCTGTTCATCGGCAAAATGCACGCAACCTGCTATCTTCCTGGTTCAGGTACGCCCTCTCTTTTGTCTGTTTTACATTAAAATCAAGTCATCTTTCATTCTCTATACAGCATTATTAAGCTCCAATATGTTTTTATTTTAACACATATCTGCATTTAGATTGAGGATCTGCGGGTAAGGGTAGTAACTGTTTAATGTGACCCAAAATGAGTCCATATAAGGGACTTTTATCCCTATTTTACACTCATTTGATTTAACTAACCATGACATTAAAAAAATGACATTAAAAGTCACACCCATAGTACATTTATACAATTGTTCTTACAACGTCTGTGTGGATGTTGTTTATGGAAACAAAATTTGAAACTGACATTGCAAGTCCTCCCGATCAGTGGTCACAAACTGAAAGAACAAGCAAGTGTTGGGCTGCAGATTAAAAAAACTATATTAAAGTTTGATAACACAATTAATCCAAACGGGTCAGGAACTTGGTTCAAAGATTTGCTTTTGTTCATGTTTCTGTGCTCAACATCAACTAAAAGCCAAAGAAAGACCTCAATACAAAACAGCAGAAAGTCACAAAAACTCACCAAAGTCACAAACTTGCAGTGGACTCCCCATTTGACAAACAAACAGGCTGCACGGATCCAACAAGAGCTTTAAATACTTCCTGGTCAAACCACCTTACAACCAGCAGGGGTAAAGTTCAACAGACTATTAAAGCGGTTAAATATTTCTAACATAAATCTTCCATAAGTCTTTAAAATGTGCAACAACTGACAACAAGTCCTCAAGCCAAACTTCATTTTACCACAGCTTGTTCGGAACACAATACAAAAAAAGAACCCAATGCACCTTCCCCAAGTCTTACTTGGTACAGTCCACAATGCCAAAACCTGGTGGACCAAGAGGCATTCATGTGCACTTGTTTATTAGAGGACCATCCTCAACCAGGAAGTAGACCTCCACGGGAACAAAAATAATAAGAAAAAATCAAACAAGAAAACAAAAAACAGGAAGTCTTTGTTATTTATCAACTATAGATGATTCTAATTTACATCACATAAACAAAACCAGATACTGTATTTGAATGAAATAAATGAAAGGACTGTTCCCTTACTGGATAGTGAGTGACATCGCCTTTGCTAATAGTTGGGCTAAGCATGCTATGTGCCAACTGTGGAGTAAAAACCCATTATTAGCTAATTGTGAATATTAAATGATTACTCTGAAATCAAAGAATGTAAAATATTAAAAAGTAATGAATGAAATGAATGTGTAGGTCTGATATTGAACTTCAACTCTCACCTCTCCCTCTGTAGACACGTTAGCAGAGGACGAACAAGCTCCATGTGCGATCTCAGGGCACGGACGCCAATGCCCTATCAATGGCAGTGAGTGCAGGGAAGGCTGGCAAGGTCCCAATGGTGGCATTACCAACTTTGACAACTTCCTGTTTGCTATGCTGACGGTGTTTCAGTGCATCACCATGGAGGGCTGGACGGACGTGCTGTACTGGGTGAGACTCCCATTCTGCCCTTCCTCTTTACTTCCTTCTGCCACTTGCCCTCAGCTGAAGTGTCTCCTCAGATCAGACATGAAGCTGATGATATTTTCCTAAGGCAGTTTTTTTTCCTGACGTGATTGATTTACTAAGTAATGTCATTCTTTTTTTACAACTAATAGTAATAATGCAATGCTGTCCTGTCCTTGCTGGCACTTTTTCTATCAGATGTCTGTTTTTCTTCAAAGGAAGAACAAGCAACTTCTGTCTAACTTTTGTTCTGCTCTTTTTTTCTGACAGTTTCTACCTTTAACAGTTTATTTCACTCTTCTTCTTTCTCTCTTCCTCCTCCTGTTCTTCCTCTGCGGTGACGCTTGTTCCTCCAGATGAATGACGCTATGGGCTTTGAGCTTCCATGGGTGTACTTTGTCAGTCTTGTGATCTTCGGCTCGTTTTTCGTGCTTAACCTGGTTTTGGGTGTGTTGAGCGGGTAAGCACCTTCCTGTCTTCCTCTTGCTGACAGAGACCCTCTGCTTGATGTCAGGCTGAAGGTTCTCTTTTCTGATTTTTTTTTTTTTTTTTTGTGTCTGTTAACCGGCTCCTATTGGCTCCTGTAGGTCAACGATGCCATTGGATGCGAAACTCCTTGGATTTATTTTGTTAGCCTGATCATACTGGGCTCCTTTTTCGTCTTAAACCTTGTGTTAGGTGTCCTAAGTGGGTAAGAGGCAGCTTGTGGATTTGGTCTGCTGTGTTAAAAGCATGTTTGCAGTGGTTTTTAGCACTACCTGCTTTGCTTTGATAGTTTACTACCAATTAGACTATTTATGAAATCATAATTATCTGTTGAAAAGTATTAAGATATTCAACCCATCTTGGTCTTCTTTTTGTTAGAGCATTGAGATAATGTATTTCCTCATTCAAGCATTCATCATGGTGTCAAAATATCACGTCCTTTCAAGGGCAACCGCAAAGTCAGACCTTCACTCTGCTTGATTATGAAACCCACAAGTCTACAACTAACGCTATTTCCATGTCAACTCACAGAAACCAAAGCTGGTAAAAATGAGTCCAGTGAAGAATCTAAAATGTTGATATTGGTTTTGTCAGTGTGGCACTTGCTAAAAATCTATCCTGGAACCAACCGACAATCCAACCCACCCAGTAAATACACAAATGAATAGAATAAGTAAATAACATGCAAATAAGTGAATACACAAATTAATAGAAAAATAGATAAATAATAGATAAATAAGTAAATAACATGCAAATAAGTGAATACACAAATTAATAGAAAAATAGATAAATAATAGATAAATAAGTAAATAACATGCAAATAAGTGAATGCACAAATAAAAAGATGAACAACTTAACACACGGATGAATATATAAGTCTGTTTTGGACATTACCAGGGTCATATTTGGATGAGCTTGTGTACAGAACTTGCCAAATTTGATTTCACACCATGAAATACAATTTTGGTGTAACTTAAAACTTCTGAGCTCCAACTGAGACAAACTTTAAATGCTTTTTTTTTTACACATATCTACATGCCCAAATTAACATTTTGCTACAGCGCCATCTATTGGTAAGGCACAGTAAGCCCTGTGCGAAACAGCTAATCTGGTTTATGTTTTGTCCAACAAAAATGACAATTCACAAACTTTTCGACTCTTCTGTGTCTGATACTGTAAAGACACTGTGGCTAAACAAACGTCAATATGTGCAGAGGTTCGCATGGATGTTTAGTACTAGTCCTTTATATTTATCATCGTCTTTAAATTTTAAATCGCTCACCTAAAGTCATCAACTCTCCTTGTATATTTGACTTAATGCTCACAGAGTACAGTTCACGAATGAATAAATGAAACCTTTATTGCCTTGCACAGAGAGCATAAAAACACAATAAAATGAACATTTACAGGACAGCACATAAGAACACATAAAAACACACTAAAGCATCACATGATTCAATGAGGGGTTTCAGCAAGTTAAAGTTAAGTGCAGAGTGTCAAGTTCGTCCTGTATAATCATGGCTTATTAAGCAGCTGAATACTGCTTCTGGGCATTCTGTACCTGCGCCCTGAATTCAAGAGTTCATACTGTGACCAAAGGGGATGCAGAGGGTCAGCTGAGATCTTGATGCCTACTGTACATAGGTTTCAGTTATAACTATAGCATGGCATGCTGTGAATATATTTACATGCTGTCCTCCGAATCCTCACATATTGTAGCTTACACTGTTTATTTAACCTATGAATTTAGATGCCATGCAAAAGTTGCGTGTCTCTTTAAACCATCTGTCCACAGAAATAGACTTTTCTGTATGATTAAGATGCTGAAGGATAAGAGCTACTGTATAGACGGGCTCTATATATAGAGCTGTCATCATTCAAAGGTGTACATCTCCCTCCAGTGGCTACGGTTCACTAAAACACACTAAGGCATTAAAAGGGTGTCAACTCACAGTAATCAACACATCACATGAAGTGTGTGAATATATAAACATACAACTGGGAATATACAAGAAATGTATATTCAGGATATCTAAAAATGTTTTCATTAGATTAAGCGTAAGAGAAAAAAAAATTGTTTGTTTATGTTTTGTGTGAAAAATGTTTTGGGGTTTTTGCTGTGAAAGTACGTTTCTGTTTATGTGTGTGTAGGGTTGTCATGATACCAGAATTAAAAAAAATAGAGGTGGTTTTAGTAAAAATCAAACACTAGCTGTTTTGATCCCATGGCAACAAAATAAAAGTCCCAAAATTGGGTAATTTCTTCTTTTTAAATAACAAACTCCTGCATGCTGTCCAAATTGTACAAATACGTACGCAAATCAGTGCTGTCTCTCTTTCGCTTGGGCTAAAAATATGACGAATATTTTTTTAAAAGCTGAGGTACTTTTTGACACTATCGATCAGTAAAATTACAGAGATTGTATCGTTCTAAAACACTTGCTACTGAAAAGTATCAAAACAATTAGACAGCCTTATGTGTGTAATTTTTTTTCCTTGTTTGGTTATTCATGCACTCCTGTGTGTTTTGCATCTGTTTGCGTTTGTTGTATGCCCGTGCCTTTTGCAAACCCAGAGAGTTCTCCAAGGAGAGAGAGAAGGCAAAAGCTCGAGGAGACTTCCAAAAGCTGCGTGAGAAGCAGCAACTGGAGGAGGATCTGAAGGGTTACCTTGACTGGATCACTCAGGCCGAGGACATCGACCCCGACAATGAAGACGAGGCCGAGGAGGAGAGCAAACGCAACCGTAAGCACCCTGTTCTGCTCCTTTCCTCTGTCATGCTTAGTAACACTGCACTCATAAGCCACACTTCAATACAGCAAAGTGATACAATCTGTTTCCACCACATGGAGAAAAATATCCAGCAGTGTGTGTTATTGTTGGCTTGAGAGGGCTGTGATTTCTGCAGCTATAATTAGGCCTTTGTTTATATAATCAGCGAATGCAAGGGTTTGTACTCTGGAAATCTTTAATGTGTCATAGTGGGAGTTTGGAAGGAAAACGCAGTGGATAACCTACAGATAATTCCTCTCAGGAGGAGAAATATTTATCCACTGTTTAAAACCTTTTTCAAAACAGAGTAGATGCTTATACTTTCAGTCCTGTGTGTTTTTAGATGTAGAGTGCTCAACCATGGTGAAGCATATCGAGCATAGATACGGAGGAAACATGAGTCTGTTATGTATAAAGTGACACAGAAGTGTTCTTACCTTTTAGCCTCCATGCAAAAAAAAAAAACTACTGGAAAGGAGGCAACAATGGCACAATAGTCCATAATCAATCAATCAATCAATTTTTATTTGTATAGCGTCAACTCATAACAAGTGTTATCTCGAGACACTTTACAAAAAGCAAGTAAAATACCTTACTCTTTGTCTGTTAACATTACAAAAGAGCAGGTAAAAAGACCTTACTCATTGTTATGTTACAAAAAGCAGGTAAAAGACCTTACTTATTGCTATGTTACAAAGATCCGGCCTATCCATCATGAGCACTTTGGCAAAGCAGCAAAAGTTACAGTGGTAAGAAAAAACTGCCTTATTAAAAGGCGGAAATCCTCGGCCGGATCCCCGGCTCATGATGAAACAGCCTTCACAGGCCTAGACTGTGCCAGGCTTGGAAAGGGATAGGGGGAGAGATGGGATAAGATGCAGGAAGAGGAATAGGGAGCAAGGGGGTGGGGGGAGGCAAGCCGTCCATCAACAATCCGGTGGGGAGGGGATGGGGATGGGGGGGGGGGTTGTTCTGGCAGGCCGTCAACCAACGATCTTGAGGAGCCTAAGAGAGCTCAAGAGCTCCCAGGAAAGTAGGTGGTTAGTGACTGAGATTTACAGATAGATACATGCAGTAATATGATGTACTGTATATGCAGAGAGAGAGAGAGAGAGAGAGAGAGAGAGAGCGAGAGAGAGAGAGAGCGAGAGCGAGAGAGGAGCTCAAGGTGCCAGTTCCCCCGGTAGTCTAAGCCTATAGCAGCATAACTAAGAGCTGGTCTATACCAGCACCAGCACCAACTATAAGATTTGTCAAAAAGGAAAGTTTTAAGTCTATTCTTAAAAATACAGACTGTGTCTGCCTCCCGGACCCCGGCTGGAAGACGATTCCAGAGGAGAGGAGCCCGATAACAAACTTATTGCAAGTCCAGCCTGGTTTGGCTTTTTATGAAGTATTTTTGGGGTTGTAGAAGATCAAATGAGTCACACGAAAACTAAGTATGTTGATTTCCACACGTTAAAGGTCAGATACACGAAAATAACTTCAAAATGTGTTTGCATTTTAAACAGTTAAACACCCTAACAGTTAGACGTTTAATAAAGGCTGTAATGTGTCCCTTACTAATTCAGAATTAGTCAATGTGACTTAAAAAAACCCTGCATACAAACACAGCAGCATGTAGTGATTTAAAGACTGCGGTTTAGCACATAAACAAACGAGATGTTTGAACCTGAGCTCCAGACCTCATTTCCTTATCTTCACGCCTAATGTATGTCACTGATAGAAGTGAAGCACGCCTCGAGTACCGCTGGAGTTTATCTGGAAAGGGGAGAAGGAAGAAAAAAATGATATTACTTGAGCAGTAGAAAAAACTCTTAATCCAAATCCTCTTTATATAAGCAGCACACACCATGCAGAACAGAGAAACTGCCACTGATTCACTCTAAAGTGTGAGTGTGAGGTTGCAAAATTTTACCCTCTGTCTGCTCCCCTCATTTAAATGTACTCTGGCCATTTACTGTTGCTTCTCCCACCTGTCTTTTCCTCTTGTTATGTTTAAATATACATGTTAAACCCCCTTACCCTGGCCCTTGCAGCAAACATTTACCATACAGTGAGATTTTAAGCTATGGAGGTTCTCATGCAGGTCCATGCTGCTTTTCTCTCAACATCCATTCTGGCTTTTGGTGTCTGTCAACGAAACATAAGCCCCTACTAACATGTTAATATGCACAGACGTTAATTTGCACTGGAACATGTTAGTACAGGGTCCATTCACCTGCGGGTGCTTCCAGTGACTAACGGCTCTCAATGTTGTTCTTCTGCCCTCCTCAGTGTCTGCAGCCTGTGGCTCCTGCTGCTCTTGCCTTTGTTGGATATTGATATTTTGAAAACTGTTGTTGTCCTGTGGTGCTTGTCTGCTCTGACCCATTTTGATAGCTGACCATTCTCGCCCTCCCCCCTCCCCCATGTCCCCTCTGCTGTGCCGTTGTGTATGAATGCATGGACTTGCATGCATTACACATGAAGGGGTGACTTTGGCTGACCTCACTGAGAAGAAGAAAGGAAGGTTTGGGTGGTTCAGCCAGTCGTCCGACACTCATGGTAAATCCTGTGCTTTCCCTCCACTGTTCTCTAGCTCTTTTGTTTGTATGTCTGCGTCTGCACGTGAGTGTGTATGTGTGTGTTCAATGCTCAAATTTATCTGGACAAAATGATTCATCGGCTATGTTCAACACACAAAAAAAAAAAAAATCAACAACATTGTACACAGAACATTTAGTGCATAAAGAACCATAAATATAAAAGAGCTATAGCTAATTGCATAATGTTTCTTAAAGGGCCAGCTGTTTATAAATACCGTGCTAAATTACAAATTGGTAAAGAATCAATCATCTCTGCTGCACAGATACACCATATCATGTGTGAATTAAATGCATTCTAAATTAACCAAAATTGTAAGATTCATTGGCCTTAAATTTCCAGTTGGACCATCCTATACGACTGTGTGTGTGCGTGTGTGTGTGTGTGTGTGTGTGTGTGTGTGTGTGTGCGCGCGTGTGTATGTGTGCAGCGTTATGTAATACCTCATCACTCTGTGCTTTACTATTGTGTTAACCTGGTGTGTCCAAGCATTGCAGCCTTTTCCAGTTTTCTCCTTTTCCCTTCCTCTTTTTTTTCCCCGAGGACCTGCCGGTTCTAAATATTTAAAAAAAATTGCCCAATCTAATATGGAATTGAAGTACAGCTGTGTTTCATAGAAGGCACACCCTGTTTCCCTCCCATGTCCCATTTCAAAAGCAGGGGCTCAGTGTGAATATGGGAAACAGGGCTAAACCCAGATCACTACACCAGCAGTCAGCACTATTTTCAGAGCTAAGAGCTGTCCGACCAATCAGGAATCAAAGCCAACGCGTCTACATAAGCCAAGCAGCAGCACACAGCGTGCTCCCTTATAAAGCAGTGAGACTTTTCACACAGTTAATCATCATGTGTCTGCACACACAGTATCTGCAGAACTCTTAGTGTTGCATTTCAGAGACAGCTCTAAGAGCCCTGCTCCCCTCTTCCCTCTGCTCCTCATTGTGTGCATCAGTCAGCCCTCGTGGAGCAGCTGTCCACTCGCCTGTCCCATGTCAGCTCCCTTTCAGCACTGGGTAAATGATACTAATGATGACAGTGATGCACAGCCACAGCGCTCAGCTTTTTCCTTTTCTATGAGGCCACAAGTTTGGTAGCTGCAGTGAAGCATTTCTATTTTTAATGTCACTATCCAATAATTGTGATGAACTTGGATACGTTTTTTGTAATCCTTTTTATCTTTTATGTTTTGTAAAGTATTTTTTTAGTGTTTCCCCTGGGATTCAATGCACCATGCTCTATTTGAAGAGTCTTGTGACAAGTGATTATTTTTTTGTAAACGTCTGCTTTGTTTATGCCGCTGCAGCAAGCGTTCCAGCCAGTGAAACAGAATCTGTGAACACTGAGAATCAAGCCGAGGTGGATGAAAAGACTCCATGTTGCGGGCCTCTGTGGTGAGAACCCTAAAACAATTTGCACGGCAAACATTTTTAACTAAAAAAGGCCACTGTTGGTCGTGGAAAAATGGTCAAAAATGCAAAGCAAACAACTCACACACACATTCTTATTGTTCTTCTACAGTGCAATGCATCTGAGTTTTGCATTTATTTATGTTGTTAAACAAGGCTAACTAATCAGTGCTCCTAACAAACCTCTGCTTCAAACCTTAAACTTTGATTTTCACTTCTTTTTCAGTCAAAAGATTTCAAAGTCAAAGTTCAGGTGAGTATATTTGTGGGTTTGTGTCTCTGCGTGGTACATAAAGCTTAATACTGTGACTCTGTTAGATTATACAGATTTTTATATTTAAGTGCTTGGCTTTCATTTTACTGTATTTTAATGAGACTTTACAGGGGAATAATACATCAACAGCTTTTATAAAGTCAGCATGTACCACAAATCACAAGGTGTTAAAAAAGAGCCTATTGCAGGATTTTTCAGCTCAGTTACTACACATTATGACTTGCAAAAAATATACTGATTCAGTTCCCTCTTTGCCTTACTGCCTTACAACTCTTTAACATAACAGCTGAAAGATTACCTTGAAAAAACATGGAGTCAATGTTTTTAATGTAGTACTTCAATTTGATATAATATTATGAAATATTATCAGTGAGCAGATGTTTTTTCCATGCTTTTAAAAGCAACCTGAGTCATATTTGTGCTTCTCTTCTCTTTTCGTGCTGATGTTTGTCTCTCCTCCTTCAGTCGGCGCTGGCGCCGCTGGAACAGGTTCTGCCGCAGGAAGTGCCGGTTGGCTGTCAAATCGGTGCCTTTCTATTGGCTGGTCATCATCCTGGTGTTCCTGAACACTCTGACCATTTCATCAGAGCATTATAACCAGCCTATGTGGCTGACACAAGTGCAGGGTCCGTACATCACAACTGCACATATGAAAATAAAATAATATTTTGATTCATTATGATATTAGTTTTCTGTGGCTTTAGTTTAAGGTGATTTGTATTTGCTCATTCAATTGAAATGTGGTTTACTATTCAGCCATGAGCCCAGACGTACAGGGTTTATGTCTAATATTTCCAGCCATGATGAAGGAATGTTTGAATATTTTCAATATTCACTCATGAAAAGTTCACTTCATTGATATAAAATAGATAATGTATTTCACAGTTTTATTGAATGTTTGGATTCAGATCCAGAATCAGCTGTTGTATGAATTTAATATATATTAGGTTTTTTTATTTTATTTTATAGATTGATGCACTGAGTATATTTTATTTATCAAAATGTATTTTGAGGTGTCATATTTCTTTAGTTTCGGGAGCCTTTATTTTCCACTCCAATAATCTGCATTATTTTAATGTGAAGCTCTTCCTTTTGTTTCAGATGTGGCCAACAAGGTGCTGCTGGCCCTGTTCACATGTGAAATGTTGGTGAAGATGTACAGCCTCGGACTTCAGGCCTATTTTGTTTCACTGTTTAACCGCTTCGACTGCTTTGTGGTGTGTGGAGGCATCACAGAAACCATTCTAGTCGAGCTGGAAATCATGTCTCCCCTCGGTATCTCTGTGTTCCGCTGCGTCCGCCTGCTGAGGATCTTCAAGGTCACACGGTACGACTGTTTTCACACTGTGGTTGTGAGGTTGTGTCTATGTGCATGTACGTGTGTGTGTGGTGTTAAATGAACCACCTGTCTCTCTTGTTTCCCTCTAGTCACTGGCAGTCACTGAGTAACCTGGTGGCATCTCTGCTCAACTCTATGAAGTCTATCGCATCCCTGCTGCTGCTGCTCTTCCTCTTCATTATCATCTTCTCCCTGCTGGGCATGCAGGTGTTTGGTGGAAAGTTCAACTTTGACGAGACCCAGACCAAGAGGAGTACCTTTGACAACTTTCCCCAAGCTCTTCTGACTGTGTTTCAGGTATTCACAGACAGATCTGCAGTTCAGATTATGATAGATCTGCACTCGACACTCACTTAGATCTGAGGAGCAAACATACAAACATTCAGCGTTCCCTCATTCATGCATCAGTTGTGTACAAATATGTGTTTATCTAAAAAATAACCTGATGACATTGCTGTTTTACAATAGCGCAACTAAATCTGATTTAAAACATAATGTTTGCACAAACCGATTTAAAGATGATTATAGTCAAATGTTAAACAAACAGCTGAGTGCTAAATAGAGTAGGATGATATATTAGATGATGATAGCTTGCTGCAGATATTTGCTAATTATTTGGTCCCACAAAACCCAGTCACTTACAGAACACAAGCTAAGTTTTGGGTCATTTAGGACCAATGTCACCATTACAAAGTTTGTCCAACAGAGGGCGATGACGAGCTGCTTTTTCATGGAGCTGTGCCTCAGACAGCTTCAGCTGGAAACATTTTTTGAACTCCATTAAATGTGTCCTCCACTATTTTGTGAGCCTGCCATCACAGGAACAACAGCAGGTTTTATCTTCAAGTTTGTTACCAACAACAAGTTGGTGTCACAGAAGCACAGATACAAATTTTAGTGGTCAGTACCAGAACCAGAAAGGTTTTGTCCACACATTTCCTCTAAGCTTGGAACATAACTGTTGATACATCTCACCAAAATGACACATTATGATGATTTCAGATCCTGACAGGAGAAGACTGGAACGCCGTTATGTACGACGGGATCATGGCGTACGGAGGTCCTTCTTCCTCTGGAATGATCGTGTGCTTTTACTTCATCATCCTCTTCATCTGCGGGAACTGTATCCTCTAAACACCAGAGTGTTAAAACAGAAAACACAAGAGTAGATTCTATTCTGATGATTCGATTTAAAAAAGAATATCAAGCAGTTTGACGGAGATTTATCCTTTACTGAACACTTCGCTCAGATATCCTCCTGAATGTCTTCTTGGCTATTGCTGTGGACAACTTGGCAGACGCCGAATCGCTCAACACAGACGAAGGAGACAAGAAAGGGTGACTGTGAAAAAATATTGTTTTGACTGTTTGCTTTAGATGCCAAGATGTGTGGTGCAACTCGACTTGAATTCATGACGATATCTGTTCATTATAGGGACAAAAAGGAGGATGAAAAAGATGAAAAGGTAACCTTGATTATCATATTGTAACTTATCTTTACAGTATAAAGAGTTTTTTTTTTTGCACTTACCCATTATCTCCATTTCTGCAAGGAGGAAGAGGAGGAGAACGACGAAGCTGCGGCTGAGGAGGAGGATCCAGAGGTTCCGTCGGGGCCTCGGCCGGTCATCTCTGATCTGGTCAAGAAGGAGAAGATCACTCCGATCCCTGAGGGAAGTGCCTTCTTCATCTTCAGCAGCACAAACCCGTATGAAACACTTGCAATTTACGCCCCTCAGATTTGACACGTATGGACATTTAATATACAGCCTCATTTCACACCTCTGGTGTTTCCTCTGTACTCCAGGTTCCGTGTGTTTTGCCACAAGCTCATTAATCATCACATTTTCACCAACCTCATCCTGGTGTTCATCATGCTCAGCTCTGTCTCTCTGGCTGCTGAGGATCCAATTAGAAACTTCTCCGCTCGCAATATTGTAAGTCCAACAGTCCCTCACTACAAATGTATTTCTATCTTTTACCTGACTGATTAGGGAAGATATAAGTGACTTTAATATTATTATTTTAGTATCAATTTCTGGGTGAAATGTTAATGCAGCTTTATCAGTTTCATTTTTATCATAATTCTTGGACCTTGAACCGGTTGTTTTGCCTGTTTTAGCAAATGTATATACATCCTAAGTTTATGTTTCAGCAACACTTGTTCTGATGTGAAGGATGAAAACAAATCTGATCTGAGCAACACTTTAATCTCAGGAGGATTTAATGCATTTTTCAGTTATTGAAGCCACAAACAAAGAATGTGATTGGCTTATTGTTAGAAAATATTATTAAAGGCTTGAAAAATATGTTTGTGAATCATGTTTAGAGCCCTAACTGTATCCATCTGCCCATAACTCTCAGACTAAAATGTCCCTGCTGCAGGCTGAAGTGTCATTTGTATACACTGTTGCTATTCTCCTTTAGACCACAGAAAGGGCAAAAGAGAAATCAAGGAGGAACAAATTATAAAGAGAGAGGAAATGTACTGCGTTTATTGGTTCATTTTTCAAAAGCTTTGGCGTCTGCAGTCCTTTACAGCCTATTTCAAAAACATAACTTGTTTTTTTTTTAACAAAACATACATCTCAATGTAATCTCCAGGGCAAAGACGATCTGTGGTAGGACACTGGTATAAATGCTTCTCTAGCTTTAATCTAGTGACCCTGTTGACGCTGTTCAGTTCCTACTTTCATGATTTAGGGGCTTGATGCTCAACAACAACAACCTTTAAAAACACAAGAAACCAAACTCTCATTTCCTTTATGACAAACTAATTTGTCTCTTGCAGTTGTATAGCTTGTGAAGAAGACACACAGATATCTGAGTGTCCTTGAATGCAACATAAATTAAAAGGTTTTAAAACTATCACTTATGTTTTTTTAATAATGATACATCTTTTGGAAATCTTAATTAAGAAAATTATATTTTCTTTCATTTAGTTGTTTTTGTCAATTTAGTGTCGTGTGTTTGAACTTTAATTTTTTTTAAGTACTTAAAATGAATCAACCGTCCTTGCATAGTAAGAGGTTTGACCTTAAATGTATCATTCTTCTTTTTAATAAGATGAAACATGCAAAAACGTTGGTACAGTCCTGTAAAGTAGACAATCAGGAAGCGATCTATCTGTTTTATTGACAGCACTTATTGATGATTTTAACTGCATCACTACCATATATATATGATAATATAGTTGTGATGATTGATGGTATTAATTGACCTTACATAACTTGTATGATGCAACTAAACAAATGTGTGAAATTTACCCTTACAAACTCTTTCCAGAAAAAACCCCCTCAGATATCTTTTCTTTTCTCATTCATCTTGTTTGATATGATATTTGAAGCTGCACGATGACCTGTCTTTGTTAAACATGTACGTTGCTTTTTGCAGATACTTGGTTACTTTGACTATGCTTTCACGGCTATCTTTACTGTTGAGATCGTGTTGAAGGTAAATGCTCTGTGTCCCCTGTCTGTGCTGTCACTAACCACACCCAATAACACTCCAAACGTCTCATTGCCTTCCAGGTCCTAGGCTATGCAGATTATGTCTTCACTAGTATGTTTACATTTGAGATCATATTGAAGGTAACCCCTTAAATGACAACGAGAGCCTTGCTGCATTCTCTCCTTGTGTGTCACCTGCCACTCAGTACAACCTGGCTTGTTTGTTTCCTTTCTCTTTTTTACTTTTTTCTTCATGGCACCTCTTTTAAAAACAAAAAAAAAAACCTAAATATTGGAGTTATGACTTTGCACACACAAACACAAGATTTGTTCTAATTACACTAATCAAAGAACTCACGTTGGGGGAAGGAAACATGACATCAGCATTACATTATACTCACATGGGTGTCACATCATCGGGGGCGGTCATGGCTGAAATGAGTTGGATGATGCAAGTTATGTTAAACATGATGCAACCCCTTTTTGCAATGCAACACATTTTTTAATGGGCTGTTCAGACATTGTTCAGGCATTGGCTGAAGTTGAGTTTGAGGTCATCTTCAGGGAGGTGTTTGAAGACGTAAAAGTCAACTCCAGTCAAAGCTAACTCCATGCCTCTCGTACTGACTGCTCTTCAGTTTAACCATAAAAGAGGGGGCAAAACCAACCATGTTCATATGCCGAGCATGGTTCAGTCTGCTTTCCCTGACTGAGTGCACAGAAATGTGGAGTCATATCTGCAGCCATTCGTACAAAAACTGACCCAAGTCAATCATTAGCTTACTTCTAATCCTCTGATGCTCATAGTTAGCAGTCTCTCTCTCTGTGTCTCTGCGGGGCTCCACATCCACGTGCACTCAGAAAGTTAATCCTGTACTTTTATTATTTGAAGAAGAGTTATTTTGGCTGGTTTTTCTTCTTTGCCTGCTGAACTCTGAAGTTTTAATAGGGAGCTGCTTTCCCTTATTCTCAACTATTAAAGAACATAACAGAATGTGCTTTAAGATGACGGTCCACATGAATGTGACAGTAAGGCCATTTCATCTTTCCAATCACTATAACTAGAGCTCTTGCAGGTAGTAAATATCCTCATGGCAACAAAATGCATGTTTTATTGCCTCATCCCATAGTCGATTGCGAAATGAATGACTTACTACTACATTCATGTAGTTAAGGGCCGTGGGGGTGGCGACGGTATATTAAGTCTCCTGTTTCACTGCTCTGAGCTCGCCACCCCAAATCAGAGTGAACAAAAAGAGTGTGAAGGTGTGTGCAAGATGGAGAGTAGTGTTGAGTGTGTGAGTGTTCCTTTTGAACATGTTTGTACAGTTTTTGTGTCCTTGTCCTCTGTGAGTGGAGAGAGTGAGTGCATCTATGTATTTATGTGATTTTTGTACGAGATGAAATATGTTGTTATTCTTTGTCATTTGCTCCGCTAACTTCCTCTGTCCTTCACTCAGATGACGACATATGGCGCCTTTCTCCATAAAGGAGCATTCTGTAGAAATTACTTTAACCTCCTGGATCTGCTGGTGGTGGGAGTTTCCCTCGTTTCCTTTGGCATCCAGTAAGTTCAAACAAAATGAGGCACTTTTCCTTCTAAACCACTTCACAAACAACACAACTTTAGTCATTTCTGAAGAGCAACAAAGGAACAAATATCAGGAACCAAATGTCCCCTTTGGGCTTCTTTAACTGCATTTCCTTCAAATCTTTAAAAACATGACGGATCAAAAAACAAGTACAGCTTTTGAGTTTTTGTGGAATTAATGGGAGCAAGGAAGAGATGCAGATTTTCTGAAAAACCTAAGACCTTATTTCATCCATCATTGACAATTTGTCTGCTTTGTGATTATTCAATGTCTTTGTTCTAGCCCTCACTGCTCCCGGTCTTTCTCCAGCTTTCTCACACACAGTCTCACGTTGTCTCTTTTATTTTCTTTTGGTCGTGAAGGCCACAGAATACCTGTTTGTTTTTCAACTTGATGAGAATTTCCCACCTGTGTCCTACTATTGATTTGAGTAGCACCCAGTTAGGTCCGGTTTTAATTGAATAAAGCTGAACAAAAGTTTAAGCACATAGGTTTCATGTTTTAATCATCAGCCTTTGTCAGCCCCTCATCAGGAAGGAGAAACCATGAGTAGAAACCAAAACCTTTATCAGAGGAAAAGGAACTTGCGTTTTTTTGGGATTCCTGGGCTCCTGGAAAAAGTTCCTGCAGTTAAAAAATGGCTTTACTTTTTCTGGAATTTCTTGAAATTCACACTACATCCATCTCTCCTCATTGTTCAGGTCTTCTGCCATCTCAGTGGTGAAGATTCTTAGGGTTCTTCGTGTTCTTCGACCCCTGAGGGCCATAAACCGAGCCAAAGGCCTCAAGGTGACACCTCACCATAAAGTCACCCTTCACCTGAAGCTGCATTTATAACTAAAGTCTTAAAAAGTGTTGTTTCAGTGTTGTTCAGCATGGATTCCCCCAGTGTGTAACATTCTTCTGTTTCTGCTTTATAGCACGTGGTGCAGTGTGTGTTTGTGGCCATCAGAACGATCGGTAACATCATGATCGTCACCACTCTGCTCCAGTTCATGTTCGCCTGTATAGGAGTGCAGCTGTTTAAGGTCAGCAGCACTGGGCTTAAAAAAAATCAATGATACACACCAAGCATGAGATATTGAGTTAATCGTTTTGGAGAATTCATCATTAGAGTGAGTATGTTTTGTTGTCCGCTTCAGGGAAAATTCTACCGCTGCACCGATGAAGCAAAGTCCAGCCCAGAAGAGTGCAAGTTAGTTTTCATTATCTTAAAACTAAAATGCAGAATTTCATGCAGTCATCATCCTAGTTTCAGTCTTAACCTTCATGCACTATGTCATTTTCTCATAGAGGCACCTACATCCTTTATAAGGAGGGAGATGTGAACCAGCCTACCATCCACAAAAGGCTGTGGCACAACAGTGACTTCAACTTTGACAATGTCCTCATGGCTATGATGGCTCTGTTCACAGTGTCCACTTTTGAAGGCTGGCCTGCGTAAGGTTTTTCATTTTTAATCTACATGTCCAAAGAGCAAAAAAAAAAAACTGGATCACATTCTTTCCTTTTTTTTATTTTCCTCTCTCAGGTTGCTTTACAAGGCTATCGACTCCAACAGGGAGAACCTTGGCCCCATTTACAACTACCGTGTGGAGATCTCCATCTTCTTCATCATCTACATCATCATCATTGCTTTCTTTATGATGAACATCTTTGTAGGTTTTGTGATCGTCACATTTCAGGAACAAGGAGAAAAAGAGTACAAAAACTGTGAGCTGGACAAGAACCAGGTCAGTGAGCAGGTTCACATTATGTGAGTGTTTTGACGCAGTGTGTGCCTGTGTTTGTCAGGTCAAAAAGAAATAGAACCTGATGAATACCTCAGATGAATTCATTCTGATCATTTATTTCTGGTATTTTTTATTCATTACAAGATTTACTATTATCCAATGAAAATGTGTGTATCAATTCACCATACTGTAGTCACATTGCAGCCTATTTCCTTTTCTCATACTCTCTCTCTCTCCTCCCTGTTCCCTACTCTATCCACTGTCATCTATAGTAAAGTCATAAAAGCGGCAAAATAAACCTGAGCATTCAAACCAATTTTGTGTATTTGTGTGCAGCGTCAGTGTGTGGAGTACGCTCTTAAGGCCCGTCCGCTGAGAAGGTACATCCCCAAGAACCCGTACCAGTACAAGTTCTGGTATGTGGTGAATTCCACAGGGTTTGAGTACATCATGTTCGTGCTCATCATGCTCAACACACTCTGCCTGGCTGTACAGGTAAGCTGTCACACCGCATTTACCCTGAAATGAGGTCACACTTGGCAGTTAGCGTTGATTCAGTTGTAGTAACCATCAACTAAAGATAATAAAGGAATTTAGTATGTGTTAAAGTATAAACGACACTGTGGTAGATATCAATACAAGAAAAATGAACTGACACCATCTTTTTTAACGCCACATTATTTGTTTTCTTCACACACAACTTTTAGAATCATAAAGGATAATGTAATGGTAAAACATACTAAATGGCTTTCAGAGTGTGTACATGTGTTGCTGTGTGTTATTTTGAAACATTTACCTGAGCTGACTGTCAGTGCCGTGAACAGTGTCTTTCATTATTTATTTTAATTGTAATGAATTAAGTGGAATAAAAATAATAGAATCTCCCTCGAGTTTTATTGAACCATCTCTCTTTGTCCTCTTGCTGCAGCACTACGGACAGTCAGCACTCTTTAACTATGTCATGGATATTCTTAACATGGTCTTTACCGCTGTCTTCACCGTGGAGATGGTTCTGAAACTCATCGCATTCAAACCCAGGGTGAGTCCCCGCGCAAACCACCTCGGACAGATCATAAACACTCAACCCAAACCAAAAGACAGATACTTAAACTGATGAAAAGCATTTCTGACCATATGAAAACCATTTACTAATACAGATTTATATACTAAATCAACTCTTCTGCCAAGAGTTGAATGAGTAGCATTCATCTGTTAATGTAGCTGCAACATCTTAGTTAGTATAAAGCATGGTAACAAGGCTAACCTGCTATCTTGTTATCAAAACTGCTATCAAAATGTTTTTTTGTCTTCCTGAAAGGAAGTCTTGTAGTATAAATGATTGTAACTACTCCAGACCAAGGAACAGCCATTGATATGACCCCTGTAAAACCACACATTGCAGTTTCTATGTTTTTATGCCAGACTACCTTGGCCAGCTTCCAATCTTTAAGCTAAGCTAAGCTAAGCTAATTGCCTCCTGGCTGTATCTACATATTTTGTCAAGTGAAATGAATGCTCTCATCCACTTTTTTTTGGCAAGAAAGCCAGTAAGTCGATGTTTTGAAATGTCAAACTATTGTTAAAACGTTAAAGAGTGGAGCAGCACACAAAAACTTTTCACAACCCATAAAGAAGTGATTTGTTTTTCTTTCCCTCCTGAACGGCGCTGCCTGCCAACAGCTCTGTGTTCAGAAGAAGGACAGGCTACTAGTAAGAAAGTGTGGGGTGCTGTGCTGAAATTTGTTTTTTGTTTTATATTGTCAAATCTAAAATAGTGCTCACTGTCTGTCAAGTTCTTGGCAGCAGTGTTTTTATATATAACGTTGGTATTTTAACATCAGTTTGGTGTTAGTGCCTTGCGGCTAAACTACTATTTCTGTGTGCTTATCACATCCAACTTGCCCCCCCACTTGCTCCACCTCACTCAGGGATATTTTGGGGATGCCTGGAATGTGTTCGACGCCTTGGTTGTGATTGGCAGCATAGTAGACATAGTTCTCAGTGAGATAGATGTAAGTAAGCTCAGCTACAGCGCCCCCTGCTGCTCTCTGACCCCTTTCTCTCTGGGCCACCTCTTCTCACACTGCAGCGTCCTGTGGCAGGACTCAGATTTCTGGCTTTTTTTTTCTGATCACTTTTAATATTTCCTCTTCTTTTCTCTCTCTCTCTCTTTATGTCCTCACCTCACCCTGCCATTTCATTACATCCTTGGTCTCGTTTCTTCTTCACTTCTCTCCCTTTATCGTTTGTCTGACCTCTCCTCTTCATGCTCTCTCTTTCATTCCCATCTTCACCCTCACATGTAACCATGCATTAACAGCACTATTTCGCTGATGCTTGGAACACATTTGATGCCTTAATTGTTGTTGGTAGCGTCGTCGATATCGCTATCACTGAAGTTAATGTAAGTATTACTTTTTTTTCTGCCTCCAAAGTTGAACTGAAGCCTTACAGGAAAGCCATGGGACAATTTGATGAATACGTTTCTAAAATGTAAAAAAATAAAGTTGTTGTAGAAATTGAAATATTGAATAAAGATACTGTAGTTGTGGCTGGAAATGAAGAAATGTCTGCCTTCTCCTTTTGACAAAAGTCCATAGCAAATAAATAGAAAGGTTTTCGATGTTTTATATTCAAAGGCGGAAGCTTTTTCTTTATCGATTATGTTTCTTAAACACCCACTCCATATTTATAATAACCTCTAGCATGATAATGAAATGTGAAAAGACATTTTCAGTTTCTTATGAGTCATTGGCTTATTCTGTAAAGCTTCAGTTTCATCCTCATTTATGTGCTGTTTTTTATCCACAGTACACCGAGTTGATCAAATAGTCTGTGTTGTTGAAGTTTTGCTTCTGCTAAGTGTGTCATTGTCATTGTGTTGCGGTATTTTTTTGATGCAGGAATCATGACAAACTTTCACAAACTGTTTACCCTTGAACGCTGTAGTGAAACGACACGTGTCATATACAGGAGTCGCTCATGATCTTTGCGACCTGAGGCCTGTATTTGATGCACAGCAGTATAATGTATGATGTGGTTATCTAATGTTTTACTCTTGTTCATTTTTTCCATAGAAACTTGTAGAGGCAAGTATTGTAATAATCCAGTAATGTTTTCTGTGTGTAACCTGTTTCGAATAACAACTTTATCTTCGGGACCCCTGTAATGTCTTAATGACTCAGGCAAAAATAGGTTTCTATAAATCCCAATAATTACATAATTACTTTGTGAAAAATTCTCATCAAGGCTTCATAAGATAAAAACTTCCAAAAACCAACTACTACAATCTCTATATGGCTTGACTTCTCCAATGACACCTAAAAAAAAAGTCTATGAATGATTTGTTGTGAGTTGAGTTCAGCTTGTTCTAAAAAAAAAGTTAAAGAGGGTGGGTCAAATATGATTTAATAGAACAACAAAGGAGACTTTGAGGTCAAATTTTACTTTTTGGTTGAATAGAGGTGACGTTGGTGCTTATTAGAGGTGCAGTGCACCAAAGTCCCCCCTGCTCAACCTTGCCCCGGCCCCCGCCCCCTTCCTCTTCCCCCCTTCCGGGTGCTCTGTGTCTGAGCTGCAGTGCTGTTTTTCTGGAGTTATATTCATGTTTTCTGTGTTTTTAATTTCTCAATTTCCGTTCTTAAATGTGTGTCTGCATGATTGTTAACAAATCTTGTGTAAGACATGAGGTGGAGTTGTGTGCAGGTTATTGCTGTTATGCATGTGCGTCTTACATGTGTACATTTATTACTTACAGGTGTGCTGTGTGTGTGAATGTTTGTGTCGGGGAAATTATGTTCATTTCACAAGGACTTTCATGGTTTCTTGTGAGGCACCTTTTATCCATCACTGACTTTTATCTGCATGTGGTTGCTGTTTGTGATACATAGAGATCGGACATTTCAACATTTTCCATTCAATCATTTATAATAAAAAAAAATATATTGATTTTTGCTGCTTGCTTGCTTTTCCAGTCATGAGCTGTGTGATTATAAAGCTTTCCAAATGTATGCTGGGAAGTGTCAGCCATGACTCACCTCATTCCCTATTATCCTCTCCATGTCCCGCCTCTCACAGATGGCGCTTGGTCACCAGCTCCATTCCCCTCCGGTCAGTTTTTCCCCATAGAGCCTTGTGAAGTTTGCCCTTTCTCTCTTGTCATTTCCCCTCGACCTTTTCCTCCAGACAGAATGGTCCTGGAGCTCAAAACATGGAAATGTGTCCTTCCTACACAACATTAAGGACAATTGTCACTAGAATTTGTTTGAATCTGAAAAATGTGACTTCTTTACTTAAAGTTGTGTAGACCACTGCAGCTTTGCAGTACAAATTGTAGAATTACCTCATTAGTATCAGATGAAACAGATTTGTCACAGAGTGGCCTGTATTTGAAATATAAGCTTTTCTCAAGAACTAAACTTACAGTACCTCCAACTTTAGTTTAACTCTAAAATGCAAGTGAAAAACAAAGCTTCCCTTTAGTTCTAATCAGGTAAGAATCTGTGGATTAAAATACTTCAGCGTACCAGGAGATGGCCTTGCTTTTGTATTTCACACTGATGGTGCGTTAAGCTGAGTCTGAGGTTCTTTGATGATCTTGTGTTTGTGTCTCTGTGAGTGATTGTCTCTGTGTTTTGTTCTGTCTTCCTGTAGTGAGCTCTTAAAGCTCAGAAAGGAGCTCATGTGTAGCGCAGGTGTGTAGACTCCAGTCAGGTGCATGAACACTTCAACAGTGACTCTCCCCAACTTTACACCTCTCTGCCTCTCCTCTTCCTCCTATTTCAACATCTTCTGAGTTTCTCTGCCAGAACCTGTCTCTGTCCCTGCGGTTTCCTCCTCCTTCCTCCTCCTTTCTCTCCTTCATTCTCCTCTTTCTGCACCGGACTGTGAGAGCGCCCTGCTATGGCAGTTTTTTTTTGCAGGGCACTACTGACATGCATGAGTTGCTGCATTGCTATGAGTTCACCAATCGCCTCCTCCTTATCCAAATGTCTTGCGTGCGCGTGCAGTGCTTACTCCCAGCAACGTGGCGATGCTGAACGCATGCTCCATCAGGGCTGTGGCCAGGATTACCTAAAGAACCTCCTCAAGCTAATACTTCATTTTTGTTTATCATTGCTGCTCATTCTGCACCTCATATTGTCGCTCTGTTAAATACTGTGCTGAAGGACTGAATGAAGCCATGTCTGTCTGGGGTAGCTCTGTGTTTTCAGAGCTAAGCCCTCTGATATTTAAATCTCATTCTTTTGCAAAAATCTTTACGCAAGTCAATTCTGACAATCAGCCGTATGATAACTTTTTTTTGTATTTTAGGTTGCACCTGGATTCTTTTCTATGTACAACTACTCGCTGAATACTTCAAAAATCCTATAACTTATTTTTATAACATCAAATACATGTTGATTTTAATGAGCAACTATTTGGATCAAATAATTTTACAGTGATTAATCAGTTTCAGCTACCTAAAAAATGTATAAATACAAATAAAAAACCCTGAATCTGAAAAGCAAAAGGGTTCTAGGTAGATGCTATTTTAGAGTAGCAGACGGTGCTTTTATTTTGAAATGAATTCATACAATTTCATATGTCTGTCATTTAGTCATCTTATCAACTCTGTCTAACGCTCAGCATAGAGATGCCAACCATAAAACCCATTAAACCTCATCAGTAGGGATCACCTTAGTGGGGGAGGGATAAAGTTGTGTGGCAATCTTACATGCTACTCAGTATTCCAATAGTTTCATGTTGTTCGTCAGGAATGTTAAGCTGTAAATCTGTTTTGTGACTGCTTTTGAAAGTGTTAATATGTTTAATGTCTGTCTTTATACTAAGTGTTCATAGACAGCGATACATGATTGTCTGTCCTTGTCATAGTGAAACAATAAGACAGTTTTGTCCCGTCAGTAAGAAGAGTAGTGACTCTGTTCTGTCTGCGTCCTGACTGACATGTGCTGCCGTTCCGTGTGATAATGTTTTTGTTTTTGTTTTTTTTTAATCTAATGTTTTAAGTATTTGGCTCGATTTGTGTGTGAGACCTGCTGGCTCTGTGCAAGTCATTAACACAGGTCTTTGATTTTAAAGCCAACGGAGACTCCTCAGGTGGATGAGCAGGGGGTAAGATGCTCCCCCCCCTCCCCACCCCACCCCCCTACCCCCCCCTTCAGGGCCATGCCATGTATACAACTGCATTTCTTTGTTTGTTTGACTTTTGTTGTGGACTACATTAATGTTATGATCTGTTGCTTATTTCTGTTTAATTTTATTCCTCATTATATGGTTTCCATTCTTATTTGCGTCTTTTTTTCTGTTTTGTTTGGTCTTTCGCATATTTCCTAAAAAAAAAAAAAAAAAAAAAAAAAAAGCTTTCCATTTTCCTGAATGTTTGAAGTTATTTCTAAGGAGAGTGTGTCACTCAAACGTGACGCTGTGTGTGCCGTTAGGTGGGAGCAGTTTTTAAGGCTGCTCCTCACGTTTGTACTTGCTGACACTTGCTACATGGTCTCTGCCCACTTTCTTGTGTGGTGGGGCAGTTGACCCATGGATGACCCCTGGTATCAGGGCACCCAGCTCTAACCTTTGAACCTCCTGGCCGACCCGTTGGGGTGGGCCCCACTGTGACTCCGCATGCAGTGACTCTGGACTGAGGGTGCCATGCTTGTGCAGATGTTTCCTGTCAAATATGGCAAGGTTTTTTTCTCCAGCATGCTCGCCTCCTTGCTTCTTCCCCATTAGGTCAGTGCAGTGACAGGGCTCCTGACAGTGCTTTGGACGCAGACTAACAGAAACATATCAGCTGCGGCTACACTGCTTTACAGACTCTGCTTGATTAAGTTTGGGCCACATTCTGTATTAAGTCTACAGATTTGCATTTGCCTAAAGTAACCTACACAAAAAAGAGAAGGCTTAGCTCATATTAAATCTTCTATACACCAAGTTTTCCTAGACCTTAAGATGCAGTGTTGCTACCCAGCCCATATGTATCTGGCCCCGGGGTCTAAGAACCTCTTCATCTTTTTAAAGCACAGCCAGGTGCTCTGTGTTCACTTCATCCTCTGTTTCTCTCTAACTTTCTGGCTCTGGTCCTCTTCTCCACAGAACACTGAGGACAGCGCTCGCATTTCCATCACCTTCTTTCGTCTGTTTCGAGTCATGCGGCTGGTGAAACTGCTCAGCAGAGGGGAGGGCATTCGCACCCTGCTTTGGACCTTCATCAAGTCCTTCCAGGTGAGGGGATCTACAATTATCTGATCAGTGAAGGAGGGGAATGTTTAATTTACCTACAGTACAAGCAATAACTTCTGGTGTTGAAAATGAGGCCAATGTAGAAATGCAAAAAAAAAACTGCAGTTCCTCGAGTATCACCTAGAGGCTGGCTGCAAAAACCACAGCATCTCCCTTAGGTCCCATACTAGAAGAGCAGCAATAAACACATTTACGGCCTTGTTCAAAAAATAAAATTGCTATCAGTAGCTAATTTCTATATTGGTACAAACTGTACAGTGGCAATTTTTTTTAATAACTTGTCTGTTTAGATTTTATTAAGTCTTAGAGTGATTCATACATTTATAGTTTTATCAAAAGTTCAGTTGAGATAGCATTTTCAATATGACATCCGGCCTGTTGGGCTTCATAACCCCTCTTCAAAAACCAATGGGTGACGTTACTGAGATTTTAACCATGTTTTATTCAGTCATTGATTACCCACATTAATCGTCCTTATTCTCTCCTCTCTGCTGCGTGAAGGCTCTGCCGTATGTTGCTCTTCTGATAGCCATGCTGTTTTTCATCTACGCCGTCATTGGCATGCAGGTTGGTTATAAAGTGTGATAGGAAATATTTTTTGCACCGTTACCCAGGCTGGTGAGGTTGCAGATAAAACCATGTTGGGAAATATTTGTTCTTTAGGTGTTTGGCAAGGTTGCCATGGTGGATGGTACACACATCAACAGAAACAACAACTTCCAGACCTTTCCTCAGGCTGTGCTCCTTCTCTTCAGGTGTGTGCGAATCATCAAGAACCTTAAACATTATGCTGGTTGCTTGATGAGTTACTAATTAGTGTTTGTGTTGCCAATCTGTTTCCCAGATGTGCTACTGGAGAGGCGTGGCAGGAGATCATGCTGGCATGTATGCCGGGGAAACTGTGTGATCCTGAGTCAGACTACAACCCAGGGGAGGAGATGACGTGTGGCAGTGGATTTGCAATCATTTACTTCATCACCTTCTACATGCTCTGCGCCTTCTTGGTATGCACAAAAACGTATTTGAATTACTGCTTGTTAATTTACTTCAATGTACTTGGTGTTAATGCTTTAAACGTTTTAATAGCATCACTAGTACAAAGATTTCTATCTTTGAAAAGGCCAGGATTTCTACAGCTTAAATTGCCTTCAATAGGTGCCAAACCTTGCAAATGCATCTTCACATTTTTTATCCATAAACAAAACGCTTCCTCTTGATTCCTGATGCCCATATCTTCCCCATTTCAGAAAGACTTTGAACAGCACAAACACAACACCTAGCTAATGTATGGAAGACAACTTTCTTGTACTCCTCCAGATTATAAACTTGTTTGTGGCCGTCATCATGGACAACTTTGACTATCTAACACGTGATTGGTCCATCCTTGGTCCTCACCACCTTGATGAATTCAAGAGAATTTGGTCAGAGTACGACCCAGAAGCAAAGTAAGTGATTTATGTCCTTTTAACATCGGAAAATGTTTTCCCATTCACATCATTTGGTCCTGTGAGTCAGTGCAGGTAATGTCTTACACCTCTTCTTCTTTTTTTCCACAATCAGAGGACGAATTAAGCATCTGGATGTTGTGACCCTCCTACGTCGAATCCAGCCTCCTCTTGGTTTCGGCAAACTGTGCCCTCACAGAGTCGCTTGCAAGGTTTTGTAGCCATCTTTCTTTTAATATTTCATTAACAGAATGCACAAAATATTGCTTGTGTAGCTTACCTGCCCTTACATGTTAAAGGTATATGTGTGCTCTAATTTCAGAGGCTGGTAGCCATGAACATGCCTCTGAACAGTGATGGCACTGTAATGTTTAACGCCACCTTGTTTGCACTGGTGCGCACCGCCCTGAAGATCAAAACTGACGGTATGAGACAAAAATGAAACCGTTACAATACTGCTACTGAACATTTCCTGTCAATGCTTTAACTAAACTTCCTCTGTAACCCGTCATTCTGATTTTGCATGAATATGAAGAGTCTGTGAGTTGGAGTTCTGCTTTCTGAGTTTGCTCCCCGTGTGGTTTCAGGTAATCTAGAGCAGGCAAACGAAGAGCTGCGAGCAGTCATCAAGAAGATCTGGAAGAGAACCAGCATGAAGCTGCTGGATCAAGTGGTGCCCCCTGCTGGTGGTTAGTGGAACCGGCCTGTGTCTGTCAATGAAATCACACACACACCTCTTGTGTTTCTGATTTAGTTTGACACACAAACAAAATAGAGCAGCTTGCATAGGAGCACACACACGCACATCATATGCTGCCCTTAAGATGTTTATCATAACATAACATTACAGGAAGCTTCAAACTAATCTTTCATAAATATGCCCTTAACATAAACCCCACACACAGACGTCTTATCATCATAAGTAAAGCTTTATTGTGCTGTTTCCTCTGTGCTCATGTTCTCTGGTTGTCCCCTCTGCAGTCTGTTTTTATACATGTGTGTCTCCTCCTGCACCGGACGCTGATGGAGGCCTCTGACTGTCCATTTTGGGCTTTGGGCTTGCATGGCCTCGTAGACCACTGTGCAAGAGCATGCTTTGTCTTTCTCTCCTATCGTTCACTCTCTGTCTTTATCCGTCACTCTCCTTTCTCTTTCTCTCTCCATCGGAATCTCTCTATTGTGTTAACTGCTGTCTTTTCTCATCGCTTCAGCTTCCACAGCTTCTTCTTCTTCTTCTTCTTCTTCTTCTTCTCATTCTGTTATATCTCTGTATCCAAAACTCTGAGACACTTCAGAATATTCTGAAGCAGTTCTGTTTTAGGGTGGTGGCATGGAACTAGTGTTGCCTCTCTCTCCGATCTCTGTCCCCAGCGCTCTTGTTATGAAGTGATTCAGACCCCTGCTTCAGAATTATTCTCACACACTCTTTCACTTACAATAATCTACTGAGACAAAATTACATTGAGAACATACATTTTAGGTACAACATTCACAGAAAACTTTAAACAAATGGGCATACATGAGATGACACATACTGACTTTAGCCAGAGAGACATACAAACATGTATGATGCATCCTCAAGACCTGCTTGCTTGCATGTGCTGAAGTAGTGAGTTAAGTGTCTGAAAGGTAATTAATGGAAGCCAGTTGGGATGCGTGTTATCTAAATAACCATTTTCAAGCTATTAGAAAAGTTGCAGTATTTTTTAATTACTTTGTGTTTGTTTATCGTCAAAATAACATTCATTTGGCTCATTCTGACAGACGGAAGAGGTCAAAAAGCTCCGGCAACACTTTGTAGTATGAAGATCAGCCTTTCTTAACACATTAGACCAACATGTTGCGGTTGTAGCCTTCATCAGGGTCATGAGTGGGATTCCCAGATGAAGGCGTTCTGGCTTGTGGCCTGACCCTGATGAAGGGCTCAAGCCGAAACGCGTCGGTCTAATTTGTTAATAAAGTTGATCTACAAGTGTTGCTGGAGCCTTTTGACCTCTTCAAGCCTTTCACTCTTGCACTTACATACTTGCACCTTGGAAGTTGGTGATGTTGTGCCAGAAAATCCCACTCATTCTGACCGACTGAAAGAAAAGTTTCAGCAGTAATGACTCAAAGCTCTAAAAGATCACACTGGTACTGTACTGACCTCCTATTGAATCCTTCTCATTTTAAAGTTCCTGAGGAGTGTTTAGGTTGTTATAAAACAGACTGAAAATAATCATGATGCCTCTTGAGGGGCGTAAAGACATTATGAGACCATCATCATAAAGATTGAATACATCTATATAGCCTAGTTATTTTTAGCGCGTAAAACACCAGCGGAGTGGGTAGGTGTCAGACATAGTGACGAACAACACGCTGCAGACACAGCTTTTGTTCACATTTGCAACAGCAAAGATTCTGACTGATACATTTAACTTTTAGAAGAAAGCAGGGTGAGATTTATTTGTTAAAAAAAAAACAGCTACTTACGTACTTGTGTATCAGACAAAATCAGTAAAGAGTCAACATGTACCACCTTGTCCACAGGGGGGCGCAAAATGGACACAGTTACTTAAAGGGAAACTTATAATTTTAAAGTTTCTTGTCCCATATAGGATGTACAAATATACCAAACCAAAACAAAAATCTTTTAGCACATATTTGATATTCTGTTCTCTTTTATAAACAGAGAAGGATGTCATGTGGTGCATACTGAGGTACAGTATATACACCATCAAGATGGATGTATATCATTTGGTTCATTTGGGTTTGCCGAGGGCCTCACTTGTCTGCAGTCTTAAAGCGACGGACCTGCAGTTTACAGAAAAACATGGACAAGGGGAGGGGAGAAAATTCTCTCCTTCTCTCTCCCTGGGTGATGTGAGTAGTGGCCTGCTGACACAGGAAGCATTTGTGTGGTCTGTTCACTCAGATGATGAGGTAACCGTGGGGAAGTTCTATGCCACCTTCCTGATACAGGACTACTTTAGGAAATTCAAGAAACGTAAAGAGGAAGGCCTGGTCGGTGCTCACCCAACCCAGAACAACACAGCCATCGCCTTACAGGTGAGTCTCACAGGTTTTGTGTTTAATGACAGCGAAGAGAGTGACTGTATGAAACTGTGTGAAAATATGGATTCGAGCATTTTCCTTGGTCAAGTCTGTAAAATGTGTCTGTGCATTTCATTCAGATATCATTAATGTTGTGGTTTATGATCCAGCAGGACTTCATGGTCTTGGTGCACAGTATGACTCTGTGACTGTGATTTATGTGTTTCCAATGTGTGACATTTATGTCTCTGCATCTTTAAGTATCATAGATGTTGATGTTAAGCGTGTGTCATTGTCTCCAGCCATCATTTTATCTGTTTTTATTGTGCATCACAATTCACTCGACAACTCATGAAAACCACATGCTAACAGATTTGTCATGTCACCTTGTCATGTACGATATATGGCCATGATTTACCCCCATATATCATCGTCAGACAGTATAACCAGCTTTTAGTTCAATTAGAATTATATTTTTGTGTATTTTTTGCTGACTTGTTAAAGTAAACTACAAAGCAGAGCAAAGAAAGAAAAGAAACGTTTAATGCACTCAACCAGGCTGTGTGAGACAGAGCACAGCTGGAAGCTACACAGGACATTTCAACCCACTAATATTCACAGCAGGTTGCATTCAGGAGAGCACATCTGTCTGTCTGTGTGGTCTCATCTCTCACAGTCTGTCGATACTCTAAATGTCAGGTGTTACATGTTACACAGGTGTGTGTGTGTGTGTGTGTGTGTGCGCACCCAATGTGTGTCGTGGTTGTGGTATGATATCAGATTTCGTGAGTTGTGAGATGAAGGTTCCCCGCTGTAGCGTTTAGCCTTCTTATTGTCATGGTTACAGGCTGGCCTTCGCACACTGCATGATATTGGGCCCGAAATTCGCCGAGCGATATCATGTGACCTGCAAGATGACGAGCTAGTAGACTTTATTCCAGAGGAAGACGAGGAAATTTATAGGGTAACTGATTTTATTGGTGCTTTCTATGGTAATGATAATTTATATTGCTTTTTGCTCATTTGGTTTGATTTAGCTTCCTTTATTTTTTCTCCATTTCAATTCCAACAAACTACAAACAGTGCATCCATGTTGCTCACCCATGCACCATGTATCCAGCTTCTGAACCTTTTTTTTTTTTGCTCATAGTTTCTGAAAATAAAATCAGACTTAACATCAATAGCATGTTTGTTCTGCTGTGAGAAGTAGAAGAGTCGGTGGTTTTACTTTGAGCATTCCTTCACAGCGTAACGGGGGACTCTTCGGAAACCATCTCATGAACGGTGGTCATCGGAGATCCAACGGCCATCAGACCAACGCTACACAGAGACCTCTCCAGGTGCAGCCTCCGCCTCACTACGCCCACATGGACCAGCCAGTGGGACGTCTTTCCAGAGCCAACGCCATGTCCCACCACAACCACCATCGTCACCACCACCACCATCACCACCGACACCACAACTCCTACGGCAAGTCTCCCAAATCCACTAACATCAACCTCAACAACGCCAACGTCTCCAGCCTGCCCAATGGAGGACACCATCGTTACTATGAACACGCTCCTCCTAATGGTTACCCAGGCCATCGCAGCTCCTACTACGACTATGAGAAGCCCCAAACGCCGCAGGGTCAAAGGTATCCACACTGATCATTAGTGTTTGGAGTTATTTATCTGAGGTCAGAAAATAATTTGTGTGATTTTTAAAAATTCAATTTAACCTGGGACCAGCTAAGAATAAGCATATTAGCTTTCTTGCCAAGAGCTATATGAGCTTCATCATGACTGTACAGTAAATATAGGCCTAAAGCTTGGGGTCAGCAGCCCTTAGCCTTAGCTCCCTAAAGCTCACACGTTTCACATTAAATCTTTTTTCTTCCGAGGTTAACCATACACTCTTAAAGTCTTTTAATTTAATGTACAGAGATAAATCATAGGCCTATACCAATCAACACATTGTGTTCTTTCCTTTATTCCCAAAATGTAGAACAACATTTTATAACATAATGTGGAAAGTTACAGTCAAATTGAAGTTAATTGTTTAGATATGGGAATTTGCTCAAGATTCACAGTAAATAGAGACATTAGGAACATCATTCTGAAAAACCGCTCATTCCCAGTATGTAGTGTGTTTGTAATTAAGCAGGATTTTGTCAAGGTTTTACCTAACATATCAAAAAAGAAAGTAAGAGACAGTTGCTACGGTTAAGAGAGAAATTGTTTTTTTTCCAATTCAAAATAGCTAACTACATAGTAGTTACATAATAACTACACAGAATGTAATTTAATAATGTCAGACAGTAAGTGTTCCAGTGTGATGTTCTAACTATACATTATGAAGTGTTTGACTGAAGCTCCAATATAAAGATATAACAAATAACAATTACAGGAGTTCCTCTTCTTCTACTTCCCACCTGAGAGACTTTCTCAACCATTTAATGAAGCTACATTAGGTAGAATGACAGCTCATCACATGAAATCGGGGTTTAGTTTCCATGCACTGAGCTTAAGGACATGATCAAAACTGTGGACATGATCAGTTGCACAATGATTTTTTTTCCACAGGCAAGACTCTGTTTCTTATCAAACCTTCCTTTTTTTCACCAACCTTTATTCTAAAACCTTTCATTCCATAATTCATCACAAACCTGCTCTCACACTGACAGTTCATTTCATAAAAGTGACCCTCTATACTCTTATCTCCTGATTTCTCATGCTCTGTTTAGTCAGATGCTCCAGTATTGAGCCTGTTTTTTTCCCAGGACCCAATAAGTTTGGGCGACAATTTCATTGCTAACACTTTACAGAAGAGAAATGATTTTTTTCTCTCTTATCGTAAGAATGGGAAATGGAATTGTCATCCAACACTGGAGTCAGCATCACATTCTCTCCTCTTCATACATATATATGAGCATGCTGTATATGTCTCATATACTGTATGATATATATGTCACACTCTCTGTGCTCTCTCCTCCCTTTCTCCTTCCTAACCAAAATGCTTTCTCTCAACCATCCCTCTGCTTTCTCGGACAGAAGGCGCTACTATGAGACCTATGTTAGGTATGTTCTCGTAGGTTTGGCTCCAGCAAGTATGTCTCAACCAGCAGACAGAAGATCTTCTATTATTTTAGTTCTCTTTTTTTATCCTTTTGATTTGGTTTTGAATCCGTGAATGGTTGCATCCTTGCTAAATCGGTGTAATGTGCGATATGCTGGCCTGTTATTTGTCTGGTTATCATCCGCTTCTGTTAACATCCAGTTGTGTCCAATCCTTTTCAAGTTAAAGGAGAAATAACGTGAATATTTATGGCCAGCATATTGCTGAGCGCAGCCCTGCTTTATGCATGTGTCAAAGTGACATGCCTGCTTTGAGGAGGGACCCAGATTGTTGAAAACAAGGTAGCACTTTAGCTGCACCACAAGTTTCTCACAACTATATACATTTTATGCACATCACACAGAGATTACACTTTTACTTAATGATTCCTTTCAATAAAAATATCTTTATATCAATGTAAAAAAAAAAAAAAAAAAAAGGACCTCAAAGTGGAAGGGATGTTTAGAAGACAAAGTGGTGCTCTTCAACACGAAACTTCTGCCTGTTGTCCTGGTTTGGCTATTACAAATGTATTATTGTGTTCAGTTGCATCGCTGCCCCCTGGAGGCTTGCGTCTGCATGGCAGTGCATGGCCCTATTCCAGTAATCCCCCCCTCATCAGCAGCAGTGAGCTTGTTTTGACCCCTCTGACCTCTCGTCAGGTCCCGTGGAGTGGATGGACGCCACCCCACTATCCGCAGAGAGGAGGAGTTTGATGAAGACCGCTTGTCTGGGGAGTATTACAGCGGGGAGGAGTTTTATGAAGATGACAGTATGCTGTCAGGGGACAGGTAATGAGCTCTGACTTTTCACTAGGCGTAGAATTTGATCATTACGCAGTTGTAGCTCGCTAAGAATAGGATACCTATTTGATTATAAGACATTTAAAGTATTGGAAAGTTTCTGGGATTTTTGCACTCCTTCTACATGCTCTTTCTTCTTTCTGTCGACAGGTATCAGAACAGTGACACAGAGTATGAGACTCCCAAAGGTTACCATCACCCTGACAGTTACTACGAGGATGATGAGCAGCCACTGTACCGTGACTCACGGAGGTCACCAAAGAGACGGTTGCTTCCTGCAACACCTCAAGGTATCTTACCCTTGTTTTCTTCATCATGAGCTCCAAGTTTACTTTAAAGCTTTTGTGAAGAGTTTTTAGATTATGAAACAGACTGAAATTATTACCGAAGCCTCTTTACGACTTAAAATAGCAAACAAGACCGTTAGTGACAAGACTGATAATCTCTAAGTAATTATTTTAATGTCTCAAACCGCTGCAGGTCTACCCATACTGATTGACATTATGCTGCAAAATCAGACTTACATTTTTCCACAGCAAAAATTCTCAGCGAGTGATACATGTGAATAGAGCAAGGGGTGATTTTTAGTTGACAGTACATGACTCACATTTAAAGGACAGGGTCATAGGTATCACTTTGTTTACAGGGGGCGCCAAACTCAAGACAAAGCCCAAGTTCCTCACAGAGGCTTTAAACGATCTGAATTTTAAAAGAACAAAAACACAAAAATGTCTTTCTGATGCAACGTAATCAATAATGTCACAACAGTGTCAAACACTTGTTCTTTTACACCATGGACTGCCAAGAGTCTTTTTCACACTTAAATGTAATAGAAATGACATGACTGTCTACAATGGGTGTAACACCCGAGTCCCACTGTCTGTGAAGTTTTCTGAGTTTTCCGAGTCATATCTTCAGTTTGTTTACATCGCCCGGACGGCCGGCTGGCTCATCCCCTCGCATAAAAGTTGTTTTATTGAGGGACTAGAGAAAAGAAGAATAATATACTGTGCTCACTGCTTAACTGCGTTTCTAGATCACGCTCATTTTGGGTAAATTTACATGCAGTGTGAAGATACGAGCATAATAAAGATCGCTAGCATTAGCATGCTAACACAACAATGCACTGCAAGTTTTTTTGGTTTCATGCTGTTGCTCAAGGGCGACATCTACTGGATCAAAAAATCGCAAAGTAAGCCTTTAACCGTGAGCTGGTATGAGTATCTTGTCTGACTGCACACAACATCACCAGTAACGCACAATAATTGAATTATTGCTCAGAATACATCTTTAATCAACATGATGTGACAAATACTTACAAATTAAATTGTTTTAGCATAAAGTTAATAATGACAATCAAAAGTTAAATTAACAATGCATTCATTTGAATGCAGCAGAAAAACTCTGCAGGTTGTTGGCGAGCTATAAACCAACTTCAGACAATGTTAGATATTTAGCTCCAGACAACAGAGGCTATTACAGCCACTTTCTTTGTCATCAAATAGTCTCCTTATAGAATGCACGAATACAAGTCTTACAGCTGTTGTATGATTGACCCTCCCACCCAGCATCATACTCCCTAAGTGTCTGCAGTTTTGCATGCTGTCAGAGTTTCCTGCATGAGGTCACTCACTGCTCCCCTCCTGGCTCGTTCAGGTAACAGGAGGCCGTCCTTCAACTTTGAGTGTCTGCGCAGACAGAGTAGCCAGGACGAGCTTCCACATCAGCGTACTGCTCTACCACTGCACCTCATGCAGCACCAGGTAACACTGGCACATGTCTCACCAGTACTGTTCTTCACCTATATTGTTTTGAACACTTTTGCACATTTAAGACATGTTTGGAATCATCTTGTATGCACCCCTCACTCTTTGAATTGAAACATCCACATCAGATTTCCCCTCATAACCACATCTTTATATTCTTGTGCAACACTTTTTCTATCAATTGTCTCTTCTGACCCATCAGGTAATGGCTGTAGCAGGCCTAGACTCCAGCAGAGCCCATCGCCTCTCCCCAACCCGCTCTACCCGCTCCTGGGCCACGCCCCCTGCTACCCCGGCCAGTAAAGACCAGTCTCCGTACTACACACCTCTCATCAGAGTGGACCACCCACACAGGGGCAGTGTTGCCAGCAGCCAGGTGTCGGTACGCAAAAGCTCATGGTACACGGACGACCCTGAGTTTTCCCAGAGAACATACTCACCGGTCCATCTACAGGTGCCACCCGAGTACCACAACCAGTACCACCAGAAGAGAGGCAGCGCCACCAGCCTTGTGGAAGCGGTGAGTTTGATGCTTGGTTTGGAATCTCAAAGGCACATTATGGCAATTATGGCAAAAAAATCCCAAGTAACATTTGTCCTCCCATCCTGACGCAGGTTTTGATATCAGAAGGGCTTGGGCGATACGCCAAGGACCCAAAGTTCGTCGCTGCCACAAAGCATGAGATAGCAGACGCCTGTGAGATGACGATAGACGAGATGGAGAGTGCAGCCAGTCACCTGCTTAATGGAGGGATTGCCCCGTGTGTCAATGGGGTCAACGTGTTCCCCATACTGACGCCTCGGGACTATGAACTGCAGGACACGGCAGCCAGTTACAGTGACGAGGAGCCAGAGACAGAACCGAGAGCTCTTTATGAGGAGGACCTGGCAGATGAGATGATCTGCATCACGACTTTATAGCAGTTGCTGGAGAAATCTGCAATTTAGAACCACTATATCGATGAAAATTAAAAGAAAAAAAAGAAAAACAAAAAAGAAATGCATCTGTTGGCTCTGACCAAAAGAAGTGCCTTTAACAGTGAAGAGAAAAAGGCATGAAGAAGAGAGACACAACAGTCCTGCTCTTTTAATTGTTCTCCACCTGCCAGCGAATGAGGTCACGGCACAGAGCCAGACACCACCTCGCTGAGTGCAGACGGACTGACTGCACCTTCCAAAGGCTGTGACACACAGCGTCAGCCTGCAGCCAATCAGAGATAAGGACATCAATGCCAGGGAAAGATGGACCATTGGGCATAGGTGTGAGACACTCTCCAGGGCGGGTCTCTTAGGGTGATGACAATCAGATGTACGATGTCATTACCTCGGTCACTTTATTAAGGTTTGGCATATCATGCAAGTTTTCAATGCAAGCATAGAAAGGCATATCCCCCCCCTTCCCCACCCCCCCCACCCCCCCAGTCTTTAGAAAAACTTGATCCCTTTGTCGTTAGAACAGAGCGTTTAATGATTGCTAAGGCTGAGTCTAAAAGTGAAGTAGAGCTGTACCAGATTATGCAGGAACTTACTGTCCTACTTATAGCATCATTCAACTTGAGATGTGTACTTTTGAAGCATTTGTGATAAATGCACTAGCAGGCAGGTTATTTCAAAAATTTAGAATAGCCTGGTTAATATTTCATAGTTGATATGCTGTAAATTGTATTATATAACAAAAGAACCTTTGTAAAGAGATATTCTATATTTTGTAATTATGTATCATTTAAAAGATCAGCAATATGGACCCTTGTGACTCCTGTTATGCTACAAAAGCAGCCTTGCATTACTTTATTAGGTACAACAGTCTGATATTTATTTGCCTTTTTTTTTGTTTTGTTTATATGGATCCTTTTTTTTTCTTTTTTACATTTTAACAGGCTCTGCTTGTGTGACAACACTACTGCACAAGATATGCAAAAGGCTAATTTCTTAGCATAGGGGTTCATGTGTTAATACATCACACCAACACCAGTTGCATAAGGTTAAGCCTCCTTTAAAGGAGTATTTTTAGAGGCAAGCTTTAAGGATCCAGGGCTGAAATTTTATACGGATGTGACGACCACATTTGTTTGCATATTTTGTGCAGGTAATGCACATGAATTTCAAATGCATAGTGCATTTACAATGCTGCTTTTTTAGTTGGTTTCAGAGTCAAACCTTGTTTCCGTCAGCCCCTTCTCTAATGCCTTTGTGCTGCTGAAAGATAGAAATGTGACAGAAGGTGATAACAGGGATGAATTAATATATCTCATAGCTTGTGCTGGGATTTTCCATGACATGCTTTGTTGATCATGGTGGAATTCCATTAAACCTTTGTAATGAATCTTGGCAATCACATCTCAGCCTTCGTGTAGTGTGTGACGGCAGGAGACATATGCACACATCCAAAGGTCAGAAACAGTCGGGTGTATATAGTAGGTGGTGGACAGAGGCTGTCCTGCTGTCAGGATGCTGGAGAGAGGCTAAGCAATATGAACCCCCTCCGCCCCCCTTTCTCTCTCAGCCTGCCTGGTTCCTGCTTACAGAATACCTCGTTAGGCAACGTGACAACATATCATTGTGTAAGCTTACCTGTCTGTCCCACAGTGGAGTCTGTGAAAGAGATCAAAAAAACTTTGTGTTTTCCCTTCTAATCAGATTTACAAATTGGGCTAGTAGGGAAAATCAACCCCGGATGCAGAAAAAAAGGAGCCCACAAATATCACAATGTCAAGATTCTTTATTCATCCACGATTATCGAAATACTGAAATAAACAAACTGCAGTGGGCTTTTTCAGGCATTACCATGGAGGATTTAAATTAAGGATATTTAGGGTAAACGTGATCTGTCGTTCATGAGTGTTTGATTTGTAGGCGAGTGCGTCCTGTGCTCTAATTCAACCGAATACTGTCATGAAAATGTAGGTTTTCCATTTTGTGTGCACATTGAAAGGGCTCTTTGAATTGTTTGTGAGTTTAAAAAAAAAAAGTGTGCTAGTCCTTTTTCTGACAACTGTCGTATAAAAGGGCCGATGCACATAACAGGCACATGTGTACTATTCGTAGCAATTACAGTACTGATGAACTGAAGATATGCATTATTTTGTAAACACTTTTAAAAGTTGTGTTAAACTAAAGATGAAAAGAACTTACTTTTACCTCATGTCAGGGATTCCTGAGAAAAGAAAATAATGATTTGGTTAGGTCTATACCAATGGTATTTAAATATTAGCACATAGCTGTTTGTCTTTGCACAAGTAACTGTATAGTGCTTTTGTTTCTCCTTTTTCTAAACAGATTTGTGTATTAAGGTGAGACAATTTTGTACTTTTTGTGACTGTGTGTATGGTTTAGTGGAATCTATATTTGTCATTTACAACTCACCTTACAATGCTGGGAATGAAAGAGTATTAAAAAAATATTTTCAAGGTGCACAGTTTCTCTGTTCGTGGGTAGGGTTAAAAAAAAAAAAAGTTTACAGAGAAACACATTGATTTGAACGTTTCTATTAGTTTTCTTCATATTGTTATAATTATAATTACTATTGCTACTATTAATGTTCTGAAAGCTGTATTAAAATAGAAGATAATGTTAAATATGTACAAAAGTATGGAAAGACCCATGGTAATGTTCTCTACTTGAAAGTCTTGATATTTGCTCCTTAATGTTTTTATTCAGTAAACATCATTTCTCTTAGTAGCAAATGCTTTACTATTTACCTTCTAGGTTTTGTATCAATACATTTTTTGTATTTTTCATTTGATTTGGGCCTTGACTTTATTTGAATCGATACTAATCGATACTATTTATTTTCTATTGACCATTGAATAAATTTATGCTAAATTACTCCCCTCATTCTTTTGTATTCTGTTTGCAGAACCATCAAGATTTTTCCTCATGACGTAGAAAGATATCAGTATAACTGCTCATAGGAACACTGCAGTCACAGTATCACAGGCGAGACATCTTTTTATTCAACATGTTTCAGGTGTGTGTTCAATTCAGGCAGGTGACACCTGTTTGGTTGTCGTCTCCATGGTTGTTAAGTTTTCTGATTCTTCGTCCTCCACAGCACTCCCTTTCCCACACAGCAGGAAAGGCACTGCATATTTACGAAACTGTAGAAACAAAAGGAGACAAGACATTTCACAAAAAAAAAAACGCACAAACACTCCAGCCAAGAAAAGTTACTCTGACATCATTCTGCAGCAGGTTACTCAGTTCCTTATTGTGCATAGACAACATTATCCCCTAATTATAAACATGTTCAGCTTTATAAAGAAATAATACAATCTTACAGTATATGTAAGATTGAACATGAAGAGTTTGCTGGATAAACGATAACCTAAAATATTTTGTTGCTCATCTAGGACTTCTACTTGGTATCTATGAGCAGTGCAGAAACACGAGTATGTGTTGAGGTGTATTACAAAATGATATAGTTGTGAGCACAAAGAAGTGTTTCATCAGCTCAGTTGTTAAAATAATTTGACATATTACTTATAGAAAACATTGAGGTAGTTGAGACAATTATTTCATTAATCCAGACTTTTTTTCAAACAATATTTTAGAATTGCTATTCTGTTTTTCATTCATCTTAAAACAAGCAGTAAACGAGGAACTTTACTAAGTGAAAGAAACCTGTTATTTTTAGTTACACATTTAAGGACAACATAAACAATCAACACAAAGATTGATTTTTAAATTGACCTTTGGTTATGCTTTTAGCCCCAGTTAAAACATAAATGCTGATTCCTGTAATAAAACAGTTCTACTCAAAAGATACACTCCCTTTCACTACCACTAGATGGGGCTGATGTACCAAAACGTCTAAGTATTTTAGAGCTCTTACAGCTCCATGAGTCTTAATCTTTTCTTTTGAATGTGGTGGTACCTGTTTGTTCAGGTAGATGTAGATGATGGGATTGTACACAGTACTGCTCTTGGCCAGGTAAACTGGCACCGTGCCCACCAGCGGATGTATGTTCACATCAGGTTTGTAGACCACCAGCAGGGCCAAGCTGGCATAAGGCAACCAGCTGATGAGAAATGTTAGAACCATCAGAACCACCATGGACGCCACCTTCATCTCTCCTTTTGCTACTGCACCACCTTCAACGCAGGCCATCTTTGATACCTGCAACACAGAAATGATATCAAACTGTAAAGTAGAGAATCTATAGAGCATTATCCACTGTTGGCCTTTAATCTCTTCTAATGTGTCTGGTATCCTGAATGTTAAATTCATAGAGGTTATGGGACACTACAGAGCATTAAACTAACACATTAACTTACTTCAACTTAACACTCTTATTATCAATGATGGAAGAAACAGGCTTATGTAAAAAGCACCAATACAACAAAAATGTATCTAAAAATCGTATGTGAACATTTACCTAAAGAAAGAAAAACTCACATTAAATTGTGCCAAAAATGTGAATGATAAAAGTAATCTTTGCAGGAATCTGGGCCCTGGGAGTGATATTCTATCATAAAGTATATGGCATTATTAGATTGTCCAGATTGCTGTAACAAGAAAGTAACACTTTACTGTTTAAACAAGTCAAGATTCTTCATATCCCGTTAGGTTGTTTAGGCAACTTCTGCACCTTCAAAAAGTTCCATCTGAAGTATCCTAATGGGGGGGGGGGCTCATTGATAATACAGCCCCCTGCTCCACACTTGGGAATGTAGATTTGTTGTTGTTGTTTTTTCTTTCTCTTTTTTTTCACCCTTTTTTCATTTGGGAAAAGGGCCCCTTGCACTGCTTTTTTTTCCTAACATTTGGAGCAACTGCTCTAGTCTGCAACAATTGATTGTAATCTGCTCTGAATAAAAACTACAGCTGAAGAATGTAGTGTTTTAAGGAAATATCTGCAAGGGTTCAATACTACATTTACTCCAAACTGGACTAACTCATAGTTGTTATAGAGTACTGCAGGACTAGATTTTTTCCCCTTCAGGTCAAAGCTAAGTGTTTAAACTTTCACCTGATGTAGTGTCCACATTAGCTTGGCGTATGATGCAAGGATGATGGCAAAGGGCACAGCAAAGCACACTCCAAAGTAAGCCAGGATATAGGAGACGTTGGAAGGGTCTCTGTTGTGCCAGTCAGGTGCACAGGATGTCCCCACCCCCTCCAGCTCATACCTGCCCCAGCCAAACAGGGGGGGCAAGTTCCACGTGAGGGACCACAGCCAGGACAAGGCGATGCCTCCAGCTGCATGCTTTTTCTGGAAGGTTATCTGCCCCAATGGCTTACACACAACAAACATCCTCTCCAGAGCGATCAGAGCAACAGTGCACAGAGACGCGATTCCTGCAAAGAAGCAAAGTCAGGGAGATACTAAGGGGAACAGGGACGTGAATGCTGTTCTGTGATTACATGGAAATGATGTAATGTGTCACTCTACTAAATAAAAAAAAAATGTTTACACTGTTTCACTGAAAACATTTGAACAGTTGAAATACTTTGCTATTCTTCCAACTCACCACACAAAGAGACTGCAAAGCCCTCCATGACACAGCCTGTTCGTCCCAGGGAGAAGTACCCCTGGGCGTTGTTGACCACGGACAGCACCCCTCCGGTCATGGCAGTGCCCAGGTCAGCCACTGCCATGTTCATCAGAGCGTAGTTGAGTGGCTGCCTCAGCTGCTTGTGCATAAGGGACACGATGATCACTGTAGCGTTGAGCACGATTGCCGGACCGGTGAAAAGAGCCATGATGATGGAGAGGATGATGAAGCCGATGCGTGATAGAGGGGGGTCCCCGTGAGGGCCCAGGTAGGAGGAGGCATTGTGGGGAAAATTGTATGGCTGCATGGGTGAGCTGTAAAAAATGGTGTGGTAGTTTCCTCTGGTCCTAGAGCTTCTGTACGAGATGCTGAATATCTCACCAATCAGGTGGGATGAGATAAGACGCCCTCCTTCTAAGAATAAAGGATTTGGCCAAGAGTAATTCCTTCAGATGATCCTTGATCCCTCACCTTTTGCTTGATTGTAAAGGCCCTAGCAGGATGACTCCTCAGTGTTCCTCAGCAGGATAAGTCCACTTAGTAAGTGTGAAGACAAAAAAATATCTGCCCACTCCTGCCAAGCAGAGGGATAAAGACACTACTGGTGTCAACAAAAAAAATTGTACTGAATGAATGTAAACATTTATCATGACCAGTGTTCTTTTCTCATGTTTTTTATTACATTTCTACATTTTCATTTCCTGTTTCTCTCTCTCTTGATGATCATAGCTGACTAAGCATGTTAAAAATGACTAAAATATACATCTAAGTAACAACTCAATTCAGCCCTCATCAACTTTGAAATATTGAAGTCACATATTACAAAATATTGACTGTTACCTAAAATATCAATACAAAAAAATAAAAATATGATACATCCATGCAAAACCGTGAACATTACATGGATTGGAATTGCACTGTTTTGTTTATTTCAATATTTCATTTATTTTACTGAAATATTACCATATAACAATTTAGTACTGCCTCTAAATCATTCTAATTATGTGATACAGATGAAGGTGTATTCAGTAGGTCAGAGTGAGACAAGTGCATGATTTCTGCCGTTACACAGTTTAATTCTGCTGGTATTCACATACTGGTGAAATAACTGCTTAAGCTACTTATTTTGGTGCACAATGTACCATATGGCCTGGACTCAGGATCATTGTGATGGGCTATAAATACGTCTCCTTTAAACATGCAAACAAACAAACTCACTGATTCTGAGAGACACACGTGATGACAATAGATGTAAAGAAAGCCTAACAATGATACAGAAAAAAGAAGTCTAAGAGCCAATAGTTTAAAATCACATTGTTCCTGTAGACCAATTCTCAATAATTGGCACCCTGGGGTGTTCCATAATCTCTCCATGGTCTGGTCACAGACTGTGTAACCCCCTCTACAGTGAGTTCAGGAGGTGAGGTTTAATCTTGGACTTTACATGACCAAAGGTGTCCCATGCTTCACCTTCTAAGAGGTTTACATCCAATCAAGTCAATATGAGGATTACAACTGTTTGGGTTTAGAGTTCAACTCAGTCTGGCACTGGTTATGAAGATTTAACAACAACAACAATATATAATTTGATTTATTTTAATCAACATGACTTTAAATTGTGAAATGAGAGGCCTATTTCTCTGTACTTTGTTCTTATTGTTTACTAAAAAAACACAACTTAAGTTAAAATACTAAACTCAAGGCTACATGTGACCCTTCAGTTGCATTATGTTGAAGAAAGTGTGGAAAAATAGGGGATCACACACATATCGTATGGAATTGGAATTGTTAAAGAAGAAATTGAAACTAATGTAGGTGTTACTGTCCCATTTGATTCTCTGTTGCTTTTGTTGAGAATTTTTACCTAAAGGGATATGAAACACCAGTCAGAGGTACCATGGACATGTTTGGTTGATTGCCAAATTCAATAGAAAGTGTGAACTTGGAAGGACTAAAAACTACCAACAACAGCTCGGTGGATGCAAAGACTTACACATAATGGAACAGATAAGAAATTCAGCACCATGGAGAGCACCTACAGACCTGAGTGAATAAACCATGGGTTCATTAAATCTCCTGTTTAAAATCAAGATAGGGACAGAGAACCATATAATACAGCTTTCTGCAGGAAACGTCCTTGAAATGTGTGATTATGTGAGCAGCAACAAACAAATCCTGTTGGGGAGGGGGGGGGGTATAAGATAGTTCACTTAGGAGAAAAACTCTGAGACAGAAATAGTCATTCAAAGCAGAGTATTTGTATTATTGTATTATTGCTTTAAAACATATCTGTGGGAAATATTTTTAATGCATTTTTGGCCTCCATTCAAGGCAGCCGTAGTGAGAGAAGGAAAGTTGGGGAGAGAGAGAGAGAGCAGGGGTGACATGCACTGAACAGCGCTTTGCTTATTGGAGAAGAACTCATGTACTGAAAAAAATCTCAACAAATCAAACCACTGTACTCACGTTAATGCACTAAATCTGAACTGGTGTGTTTAACTCACTAGCTGCAGTCTTGGGTGGGGGTCATTACATAAATTCAAACATGGGCTACATTCAAATTTAGAATGTGTTTTGGCTTCTCTTGCGTGAAAGCTTGTGGGACTGGTTGACCAACCCGGAAGAAACTCATCCCTTGCTTGAAAACTCTTCAGCAGGACTTGTGCCGGTGTAAAGTGCACGAGGACTGCCTTCATTCGCCGTCGATAGTTAATTAAAGCATTCAGGGAGGCAGTGTTGGTGACACTGGATGATACTGTCCGTCATCCCACTCGCGGCCATTCACCTTATCGGCACGCGCCAGACAGTACAGGCTCCTCACAACTGTGATGTACGATGCAATTACTAAACTAATAAAAGCCTCAAGTCCAAACACGGTTTGTGGGAGCGGTGGAGGGAGGGGGGAGGAGTGGTGGGGCATCAACCCGCCTACTGCCTTGACAACATTATCGCCTCCTAATCTGCAGTTCAGAGTTGGCTACAGGACGGCGGACCATACTTATTTTATAAGAGGCCATACTGATGAGTGTCGCGCAGCCGCAGTGGCTGAAACCTTTTCAATTTGTCCCTTAAATAAGATCCTCTTTGAAAAAGTTGCATGTGAGTGCCATGACGTCATTTGTCCGAGTGATAAAAAAACCCAATCTAAAGGAGCTCAAGGAGCTGTTGCGCCAGTACTTACACATTGTTAAGTAGTCTTGCTCTTTAAGTCCTGTTGATTTGTAGAAATTATTTCTTTGAACTCAGTATAACACTGAGTTCAAACATTTTCACACAGATCAAACCGCTTCCACGATCAACTGTTGTGTGTGTGTGTGTGTGTGTGTGTGTGTGTGTGTGTGTGTGTGTGTGTGTGTGCTGCTGGCAGTGCGGAAGCTTTCACCAAACATCTGCAGTCTCATTATCGCCCACAGAGCCATTTTCTGTCAGGAATCTGCGCCTTAGCCCACTCTCTTTCTCTCTCTCTCTCTCTTTTTGTTGGTTTTAAATAAAGCTGCGTGAACTATCTTATCACTTAGTTTCTTTCTTAATGTATTGCAATATGCCATAAAGCCTAAATATAACAACATCTTAGTTTAAGTAAAAACTCTGGCAGGGTTGTGCAAGTGCTGCAGGAGACAGCACGTAAAGCGTGTACAGTAAGGCTAACTGCAGCGTCAGCGTAAAATGCAACAACTTCTGAACAGTGGAATTGAAAGAAACGCAGAGGAAAACAAAGATAAGAGTTGGATTTTTTTTTTTTTTTAGCAATTTTCGACGTACATGCGTTTTTGCCTCAGCTTTATGACCGATGCACCTGTCCATTCTGAGCATCTCTTTTGAACCGAATATTTTTCGTCTTAAGGAATCATCGTCTGTACTTTCCAGATTTCCATGCTACTTTGCAAAAATCTGAAGGGACGAGTCCAGTGATAACTGTTCGTGATGCCGGTAGCAGAGAGCAAGAGGGTTTTTCTCTTTTTAGGGAAAGGAGCAGAGAATGGACGCTGCAGAGGGGTAATGCTCGCTCTCTCTCACCCGCTCTCTCTATGTGTGTGTCTCTCTCTCTCTCTCACTCCCTCACTCACTCACACACTCTCTCTCTCTCTCTCTCTCTCTGTACAGTAGGGGACGTGCTGGTAGTACCACGGGGCTGGAGACGGTTTATCGGGTTCCAGATATCCAGCACGCTGCTACTGAGCCGGGACTTTTCTCCACAGATATTTTCTTTCAAACCAAAGCAGAAGATGCCGGGGGAATGCAGCAGCAGCGTCCTCCTGATCTGGATCCTTATCGGCGTCAACGTGTTGGAGGTGTCGGGGTCCCAGCCAGGGATTCCTCTATCAGTGTGAGTGAGAGGCAACTCTGCAACTTGGTTTCACTCGGATTTGATCGATATGTCGATCTCACACAGACAGAAAATGCTAAAACCACTGTGCAGCTTTTTTTTTTTTTTTTAGATTAAAACGAATCAAGGTGGTTTAAGAATGACGAGTTACACAGAGATTATATGTTCTATTCCTTAAATCTCCCTAAATGTATGCAGATCAAACTACCTCTGTCTGTATCCCCATCACAGTCCATATTGCTTCAACCATGCACTTACCTGTAGAGTGATACTCATGGTGGGAGAAAAAAAGGCAAATACTATGTGATTTTTTTTTCATCATAAATGGAGGGAACATTTAAAATAGGCATACTTATTAAAGCCCTTAAATAAGGGGGTTACAACTACTACTATTATGATTATTTATTATATATGATTAAAATATTGAACATATTGTTTTGTGTTGTAAAAAGAATCAGAAATAATCAGTGCTACATGTGAGACTCTTATGGTTCTGCTAGAACAAAGAAGAGGTGTATATAACATTTATGTTGATCTTATTTTTTCCTAAAGTTATTAATAGTTTAATCAATTGAGAGCATTTTTTATTGTTACAAACTCCTCTGATTACTTTAAATTGTCTTAGGAGTTGAATTGTACTTCTAGCCTGCAGGTGTACTCTAGTCATTCCCAATGGTCTACATTTAAAGACAATAAGAGTGATTTACTGAAGCAGATTTTTCTCTAGAATTCAGATCATAGCTTAAGCAAATTGAAAGACTTTTTGAATTACAAAAAACTTTACTGGAGAACATTTATTGCAGGGTTTTATTAAGTTCTACTTCAATAATGTAAAAACTAGGTGGAATAAATATCAAAATAGAAATAAACGTTAATTCTAACACTTATCATATAGCCTGGGTAGCACGCTTTCCAGAGTGAACTAGTTAAAACAGTTTACCCACTGATTAAGTTCATGACAACATTCTGTTTCCCACTTTTAAAAATATGGGGCAAGACATTTGCTCCATGTAACTTTAATTATATCTTGTGTAAGAAATCCACAATTTTTTTAAATAACTTTTTTAAACTGAATATGAAGTCTGAAGAATATGAAAATTTTTTGGGGTTATAATAACCTTTTCACGTATTTTTTGTGAAAAATGTAGATTTGCAGGTGAGAATAATTTAACCAACATTTGTAACTGTAGAATCATTTTAGACACACTTTAATAAATGTAGCCTAGTTCTTTAATCATTTAACAGGGCTCGGAGAGTTCAGTCAAAGATGCCCCAAACTACAGTATAGATCATCAAAATTACAGGCAGTCATCTGTCAGCACAGTGAAGGTCAGGGACGACGGGACTTCATGATAATCTTTCAACTGATGTCAGGAATTAAGCTTTAAAAAATGATGGCTGAGGAGAGATAAAGCAGCAGAGGTATGTGGAGGACAGGGAGGATTCAGTGAGGAGACGGTGAGAAGAGATAACAGATTTAAATCCACATCTGTGACTGCTGCACAAACTTAAATCTTATCTTAAGTCGACAATTCTGTTCGTTGCAAAACATTGAATAACTTCGGCAATAAGTTTGAGCTTATTCTAATTAAATAAATTCAAACGCTTCCCTTGTTATTGTTGTTATACATGCATTTTTCTGTTCTTATAGACTTTTGTCCATGATGTCTTTTATGGTCTTTTTTTATATTTTAGTGTAAAGCTCTGGGCCTCAGCTTTTGGTGGAGAAATTAAATCAATCTCTGCAAAATATTCTGGATCTCAGCTTCTACAAAAGGTATTGTTTTGTTTTCTATTCTTGCGTAAGCACAAATGTGTTTTGTTTGTGTGATGGTCATGTAGTTACGCACGCACTTACATACACTGAACGCAACGATGCTGCGTTCCCTCTGATGGGCTGTAGAAACATTTAAGTGTCTTAGCTGAATGCTGATGCGTCATTTTAGAGGGGACTCAGTTGTATTTGAGAGAGACACTGTGTTGTGTGTCTGTGTGTGTGTGTGTGTGTGTGTGTGTGTGTGTGTGTGTGTGTGTGTGTGTGTGTGTGTGTGTGTGTGTTTTGTACTGGACACAGCCCATTACCCACAGCTCTGATTCCCCTCTCATCTCATCTCTTCAGTTAACTCTCTGGAGTCAAGAGTTTCAACCTCTGGACATGAATGTGACAAGGAGACAGATTGAATTGGAGAGGTGCTTGGTGTGTTTGTGTGTGCGTTGGGGTGGGGAGTTATCAAATGAGGGACAACTGAAAGCAGCAGAGGAAGAGCGATGACCAAGTGCAGTTGATTTAACTTTCTGCCCACCTGATGTTAAAGGTGGACTGAGTGTTTTCTGGCCTGTGCTGGTTGGAGATGAGTCCGGTGGAGAGACGAAGAACCGTCTATCAGAATGCGATTGTACACACTTTGCATCAATGTATTTAGGCATTTTAAAAGGCAGTAAATCTTCATAAAGAAATTCAATAGAATCTACCCTTAATACAAACTAAATGAACCTTTTACAAAGGAAAGAAAGGTAAAAAAGAAAAGAAGAAATTAACAAACACAAAAACAGTCTGCAGTCACAAGAACATTCAGAGAGGAAAATCTGTGACTGTTTTAAGAACAGTGTGTAACGTGTATCTATTGCTCTAATCATACATATCAAAAGTAAATGTTCTGAAAAGTTGTTGGTAATTAAAATCTTTGTTGATAACAAAAAAGGCAGCCTGGATATACAGTGTATTTTGAATCTTTGTAATCAGAAATAAATGGTCAGAAATTAGGAATAAAGTGCTGTGAGTCTGATAAAGCTTGGCCAAATAAATTCAAGTGAAACCTTCAAGACGGCCTTCAGGCTGAAGAAGTCAAATCCCGATGGAGGGGGACAGACCTGAAGATCTTTCTATCGTGCCTCATAGGCTGTGATCATTTGGCAGTTTATAGCTAAACTAAATAAAAGCATCTTTCAGAGATTAAATAGAGAGATGTCGGAAATCTGTTTTCTGCCAACTCAGCACTGCTAAAAACTTTTCTGTTTGCTCATCAGGTTGAAAATAAGGTTTGGTTTGTTTGGCTGGTTTGAGTAGAAGCAAACCACAATACAGTAAATTAAACCTGAAATCTTCTGTTGTATTTTTCTGATTTAGTTGCTTTGCAGATTGACTCATTTGTTTGTTGTGTTTCAGTGGCTGTAGTTTGTATAGAGCGGTGTTGAATCAAAGTGTTAGAAATTAAGTTGTGTTAAATACTATTTCAAAACATTTGTTACCGACACATTTATGAAACAGGATTTTAATCATGTCTTTAGATTCAACAACACCAAAAACAAAAGCCTTAAGAGTACACAGTTAGATCATTGTCTGAGTTGACAGGCCCGCTTTACAGGCGGCTTATTTTCAACATTGGGAAACTGAGATTCCTCTGACTAGAACAATATTTATTTTCCGTCTTGCAGGTTAAATTAAATGATTAGTTGATACGTTGATTCTTGTTAAGTTGAATGAGTCAGTCATACCTGTTAACCCTTTACTTGTGACTATCCTCCCTCTTTCAGGAGCTGTGGGCAATCACGGCACCACGTCCAGGGACAAACTCCAGTTCTGAGACCAGTACTCCCATCAAAGTCAGCAGCAGGATAAATCCTAAAACCACTGCTGCTTGTCTATGGGAGGAAAGCCAAGGGCCCAGAGGTCCACGCAAATATGGGGAGAGTGTTCAGACTGCGATTAAAAGACGCCTCCAGGCTCCAAACTTAGGAGCGTCCTGCACTGAGGTGACTGATTCTTAATATAACATTTCCATTTAAACATTCGGTGTAAACTGAAGATTTGTCCTTCCATTTGGTACCAAATGACTTTTTCATCTTTATACCAACATATTTTGTAATTTGCCCTGTAGATTTGTTAATGTTTTTCTGTGTATGTAAGCACTTTGCTCGTGTTCCTGTTCATGGAGGCATGTCTGCAGAGCCAGTCAGCACAAAGCAGTGAGCTGCGAGGGAGCTGACGGGTCGTTAGGGGCCGCTCATTAAGGCTGATCATTAGATGCTTTTATGGAGAATTAGCCCATTTTACAGGAGGTTTCAGGGAAAAAAAAAAAGGGAACTCTTGGGCTCTTCAGGGTCTGCATTGGTCATTATTCTGATCAATAATCATGATCAGTGCTTTTGATGGATGGGGCTTAACCTCCTCTCAATGGCTGGAGGAGTGTGAGGAAGAGGAGGAGGAGGAGGAGGAGGACGGGGGGGGGATGGGAACTGGGAGTGCTGAGGCGAGGAGGACAGGCGTGAAATGAACTGTTCTGCTCCACTGCGAGTCCACACTCTTCCTTTCAGTAGGTAATTTGTCGCCTCATGTACTAGTGTGTGTGTTTTTGTGTATGTGCTGTCCACACACTATGATGTGTTAAAGGTGTGTGTACGTTTTTTTATGCAGCTTTTGTTTATTTGTTGGTGAGGTTATTGTAAGTGTGTAATGTTGCATGAGAGGATCAGGTTTTTGCTTTTCTTTAACGTGTGTGTGCGTGTGTGTGTGTGTGTGTGTGTGTGTGTGTGTGTGTGTGTGTGTGTGTGTGTGTGTGTGTGTGTGTGTGTGTGTGTGTGTGTGTGTGTGTAAGGGGCAGGATTATGTAATGTTATATTCCTGTGGGCTGTGGCGGCTTTGTTCTGTATCACTGGAGGTCCAGAGCATCCAGCAGCATCAGCATTATGCTAGGTGTACTTCATTACCCAGAGTCACCCAGGCCTGACACGTTATTATCTTTCTCCTGTGCTTTGACTCCATTTCAATTACCCTCTTACCATGCATAGCCTTCTGATCCAAGCCCCTCCCCCTGGCCACCCAACAAGGCCTTTTCCAGCCAATCAGAGACATAGAAGCAGCGTGTGCAGCCAATGGCTGATAACGGCTAAAGACGATCAATCATTGCATGATGGAGCGAGGGTTTTATCAAGTGTTCATCTGAGACCGGCTGCATGCAGCTTGTCAGCAAACATGTGAAGCAGCATAAGCCTTGTTTAACAATTCCCTACCTCTCTGTAGGGGCTGCAGAGGAACAGTTGTGCTCTAAAATGTTGCAGAACACACACACACACACACACACACACACACACACACACACACACACACACACACACACACACACACACACACACACACACTCACTCACTCACTCACACTCCCATGGGTTTAAACATTTGAGGTCAACAATTTTGCAGTTTGTTTTTGTACAGCTGTTCACTGTGTGTTTGCTGCAACTATGTTTCTGGTAATTTTCAGAAATATAAAGAATTTGAAAAGTCAGTCAAAGTGGAAGAAATTGATGGAGTGAAACTGGTCAAAAACCTCGCTGTGAAGATGGAGGAAGTGTTCAGGAAAAAGGCAGAGGCCACAAGGGTACGTTAAAGTTTTCATATGTTTGGAAACTACATATTCTTGTTTTTCTGGGAAGTCCTGGGAAATGGTTCTTATGGTGGTATGGGTCAGAAAGAAGTTTGTATCCTTTCCTGTAGGGAAGGGTCTTAAATATTGCTCAGTCAACACTGAAAGTTCACAGGCTCCTTCTGACTTTCTCAAAGTGGTCGGATTGTCAAACATCATGTGACTGATTTACAATCTGTTGTTCAACATTATCAGAATGTATTCATCCTGATATTACCGCTTGTAATCTGTGGTAACAAAGAGCAATTGGGTTGATTTCACAACCACATACTTCTTTTGTTTGCTTTTAAAAAACATGTGGAATTATTCTGTGTTATATAAAATGTTTGATAAGAGAACACTTTAACATCATTTTTGAGTTAAATTAAATGGAGTGTGATAAACAGTTTCCCCAAAGGCTGATAGGAAAACACGAGTATTGTGCAACTTTCAGAGATGTTTTTTGTTTTGTTTTGCCTATCGTAATGTGAAAGAGTCGCTTGTGCTATAGGCCTACGTGTCTTGTATTTATTGCAGTCGAGTCTGAGCCCGAGTCACCCTCACACCGGCAGCCTTTCTGTGACCTCGGTGCAGAGGAGCTAGTAACCATTTTTAATGCTGCACCTCGCAGGGACTGCGGGCAAATGATAAGGTTTATCTCCCGCTACCTGATCTCATGTGCCAGACAGTTCAGGACGTATAGCTTATGAATTACACCCAGGAAAGCTGTCATGTCGTGTTCTTACACCATGAGATGCATAAAAGTGAAATAATTATTCATATTAAGACTGTTTTAACAATACAAGGCACAAAGTGGATATTGTAGCCTAAGAACAGGCCCGAATCGTATTTAAACCCAAAAATGGCACACGTGTCCCACACCTGATATGCTGACGTCATCTTCGCGCTTCAAATTCCACGAGGAAGTGATTTCAATAAACTGGTGAAGGTTGAGGTGTCCGACCGTTTCAGGTAGATTTTACATGAAGGGAACTAGATGGTGGAAAGACTTTTTCGCCATCAAAAGGAGAAAGCAAGATAATTATTTCATCATATTTTCTTTATTTGCAAACTGCTGACGAAGGCAGAACTCTCCACGAGGTCAATTGAATGTGTCCACCTCCTGCTCCGCTGTTTAAAGCCTGCGTTGTGTTTATATAGCATTTATGTGACATTTGTGACAGATGTTAATTACCGGCTCGGCTCCTGAGGTGAGAGTGACTGTAACGTTTAGAGGGCATTTCAACGAAAACACAGAGCCAAGCACTTTTTTTTTTTTTTTTTTTTTTTTTTTTTACAGAACAGAGTTATTACTGAAGCTATGCTGCCTCTGGTGCAGGGGTGAAATTCTGATCCAATAACCTGCCTCCATCAATCATCTATATCTGCTGCTCTCTCCACTGTAGTGCCCCACATTTTATGCATAGCCTACTTCGACTAAACAATAACACTATGGGCTGTCAAAAAAGAAAGATGTTTTCTTTCTTTTTGTGAGTTCAACTTCAAGCTGGACATGCCGTCGATTTCATTCAAAGACTAATCGCTGCTTGGTCTTGTCCTCTTCGATTTAAGCCCATTTTTTGACATTTAAAATAAAAGTGTTGCAGAGTTATGTGCACAAATAATTTTAGCCTGAAAACCTTTCTGCCATAAGCCTACAGGACGCACCTAAGGCCTTTGTGGAAGTTTTTACAACTGTTAGTGTTATTATTATTTTTTTTAATGAGTTAGATTGTTTTAAAATACATTAAAAACAATTACATTGTTTGTGTTAAAAGCTATATGCTCTAATTGGACACCGTTTTCCCTCCTCTCAGCGGCTGGTCGAGGCAGCAGAAGAAGCGCACCATGAGCACGAGGAAAACCCCGACCTGCAGGTGAGCTTTGTCCGGACACAAGAAAAAGAAAAGAGAAATAAATTGGGAGTTTAGTATTAGAAAAATAATAATAATAAAAAGAAGTGGTGAGTCATGGTGTTAGATCAGGGGCAATCATCTTTCGCTGGACTGCACAAGAGTGACTCCAAGGTGAGAGGAGGCTAATAGGCCCTAAAAGTCTTTAATTGCGTTGGCATTGTCCTTCACACTGCTGCTGTCCTGTCCGCGCTTTGATGTTGATATAATGTTTCTATGATAAGCAATGTCGAACATATCGAAGACTGCAGCGGCTTGCTGCTATAACTCACGACGACTGTTTTTTAAGAGATATAATAGCTCAAAGCCACCGTGCTGCTGCTGCTGCTGCTGCGCCTGAAGCTGCAGTATCCTACAGGAAGCGTATTCGATGATCAAGATCTATTGCCAGTGTGTTGGTGTTGCTGGGATCTAATGTGTGCTAAAATGTTGTGATTTCTATGCAGGCCTGTTAATGAACTCAATGTTTCTCAGAAGACTAAATGAGGCTGTATACAGGCGTGTGCGCTGGGTAACTCGGGGAGAAGAATGGTGTAAGAAGTCGGCCTGCAGGTCTACTTTTAATTATATTTCACAGGATGTGCATGCGCGGTATGTCTGGATGTTTTTAGGCTGCGCTCGTTGCGGATTTCCTCAGATCTGCAGAGTTAATGCGCTCTCTCTCTCTCTCTCTCTCTCTCTCTCTCTCTCTCTCATTTTCTCTCACTCTCTCTCTCTTCGTTCAGTGGACAAAGATAAATGAAAGTCTTTGCGCCGCATTGTTTCACTTTCATGGCCCTAGATTGGAAACGCACTGGAGCAACACAACAGTGAAATAACGGGCAGCACTTTACAGTTAATAGAAGCATTTACATCATAAGAATACATTTCAGCCTCCTTGTTTCCTGCCCGTTTCTCTGCTGTTCACACAGCCCTAACAAGACAGGTAGATTCAGCCCATAAGCCAAAATCAGACCGCTTTTTTTGATTAAGCAAATGTTTTTTGTTTTTTTTTAAGATTTCAAAATGTGCAATGTCGAGGTATGTCGAGTATTATCATGACACATTTTAATTAATTACATGTTGACTGATATCAGTTTTTTTTTGGTATCTCTTGCTCTCAAAGTAATCCATCAAAAAGTTGTCAAATAATGTTTATTTTTTTTAAATGTTGTAATATTTCTAATAACCTGACATGATTTAGAATTTACCTATTCTTTTTTCCATAGGCAAATATCTATGTGTATTTCAAGCATCATAACCGCCATCACAGAGTTTTAATAAATTATCTACAAACTAAAATCTTACAATAAAAATCTTCTAGGCTATATTTGGGAAGCTGTGTGAACATTTTGTTTGAACAGTTTTCATACAGCTCCGGTCCATCACGCAGTCTTTTTATCTCCAAGATCATAAAAAATAATAAGGAAAATTCAATATCCACCTGTGATAATGATGTGATGTCATTATATTACTCCTTGTGGCATCATTTAGTCAAACTCGCCTCCCCTGACATCCCACATTTTTCACGCACCATTTCACTGACCACAATGAGATAAGCTGACTGCTGCTATCTCTGCTGTGACTCTTGGACTCAGGTGTTCTGCATTGACCCTGGTGTGTCTGCAGTGAAGGGATGTGCAGATCACAGCTGAATGAATCATTGAAACTTGGCTTTTTCTTTAAAAAAAAAAAAATGAATTGACTATAATGTTTCAAAGTATTTTTGCTTTGTAACAGAGCTTTGCTGTCAACTTTTAACATTGAGGTATAGGCCTTCGATGTATTTGAAAATCCAAAATATTTCTACCCGTACAATTTAAACAGCTTGAATTTATCGTATGAAACTTTTATATCACAGCTATAATCTTGTCGCGCTTCAAGTCAAAGCCCCAAATTACTGCTTTTTTAATCCAATTTAACAGAGGCATCATAAAAAAAAGTAGACATAATGAAATTTAGAAAGCGTTGTTTAATTTGTATGCCATATTTTTATGACAAAATAAAAACTTTAATGGAAGACAGTGTTGTTCAGAAGTGTTATAAATCCAAATTATTGCATTCTTCTGTCATTATGGATTCTTCAAATTATAATCATTTGATAAATGAAGCTTTATGCTGATAGTCCTTATGGTTTAATATGATAAAAGGGTATTTGCATAGATACTGAACATGTTTGGTTCACAGCACAATTTTCTAAATGACCATGTTCCCTAATGATCACTAACACCTGGAAACACGCAGCTGTAGAACAAATGCATTTATGACTTGATGAAGCTGTTACTTATCACTGACATATGAGTTGGAGCCTGTCGGGCCATCAGTGCTCTGAACACAGCTAATTTAGACCCACCCTCTGCAGATACTGTGCTATGGTTTTACATTAAGACTGTGCAGATCTCTGCAGAAGGCCTTCAGCAAGCTGCAGTGGTGTAAGAGTCAGTGGGGCGTCTCAGAGCTGCAGTGTCCCCTGGCCTGCTCTACAGTAAAAAACCCTGCTGTTTAACGTGGCTCTACAGCACTATCACTTTTTGCTGAGGGTGCACGTTTCTTTTCTCCCATACTGCCCCCCTCCCCCCTCCGTGCCCCCTCCTTGCCGCAGCCCGTCAGAGAGCCGCTCAGGCGTGGTATGAGCTGTCAGCGGCTGCTTGATGGTGATGCCCACGCGGCCTCCCCCGAGTGCGATGCTGTAGAGTCCATCACCAATCTCTCCCTCCCTCTCCCTCTCTTTCTCTCCCTCACTTGGTGCAGACAATCAGGAGCAGAGGCCACAGAGAGGCCGCTCACACAGGATGAGACAGTCTTTCTTCTGCAGCAGCAGGCAGTGAAGGACAGGACACACTAACTGTTGGCTTTCACTTCAGGGAGGACAGAGGGTCTCACAAGCCGCTGTGCAGTCCTCTTTGCACGCCCAGGTCCCTTTTTTGACCTCAGTGACGAGTGACTAAAGTGTAAAGACATTTTGGACAATTTTTCTATTTTAAAAACTACACTGACAACGCAGAAAATTCAGGTTTTAGAGCGTCTTCTTGTCAATATGTCAAAGTGTTCTTCAATAAATCATCGAACCCAAATTGCTCCCACATACCCTAACCCTATGAGGAAAGAATGCCCTGTTCAAACCAACATAATTTAAAACATTGTGAAAATATATTCTTTTACGTATATTTTAACCCTTTTATATGCTATGGTATCCTTTACAGTCATTTGTAAGGTTTTACAGACTCTTAGTTTTGCATCCATCGATATCATCCTCGATAAGAGAATTTTTATAAATCCACATAAACTCAATGTGTTTTCACCAATTGCTAAGATTTATGTAATGTACTGTAGTCCAAAGATAAAAAACCTGTATGAGAAAAATATGTCAACCCACTTAAAGAATAGATTTAAAAAAAGCATTTGAAGCATTCCGACTGAAAGAACCTGTTAAAAAATTTCCCTGGAGAGTTCCACGATGAGTAAGCCAATTTAAAAAAAAGTAGCAATAAAAGTTCTTCATAGCTGCTTCGAGTAAAACTCTACTTACATATACGTATGCTCAAAAAATGAATTGTGCTTGTTGTCAGTGTTCCTTTTGTTTTTTGTGGCTGTAAAAACATCAATCCTGGATTAGTATGCATCCCCCTGACACTACTGCCTCAGGAAACAATAAGAGTATTTTATTATAAAGACAGATTTTTGGAAAGAAACATTCTTGCTCTATTTTAGACAGCTAAGACTTCCTTCAACTGAACTTAAGGATGCATTGTTTGCACAGATTGAAAACTGAGAAGCAAATGAGGCATGATCACTCATTGATCACTAGACAGGAGAGTTTACAGCTTGAAAAATACTGTAGATGATGTACATTATGAAAATGTCATTTTTGTTTTTGAATAACTACTTGATGTGTACTGTGAACCCATTTTCTGCTACGCATTTATAGTTTTGGTTTTGAGTTAAAAGAATAACAAAAAAATGCAAGCTTGCATACATCCCTGCTGGCTTTGGTTAACATGTGCTCACTCTTTTTTCCTCAGTACGAGTATTACAACGCCGTGCTGATCAATGAAGTGGATGAAGTAGGAAATAACGTGGAGCTGGGAGGAGAGTTCCTCCTGGAGCCAAACGATCATTTCAATAACCTGTCAGTCAACTTGAGTCTCAGTGTGGTGCAGGTTCCAACCAACATGTACAACAAAGGTGAGGGCTCCTCCTGCATAAATATGTGACTTTGTTTTTTTTTAACCAGAAGCTGATGTAGGGGGAGGAGAAGAGGAGGGAAGAAAGTAAGTGGTGAGAGTGAGAAATGGTAGTTGAAGCTGTATTAGTATCACAGGCGAGGAGAAGAGGCGTTCAGGGATCGATAAAGAGTCCAGACAGAAAGAGAAAGCAGCTGCAGACCTCTCAAAGCGACTGAGCAGGATGTTTGTCATACGCTCGCTGTTCAGAAGCTTCTTTTCTTATAACAGAGTGTGTCACCTCCCCCTGTGTGTCACCATGGCTGCTTTTGTTGGGCTGTAATGGACTCCCCATAACTCTGTGTTTAGTGCACAAAGGGAGGCTTGTCCAGCAGGAGGAGGGAAGGGGAGGTTATAGTCACAGGCTTTGTATCTTCTACAGGGGGGTCTATAAGGACCAAAAGTCAACCATGCACCATGATGATTACCATTATCACCATTTCATACACTTGTCTCTGTTTCTCTCCCCATTTCTTGTGTGTTTCCTCGTCCTCTCCATCAGATCCTGACATAGTGAACGGAGTGTACTGGTCAGAGGCTCTAAATAAAGTTTTTGTTGATAATTTTGAAAGAGACCCAACCCTCATTTGGCAGTACTTTGGGAGCGCCAAGGGTTTCTTCAGGCAGTATCCTGGTGAGTGCTACAGCTTTTTAAAATGTGTCTGTGGTCCTATTGTGTCAATGCGTGTGCGTTTTGTGCTTGCATCCGTGTGTGTGTGTGTGTGCGCGCGCGTGTGTGGGAAAAGAAAGGCTGGTCTCGAGGGAGTCATCAGCCGTCAGTGCTGGAAAAAAAACAGATCAGAACAAATGATTTAGAATTACTAAAAGGGTGATTTGGCTAATGTTGTAATTTTACAGACCATCAGAGAGGATGCATATGTACAGCTGGTGATTTATCAGAGTTTGTGGGTCCTGCGTTGTACTGAGGAACTGTGCATGGCTGTAAAATCAGGCAAAGCTTTAAAGGGATGGGAAACAGGCCAAGAGACAAGATACAACAGATTTTTTTTTTTTTTTAGAAAACAAACACAGGCTTTGTGGGTTTGATTTATTATAAGCAATTTATTTTTTTCATCTTGGTTTTAGAACATGCTTGTTCTTATTTTTTCCTCCTCATATTCCTCCTCATTTAAATGCTCTTCAAAGATCCTACATCACTGAATTATTTTTGTTTTTTCTGTACATTTAAAAAGATCAAAGAGAAAAAACATGGATAAAGATAGACAGAGCCTTAAATATGTTATTTATGTTTGAGGCAGTGATGGCAAACACTAAATCATTTCTTAGGTCTATTTTGGGGAGTGCTCATTTTTATTACACATTTTTAGTTTCACAACGTTCAAAGATAAATGTTGTACTTTTGTCTCCACTTTATTGTTTTCCCACCTTTTCAAAATATTTATTTTTCATTAAAAACCAAAACCAGTATATAATAATTATGATACCATCTCAGTCTATATAGTATATAAAGCAGGCACGACTCCACTTTGACAAACTTCATCAAAAAATGCTTACTGTACATGTTAAAACTCATGAAAACATAGTTTCACAAATTAAGACATGTTTCACTGAAACCACTTAGTATAAAAGATCAATCTATTCACTTTAGTTGTTATTAATTGATTTGCTTGATCAGAACTTTGTGGGTGTCGTTTGATTGACAGTGCTGGAAAACGACACTGAGGTCACCAGGTTCAATTGTAGAACCTGGAGAACTGAGATTTGTGTCACGTCACCTACCTGAGCCTGCACTCATCTCTCATGTTGAATTACAAACAGCTCTGCACAGAACATGAGCATTCATTTTGTGTCTGTTTATTGCAAAATGTGTTTTGTTTCCCCTTTTTTCTTCTGTTTTCTTTCCATCCACCTCCTGATCTGATTTCTCAGGAGTGAAGTGGCATCCGGATGAACACGGCGTTATTGGCTTTGACTGTAGAAACAGGAAGTGGTAAGTAGATTAAAATTAGACACGTTGTAATGACCTGTTTTTGAAACTTATTTGTAAATCAAGCACTTCTTGTCTATTCTCCCATCAATACTGCAACAATCAAGGTACCACAATGTGTGATTTACCTGTGTATCTCAGGTACATTCAGGCAGCTACGTCTCCTAAGGATGTAGTGATCTTAGTCGATGTCAGTGGAAGCATGAAAGGACTCAGACTGACCATCGCCCGACAGACCGTCTCCTCCATATTAGACACACTGGGAGACGACGACTTCTTCAACATCATTGCTGTGAGCTTCAGTAAATCCTTCGCTATGTTTGTGCCTGTGTATTTATTCAACAGTACTAGTACTGTATGGTAAGATATGATTCACTTCATGTGTCTTACACTCCAGTGCTGCACACATTGAGCTGTCTCTACATTAGAAAGAAACAACAATCCACATGTAGACAGAGAGGCAAATCCCAGTCAAAACCACAAAACAAATATCACTGTCAAGGCCGGCTCAAAGCAGAAGACTAATGACGAGAAGAGACAAGGAGTTACTTGAAATTTATTTATTTATTTACATGAGAGTTCAAAAAGTTGAGTTAGCAAACATGAGATGTGAAAGTCAGTTAATCAGTTGTGTAAGAGCATGAGTGAAGGTATGGTGAGTGAGGAGTTGTAAAACAAAAAGAAATGTGGAATGTGGCTAAGTGGGGAGTAGCCTCTCTGCCTTTCCTTCTTCCTGTCTCCCAACAATGAGGAAGTGGGGTCAGCTCTTATGGATTGGGAGCTCATCTGAAACACAGAAAGCACAATGAGCAAAACAAGCTAACAAGAACCCAGCAGGGTCGTCACATAGCATATTACCTTAAAAACACAACATAAAGAGAAAAATAAGATCAGATAAGATAAGAACACCATGGCACTATTTCACAGCAGATACAGCCATCAGAAACATTATTCAATATTTAGATGGAGGTGGGCACAAAACTTAACAGTTTAAAAACAGTTTGCATTTGGGGACTCTGTCTGGTCATCCTCTCTGTAGAGGATGTGAGATGGGTCAGATGATACTCTGCACTTGCTTAAGAACAGACCGCCCTTATTTGGACTTATAGAAAAATATTTCTTACCTAAGTTACATCTGTGAAGTATTTAAAATAACTATGCTCAGTCTTTCATGGAAACAAATTATCCTTTATTTTGTATTTTCTCAGTACAATCAGGAGATCCACTATGTGGAGCCTTGTTTGAACGGCACGCTGGTCCGAGCCGACAGAACCAATAAAGATGTGAGTTGGTATCCAACTAAAGTGTCATGACTGTATGCTGATCAAATCAAGTTGAATTTGTTTGACATCTGTTTTACGATTTACTGACAGCATTTCCGGGAACATCTGGACAAGCTCTTTGCCAAAGGGATCGGGCTGCTGGGTGACGCTTTGGCCGAAGCATTCACAATCCTGAATGATGTAAGCTCCTATATTCTCCACCTCTTTACATGAACCTCTTCTGTACCTGTCTCTGTCAGTTTAATAAGGATGCTGTGCAAACACAAACCCGCGCTATTTTCCTAAAAGACAATGTATCTTAAAGCAGATCCTGTAAATTCTTTTTTTTTTTACTGTTTACTGAATTTGTGACAATGCTGTTGAGTATTCATGAGTTCCAATGAAAGGATGCATCAATTTATTCATTTGTATGACAAAAAAAGAATGTATTTGTGCAATGTGCACCTATTTGTTTTATTTAATTGATGGACTCCACTTGACCAGAACATTAGAAAAACTTTAATTTCACAATTTCACAGGCCACATTTGTTTTCAGTGACGGGGAGTGTTCATGTACGACACTCGGCGTGTTCACGGCTAATCATAATAAAAGTAACACACACTGCAGTCAGATATATGTGAGCGTTTGGGAGGTGGTCGCCTGTCGAAACGCTCCAGTGCTATCCCTGTTCTGCCCTCCAAACACAGACACATCTATTCTGAAGTGTGATTAATGGCTGTAATTATTGTCAATGATTAATAACGGGGCTGATTGGAACACAAAGCAGATAAGAGCAGGAGCTGCGCCATGCTCCTTTTATCTCCCTGTTTTCAGGCGAGCCGGGGCTGCAGCGCTGAAGCTGAGCGAGCGCAGCTTTTACCTCTGCATTTGTCAGATTAATTAAAGCCCTGCAATGAATATGGTAATCAGGGAGCAGACTGCTGAAATGTGTTGTTACACCACTGCCCAGTGAGTGAAGTGAGAATATAGACTATCAAAGAGCAAATCAGAGAAACACATTAAGAGCACTGCGGCATTTTTACAACCAGTGCTGCTGAGCACGGAGAGAGAAACGTCTCCTACTTACACACTGATGATGATAAAAAATGAGCCTAAAATTTAATATTTTACCACCACAAAATATGTAAGCCCATCCCCTCGATTCATGATTCTAAAACTAGATAAGTGATTTAGCTCTCAAACACTCCGAGCCTGAAATTGATTCGATTTTTACCAACATCAGCTACATAATGATCCCTTTTATTGATTGCCTTTTATCATTAACATTTATATTTACATGCTTAACTTACTTATAATACTTAAGCCAATTTTATAATATACAATCATACAATGCTAGTAAACATTGATAGTTCAATTAGATTAGATAATGTTGCAAAATGTAGGAGTGATGAAAAGAGATCTCTTTAAATTAACATAAACAAAGTCCTTTTATAAAATAATTCTAAATTTGGCAGCATGAGTTAATGTCAAAATGCATTGTTTGGGATGTGATCAACATGGAACACTTTTCATTGACATTTAAAAAGAAAAAGCAAAGGGGTAAATAATGAAAACAATCACAGCTTCATTTCATTTAGCTGCTTTACTTTCAGGTTCCTGGTCTTGTACATGTTGGCTTACTGTAACAGTGTAAGGTCTTACTGAAATACCTAAGTAGAACTGAGCCATTATCAAAGTTACTGATAATACATCAAAGGTCAAAATATATTCTGTGACCAGAATACAATCTCATTATACTGCAATCAAATCTTGAGAATGATACTCTAACTTGTAAAATGTTGACGTCTTGATATCTATAGGTAACAGATCAGGATAGTTAATGTGGAAACAATTTCTAATACTACAATACATATAATCCTTACATTTAAATATACCTAACTTTTTTTAAAGTCTTGTTTTAGTGTTTAACATCCCCTGTTATTTTAATCTTTAATGAAGTACAGCCTTACTGACTGCTCTGTACTGTTCTTTTTGTTTGCTGTAATGTCACAACCTCATCATCACAGCAGACAAAGACACTTTGAGGCAGTGGTTTATCTGGCAGAATTGAAAATGTGCACAGATTATTTCGATTGAATCTCACCTAATGTCTCCTATCATACGTTATTTTATGTTATTTATTCATTGTGACATACATACCCACATGTGCGTGAAATACTTCTAACAGGACATTGCAAACAACTGCACCCTTTGATAGGCTGTGTAGACGTCTGTGTGTATGTGAGAGAGAGAGTGAGAGAGAGAGAGAGAGAGAGAGAGTCCTGCAGGCCTCACTCATGCTCCGCATTTGTGATGTGACAGCAGCTCAGCAGGTTTCATCCTGTGATTGTGTGTCTGCACGTTGCTCTTTTCTTCACATTCATTCTGTTACAGGTCAATAACACACTTAATCTCTGCTATGCATCTTCTGGCACTGAGATAAGACACCAAACACCTCTGAATATTTGCTGAGACATGAGCTGTGTTTTATTGATTCATGACTTCACAGCTGCCATATCTAACGTCATCATTATGTACAGTTGAAACAGAGATTGTAAGCACTGTTGATTTGACGTTTAACTAAAAACACTGATGTTTGTTGTTATTTTGATGTGTTTAACCGTATGTGTTTTTTCTGTTCCTGCAGTTTAATCAGACTGGACATGGCAGTGTGTGCAGCCAGGCCATAATGCTGGTGACCGATGGGGCCACTGAAATGTATGATGACGTTTTTGAGAAGTACAACTGGCCAGAAAGAAAGGTGAGTATACGCTCCACCACCCCCCCCCCCGATCTCATTGTCTAATTTATTACACATTTTTGCTGAAATTATCGCCGAGTCAACACTTTTCTTCCAGCGGTGACAGATGTACTTTTCAATCCTTCCTGCCAGCTGGAGCTCGATGTATGGGGAAATTAAATTTTATCTTCATAACCTCTCATAACTCTATAATGCAATGTTAATATGATGTTGTGTTGATATACAACAAAGGGAATGAGGAATTAAACATAGAAAGTGAACTGCTTTCAAGGGCAAAGTATGAAGTATGTACAAGCTTCCCTGTCTCAAAGTACCTCCCCCCCCCCCCTTCTCAATCTCTCGCCACACTGCTTCCTCAACTGTTTAAATTTTGTCGGCCTCTCTTTGTAAGACCAAAATAAAATAGAAATGGAATGGACTGCTGTGCCACTCACAAAGCCATAAAAACAACAGCTCAGGGGCTTTTGTTCAGTCCTATTGAGCATATGTGTGTTGGCAGTGTTTGGCAGTGTACGGGCCAGTATTTGGAGAGACACCCCCAACGCACCCCACCCCCTCCTCATACACCCCGAGGGCTGCTATGTGACAGCCATTCAGTGTTTTTTCTATATGCTTTATGCTTAGCAAAGCATCTGGAGCCAATGAGCCGTGCACGTTTGGCAAAGTGTCACACAGCGTTCTTTAAAAGGACAGAGGAACATGCCCTCATATACAACCCCAAACAAAGAAAATTAATTTAACCGCAGAGTGCAAAGTGGGGGGGGGAAAGTACAACCTACTGTTAAAAACGGATAAAATGAACAGACAAAATGTAGAGAGAGAGAGGAAGAGCAGAAAAAGCAGCTGCTCTACGTTTCCTCATGAGAATGCAGAAACATGCAGCTACTTCTTGCAGATAGATTCAGGACAGGAAGATAAAGTACTGAGGAGACGCATCACTTTGCATGTTTTTATTTTTTTCCATTTTAGAACCTGAGGACATTTATGTGTCCTCTGCACAGGTGCGGATATTCCCATACCTGATCGGACGAGAGTCTGCGTTTGCTGATAACCTCAAATGGATGGCTTGTGCCAACAAAGGTTTGTGACTTTTGATAAAGACTCATGAGGACAGCTCTGTGTCAGAGTGTCGGATATGATCTGACGCTGCTTCTGTGGAGTAACGTGATAGGTAATTGATGTGTGGATATCTCTGTGGTTTGGTGGTGTATGTGTGCGCTATGTGCGTTTTCATGTGTGTGTGCTGGCTCGGATTCCTTCTGCCAGGAGGCAATGAAGTGGCACTTGAGGGGGGTCAGGGGTCAATCTGCTCTAATCCTTCTTCCTGTCAGAGCGTCTCCCCCTCGGCTGCTCGCTGCTGATGGCTCCCGCGTGTCAGCGCTCCGCATCAGTGCCCTCTGGAAGGGAAAGTCACTGCCAGGAAAACAGATCACAGGGGGACTGCAGGGGGACGAGCCCCAAACATCCTCCCCCACATAGACCCCCACTGTTGGATAACCTTCCATGTCCAATATGAAGCATTGTCACACACAGCAGGAGCTGACAGACAGTCAAATGGTCCCTCAGTAATGTCAGGGACATCAGCATGCAGGGAAAGTACATTTGAATAAATGCTGTACTTTTCAGCTAAATGTACTTATGGAGTATTTCTGTGTCATGCTTTTTAGGACTACTGCTGCACTGGATTTCCCAGTATTCCTTATTTAATATCATCTGTAGTCTTTATTAACTATGCAGATTAAGCATCAATAAGATCTACAACTAGAAGTTCTTGACAGGTTAAATCACCATGGTGCAAAAATCTATGCAAGCCATGACTGTAGGACCAGTAAGATATGGAGGGGGGGGGGGGGGGGGGGGGGGTTGTTTGCTGACATGGAATATTACATTCATCTGTTTTGTTGTATAATCACCGTAAAAATAAGAAAGCTTGTGTTTCTTACCTTCTAAATATTTTTTTTTATCTGAAGGGGAAGTAAGTCTATCCATATAATGCAAACTATTGTACCTCCATCTTTCTACAGTAGCCCAGAACAGACAAAACAAATACTGGCTCTTGTAGGAAATCTCTCCTTTTTTTTTGTAGACACCCAGCCTGTTCTAATTCCCCGTGGTCAGACCCAAACAATTTATCACAGCCCTCGGTGTCTCTTACAAATACTGGAGGAACCCTGCAGCATCTGCATGAGATGCACTGAGCTTTGAACACACTGTAATGTAAATACAGCTGCAAGAATGTACAGTAAGACACTCATAGAAAATGCACTTGATGATGTAGTAGATAGAAGGGGGTTGGCCTGTGCATCACTCCACACCATAGGTTCATGGTGTGGAGTGATGCACAAACTTCCAAGGACCTTCACCATAGAGTCTGGACTCTAAGTCTTGTTTGAAACAAAAAAGAAATGTGTTGTTTTAAACCTACCCCCCTCTGCCAATTTCCCTATCTTTAACCAAGTATTTTGTTATTTCTTACCAACCCCAAGAGTCTGTTTGCGTGTGTGTAGACGTTAACCACATGTCAGACAGAAATCAAACAAATGCTCCCTCCTTCATCTTTAGTTGTCTTATGAGACGCAAAAGGGATTTGGCAATGGCAACCTGGGAATGGATTGTGTTGAGTTACATGTTTATACATGTCCGTCAGAGGAAGTGCACCATTGTAAAGAGTTGTATTATTATTGTTTACCACAGTATCAGTTTAGTTACTTCCAGTGGACAAAACCAAAGCAAGACTTTGTCAGGTCCTTATCTTTAAATATGTGTATGCTGTGCCTCTATTGCAGTATAAAATGTGTGTGTGTTATATTTCAGGGTATTTCAGTCAGATCTCCACGTTAGCAGACGTTCAGGAGAATGTGATGAGGTATCTTCACGTGATGAGCCGCCCGAAGGTTATCGACCATGAACACGACACGGTGTGGACTGAAGCTTACGTGGACAGTGCTGTGAGTGCGTTTGAAGCAGTATCAGTGAGATTATTCTCAGGGAACATCTATGTATGAGAGAGACTGCATGCCTGTAGTGGAGCAATGCAGCAACATGCTTTCTATAAAACCAGTAAAAAATAACATCAGCCTGAGTTTGTTTAGTTGATATTACGCAATACTGGATGTTATTTTATCCATCACTGTTGCATACTTTCAATGTGTGCACATATGTGTCTTCTGTCTCATCATCATTTTTCATGCTGCTGGAAATATTCCTCATTATAAGCTTCATTAATCCGCATGGATCCTCCTCCTGGTCTACATCTGTGTCCACAGAGTCTGTGCTCAACATGAAGACTTACACTCTGTTTCTGTGTCTCTTCCTTCATTTCAGCTTTCCCAGGCTCATAAGGTAAATACCTACATGTGATCGTTTCCTGCTCTCAGGTAGAATCCTATTTATAAAAGACTGAATTGATCTGCTGTGTTAGTATTAAAGAACTGTAAACTAGTGTTGGAATGACGGTAATGGACGGGTTATAAGGTGTCCACAAGGACTCAGCGTATTTGAGTAATTTTGTTTCAAGAAGAAATGACGTGAGAGGTTAAACAGCGGGTTATTGTTTCTACTCATATTTCGTTTTACTGGTTCCTTGGAAGTCTAAAGTGAGGAGAAGCTATTTCCTCTGAGAGCCAGACTAGTAGAGGAGCATTTATTATACTTCTCCTCAGTATGGAGACTATGAGCATGCACACACACACACACACACACACACACACACACACACACACACACACACACACACTGGAGGGATGTGAGATTGTCCTCTGGAGTGTGTGCTCTTGTATCTGAGCCTCAGACACACCATTCATCATTCTGTGGATCATTGCATTTTATCTCCTAAAGCCCATAATAAAACTGACATTGGAGAGGTAACCAAGGAAGAGAGGAGGAGAAAGGAGAGGGAGAGATGGAGATGGAGGAGGTGGTGGTTAGGCGTCCATGGCTAAACCTGTGTGTGTGTGTGTGTGTTTTGTGTGTGTGTGTGTGTGTGTGTGTGTGTGTGTGTGTGTGTGTAGACTTAAGTAGTCCAGTTTCCTCTTCCATTGTCTGCTGTGATGAATTTAAGGACCCAACATTTTTCATGCTGTCAAGTCAGCTAGTACACGCAGCAGCTTACAGCTCGTTTGCACACACGAATGGACATCACACAGAGACACACAAACATACACACACACACACACACACACACACACACACACACACACACACACACACATGTATATACTCAGCTGTGTTGACTGACGAAGGGAGGGAATAACAGACCTACTTTGGGAGCGCTCATGTGCTTAAATGTGTTAGCCTTCATCGTTCAGAGCTGACCTCCTCTCCCTTCTCTGAGCCCGGCCTGAGAATCACAGAGTTCACATTTAGTAATATATTTGAAGTGATCATGATGCTCTTTGATGCAATGACAATTCATGTTCTACAGATCACAGATGTTTGTTTCATCACTTCTTTCAGTGGAAGATTCCCACAATGCCAACACGTTTCTCTCATGTTTGAGAATAAAAACAAGTCAGAGTTTGACCAATAGGTGACTTAATATGCCCAATTAAAAAACCTCTTAGTAGTTTGGTGCACTAGATGCCAGCATTAAATTGATTTGGCACAACTAATAGACATCGGCTACCGGCATCGGTTCTTGCCACATTATTTGACGATTTGCTGATGTCTGTTAGCACGGCTAATATGGGCCAATACCGATGTTGAACTGATGCGTAAGTGCATCCCTAACAAAAAGTAATTTATGTAGCACTTCCCAAAACTGATGTCACAAAGTGCTTAAAGCAGAGACTCATATGAATGTTGTGTCGATGCCTTTAGACTTTATTATGTGTTCTATGTTTTCCCTTTTTAGCCACTTTTAGCTTAGCAACTGATACTCATATTCCTCACTGAATAACTGAAGCTCCTCGTTTATCTATCTGAACAATGAATTGAAAGTCCTGTCAGACTTACTTACCTTACTGACAATTGAATAATGTACAGTGGGAATACAATTATATTCATCCCTGTTGAGAAGAAATTGATGATTTTTGAAACTACTACTATTAAATCATTCAACTCATTATTGGGACTTCAACAAAAAGAGGGGTATAGTTCATGTGCTGATTTCAAAATGCCGTAGAGACTCTTTGCACATTAATGGTTCTCTTGCACTATTCGCTTTTGACTGAAGTTTACCAGAGAGATCATACAAATGTGACAATAACCCTTCCAGTTATTGAAATGAAATACATCAATAAAATTTAGCTGCTAGAAATTATTTCTTTTGTTTCAGTTGAATGACAAATCAGGCCCAAGTCTGATGACAACAGTTGCCATGCCTGTGTTCAGCACAAAGAATGAGACGGTAAGTGTTTAGGTCATTGAGTAGAGGGAGACTTAGATACCCGTTTGTTCAGGTGAAATAGTAAATTAAAAGGAGCTGTCTTTCACTGATTTCCAAAATAACTGAAGATCACAATGATCACCATGACCAAAATCCATACAAAATGAAAGTTCTTCAAAGCTGCTATAGATGGAACTGCGTAAATTCAACACATATTGGAGAACTTGAAGGTTGTGTGGGTAATTTTACATGAGTTAAGCACCTGAGTACTTCTTCTAAAACTGACTGACTAAACATTTGTGCGGTTTTCATCTAAATTTGTTTAGCTGTGAATTTGTTTTTGAATCCTCTCATGCAGAAGAATCAGGGTATTCTGTTGGGGGTAGTAGGAACAGACATCCCTCTGCAGGAGCTGATGAAGCTCATTCCCAAACATATGGTACAGTCAGCTGTTCTCCTACTTTTACTTTGAATACATTCATTTAAAAGTTGTGATTTTTTTTTTTTTTTAAATGTCTCTTGTGTTGTTTTTCATTTTGTTCCTCCAGTTAGGAATCCATGGGTATGCATTCGCGATCACAAACAACGGCTACATCCTGACGCACCCTGACCTCAGACCTTTGGTAACTTTGTCTCTTTACAGCAGCACAATATCGCAACATTCCCAGACTTTACCCTGATTATTCCTTTTCGTTCCATGTAACTGAATGCATAACAAAAATGACGTGAAGTGAAAGCCTCTGTAAACAAAGGCACACAGAGACAAATGTGTAATCTGGTTAGGAGGCTGAATGGGCTCGAATAGTCTGTAATCCCCACCTTCTCCTTTGATGTATGCATGCAGGGATAAAGGCCACTCATAGGGCTGGCCGGCCTGAGGTTTCCCAGAGGTAACTTAACACTCGCTGGCAGAGTGCACAGCCGCTGCACTGGGAACGCTGGTTTCTCAGGAGCTCTGGCTGTGCTAGTGGATCTGTGTGTGCCAGTGTTAGTGCTATTCCTCTCTGTGCAGCCGTGTGTGTGAACGTGTTGGTCTGTGTTGGTATTTCTGTGTTGAGTGTCTCTTTGTGGCTCAAACTGTGCTGTGGTTGTCGTCAGTGATTGTCATTTCTTGTGGACTAGACGACGTGCAGAATCAGAGTTTGACATGTACAGTTTAATGCACTGATGTAGACTTGTTTGAGCGTGGATTTCCTATCAATCATGTAAATTATTTTTAATCTACCTGACAGTGTTAATTTCATGGATGATTTAGTGAATAATTACACAGCAAAACCTGCAAAAAAGCTTGACAAATCAGAGGATACAGCAAGTCTTTACTTTCTTATCGAAACACAAAAGATGAAACAAAGGCAAGACTTTTTATTTTATTATCTAAAAATGATGCGTCACATACAGATTTAGTAGTTGTGTCAGGCTAGACTGGTAGATATCATTTAAGCTTTTTTTATGACTATTAAACATAACAGGATCAATTAATCATGTATGTTGTGTTCTTCTGCAGTATCAGGAGGGTCAGAAGAGGAGGAAGCCAAATTACAGCAGCGTGGATCTGTCTGAGGTGGAGTGGGAAGACAAAGATGATATTGTAAGTTCCAATAATGGAAATACCAATTTAATTGTAAAAACAAAGTCTTGAAAGAATCTAAATGTTATTTGGACGGGCTAAGGGAACACTTCACGCAGTAGGAACATGTGTGAATAAACAACTCAGGAAGACTTGAGGGGCTAGCTGTACTGCAGTGTTATTGTAGTCCTAAAATGATCATTCGATAACCCAGTATTATTGCAGATATGTACAGGTTGTAGACAGGAGATTAATAACCGTGTCACAGCTCTTTTTGTGCATCTTTGTGTGCTTTCTCTTTCAGCTCCGTAACGCCATGGTGAACAGGAGGACGGGGGCTTTCTCCATGGAGGTGAAGAAGACGGTGGATCGAGGGGTGAGGCTGCAGATAAACATGTTTAGTGTCTCAGATAAAGTTTTTCTCTTAGTTGTCTTGAGACTACAGGAGCACATTAGTTGTGATAATTTGATGGTATAAGTGCGATTTATTCTTCTGCTCTCTTTAGAGGCGTGTCCTGAAGATGCACAATGACTATTACTACACAGACATTAAAGGAACTCCATTCAGGTGGAGGATAAGTTTGATTTACACTCTTTAAAAAGGGTCTCTGTGAGTTTCTGTGTCCGCCAAGTTGACTGACAGGTTGATTCTCTCCTCCAGCGTGGGGGTTGCTCTCTCGAGAGGTCATGGAAAATACTTCTTCAGAGGAAACGTGTCAGTTGAAGCTGGTAAGTCACTTCAGCCCTGTCATGTACTCCATTAACAGAAGTCTGAACACAGTGAGAAGCATGTCACTCTGACCTGCTTGTTTAGGAGGTCTCATCGTATGAGTCCTTCCGGGCTGGCACTGCTGAAGCGTTACTGACTTGTGTTTTTCAGGGCTCCGTGATCTGGAACAGCCAGATGTCGCCCTGGCAGATGAATGGTAACGCTGGGGTTGTGGGAGCGGGCATTCATGCGATATGTAGGTTATCCCTCTTTGTTCATGGGGGATGTTTGAGGCCTGTGATGTAACAGTGTGGCTCTGTTTGGACCACAGGACCTACTGCAACACAGAGGAGCAGCACGAGCACCGACACCTGACCCAGATTCAGGCCATCAAGCTCTTCATGACGGGCAAAAGACCTCACCTCAAGTGTAGGACACATCTGTGACCCAACTCAGTATATCGCACTACACGGACCTATGTTTTGCTTATGACTGACATAAACTAGTAATTTGTACAAAAGGATGGGTCTGATCAAGTCTTTAAACTGGTCTGCATCACTCTGCAGGTGACAGAGAGCTGATCCAGGAGGTGTTGTTCGATGCTGTGGTAACAGCTCCACTGGAGGCCTACTGGACCGGACTGGCCCTCAACAAGTCAGAGTAAGAACTTTTTGATGTCACTTTAAGCCAACAGTACGGTGAAATGTCAGAAAGGGATCAGTGAAGGGAGTATTTTAGTTTTTTTTATATACATTCTCATTTAGTTTGTTGGATCACTCCAACGACAAACGTCAAAGATCAATTGTTCTTGTGATCCTAATCATTTTTATCCAAACCATTTTTATTAATGTGTTAAATCAAATCAATTGTACAGCAGCCCTTAAGCATCTATAGTTAAACCTGCTTTTTAAAAGATACCTTTAAAATGAAGAGAGACTTAATCTACAACCCTTTACCATTTTTGTTATGTCCATATATATTTTTTTAATTTGTCTCGAACCATGCTTATGTACGTTAAAAGGATGCGTTTGTCATTTTGATTGTTGCTTCTCAAAGCAATGTCAATGTAAGAGATTGGCATGGACAACATCCTAAAAAATACATTTCACAGTTCAGCTGATGCTAAAATGAGTCATTATCAGTCTAAACTAACAAAATGTGTCTCTTCCACAGTTAGTCTCTTTTGGTGTAAAATCTCCTCTTTGAGCTCACACAGACACAGTTTCCTCTCAGTGCAGCAGTGCAGGGAGGGTAACAGGAGGAGGGCGTCTTGTACTTAAAACGACTATATTTGTCAAACTGCTGAAGCTTCACATTAGCTTCAGCTGAACTTTAGAGTTCACTGAGGCACAAAATGAGGACTGTGGAGTTTGTCCCTGATCACTTACAATAGAGTCATGCTAGTGCTACGATTGAAAGTACTTAAAAATGCATGCAAACTCCTGCACACTGTCTAACCTACAAACTACATTAACCTCAAGTGTTTTGGTCCCAAAAAATGACCAGTTAGTTCATTGCACTCAACCTGATCTCTTAATTAAAAGGAAAATCTAAATAAAAAGTAGTATTGTACGGCCGTGTTTGGAAACCAGCCAGAAAGGTTTTGGAGAAATGGATTCAAACACCCCCTGAACAGATGTCTTATTGAAGATTTTTACAAACAGGAACTCAGACAAAGGAGTGGAGATCACCTTCCTGGGAACCCGCACCGGCCTGTCGAGAACAAACCTATTTGTGCCAGCTGATCAGCTCTCCAATCAGTGAGTGATTCTGCTCAACATTTCTCTAATCATTACTTACAGCACGAGGCGAGGCTGCGCTCTTGCTCAATGAATCCAATCCTACTCTGCTCATCTCTGCTCCACTCTGTGTGTGTCCTCAGAGATTTCCTGACAGCTGAGGACAAGGAGGGTGTGTTTAACGCTGATCACTTCCCTCTGTGGTACAAGAGAGCGGCGGAACAGGTCCCCGGCACGTTCGTCTACTCCATCCCCTTCAGCACAGGTACACAGGGAACAATCAAAGAGAAATAAAAGCTCTCTGAGTCGGCTACGGATGCTGAATTAAATGCACGTCACGTTATACGAGACACTTTAAAAGTACTTTCAATTATCAGGTGCAGCAGTATGTAAAGTACTTTTGTGAAATTCCTCTGGTTGCCGTAGTCATTTAGCATTTTAACATCTGAATCGGTCTCTTTCTACAGCCGTCTCTCTGTTATGGATTGTGGTTTTTACTGGTTTGCACTGATAGGATTTGCAGCACAGCTCACTTCCTTTATAGGTTTTATCCTGTAAATGTGGCTCACGTTCTGTCCACTGGCCGGTGAATTCAACTTCACTCTGCAGGACATTTACCAACCTTTATCTGTTAATGAAGACTGCATCCACTCAGGCTTTGCCATCTTAACCAGAAATGTCCCATCATAGCACCCATATGAGGATTATGAGAGTCATCAGACTGTAGAAAAAACTCTCACTGGACTCCATTACTGTAAAGAAATTGATTAGTGCTGAAGTGCTTTCTGAGGTTGCTGGGTAAAGAGCGCCATCTAGTGAGCACAACGTGTACCCAGACCAGATGACGTGTAGTTTGAATCTTTGCTCTTTCTCTCTAGCTTTAGAAAATAAGAGTGTTGTTCTGGCCAGCACAGCAATTCAGCTCCTTGATGACAGGAAGTCTCCAATCGTTGCAGGTAACAAACACTTTTCCTTTCCTTAAATTTATTTGAAAGCATATTTTTTATTTAGTGCATAATAAGCTGCATGTAATTAATCATTTTATAGTTTATACAGAGCAACTAAACATAAACATGTTTGAGAGACCATACGTATACACCTAAATACAGTGTATCAAATACATATCCTTTTGTTCTTTGTTCTCACCACCCCTGACCAATTCTATTCTTGTATACAATCTTCAATTATTCATATGAATTTATTTTGCGCACATGTTTTTTAATCTACTTCTACATTAATTACTACACTACATAAATGGAGTGTCCTTGGTATAAGCTTCATGTCTATTTCTGTCCATCTTCCTACAAGTTGTTTCTAGGACTGTGTGTTGAAGAAGGGTGCTATTAAGCACGTCCAATGGGTGCAGGGAAATTCATAAACAGCAACAAGATAAAGAATCTATCCACGCACACTTACTCAGTGGCACCAAAAGTTTATTAAATCACATTGTATCAAATATTTAAATATTTTGAAGGGATTAATAGACATTAGATTTTCTTGTTATAAGGTATTTAATTAAAAAATGTATTGCTAAAACTTGGACACACATCTGTATATAAATATACATAAAGCATTTTTAATACTTTATATAAAAAACACAACAAATGTTTTTTTCTTCAATCTGCGCTTATCTTTTTATATATATGAAAGCTGCAATATTCCTTTTTTAAAAGATGATTTGTGTATTGATATTGTTAGATAATTGAATGGCAGTATTTGTCCTAAGTATTTTAACTATGTATTTATGTATTTGATGTTTATACCTTGGAGTGAACCTGACATCATGGTGCCTTTTAAGCCCATTGGTGTACATATCAATATATAAGCGTTTTGCCCCCAGATTTTAAAAATGAACACCTGAAGAAGACCTCTGGTCAAAACGTTAATATTTAGTACACTTTTTTGAGGCATTGAGTAAGTGTGCGGGCATATCTCTTTCTCTTCCTATTTGTGAGGACTGTATAAGTAAGCAGAGAATCCCAACCAAGCTGAACCTGACTCTCTGTGGTTTCAGCTGTGGGGATCCAGATGAAGCTCGAGTTCTTTCAGAGAAAGTTCTGGACAGCCTGCAGACAGGTAAACACATAAACAATACTGCGACTTGAGCCTCCTGATAAGCGCTTGGAACTGAACTACACGTTTGTTTTTATGCTTAGTGTACAGCTTTGGACGGAAAATGCAGCATCAGCTGTGATAACGAGGTAAGAAGGGACATTAAGCGCTGGCTTTTTTATTTCAATCTCTTGCTGTATATATTATGTCGACCTTTATTTTCTCCCCTCTGACAGGACATTAACTGTTATCTTATTGACAACAACGGCTTCATTCTGGTCACAGAGGAGCAGTCTCAGGTAAGGTGTGCCATAAAAGTCTTATTCTTGTTCTTGCAACTTGGATCACTTCACAGAGATTCTATTATGTTTCAAAGTGATGACGTAGGTGGTCACATACTGTTCATCAAATAACTATAAATCTGTCGGTTTATGGACAAGACGGACATCTGCTTTCTCCAAAGGAAGCGCTTAATAACAACACTGAAAACTGAAAAGTAGTTATGCAAAGTTTCATAGATAATTATTTAAGAATATTTTGTCTTGATTTTAGTAAGCATCTGGTTAATCCTGTACGTGAGCTGCAGCTTGTATCTTTCGCTGCAAGGCATCATTATTTTTTTTTTTAAACTTTACTTTACTCCTTTTCTCACTGGATGTTCCCATTATTTTGACCACCCCACTGCTTGTGTTTAATTGTTTGCCTGTGCACCCTGACATAACTTCTCTCTCAGACAGGGCTCTTCTTTGGAGAGGTGGAGGGTGCTGTGATGAACAAACTTCTCCAGATGGGCTCTTTCAAAAGGTCACAAATACAATACAATATGTCACCGCGCGTTCACTGCATGCACACAATAAACCTGAGCTCGAAAGCATGCTGTCATGCTTTTTCATATTTAATGTTTATGAAAACCTCTGCCTCTCTGTTTGTGTTGCAGGATCACGCTGTACGATTATCAGGCCCTGTGCAGAGAGTACGCCGGGAGCAGCGACAGTGCACGCACTTTATCAGACGTGAGTGTGCAGAAAGAGCCGATTTAAAGTCAGAGATATTAGAAGCAATCTTCCCCGTTCATCTGCTCTATACTGTACGTACTTTGGCATGACCAGAGAACAAATCATCAGCATACACCTGATGTCTGAGTTTGTGGTTAACATTGGGTAAGAAAATATCAGTGACATGTGGAGCAGTCTCAAAATGAACTCAGACATTAAAACAGTGTTAGACATGATTTCATTCCTGCATACAGATTCTGACATCATATTGTCTCTCTTTTATCTTCAGCCCTTTTCTGTTGTGAAGTGGCTCCTGACGAAACTTGTCATGTAAGAACAAAACAAATTGGAGAAAGTGTGGTAACTCTTTATCCAAAAGCTTTATAACTACTAACAGTGTTGTATATGAAATAAGACAATCATCACTTGTATAATTAAAAATACAGGAAGAAAAGAGATGTTTATCACTCTTTAAAGCCTTCAATTGAACTTCAATTCAATCAGTCAAGTAACTGTTAAAAAGTTTCAGGATAGATATGTGAACTCATTCGTTTGGTTCTGGTGCTTGGATGGTAATAAATGTGTTTATGAGCTACTTAAAATCTTTTATATAGAAATATAATTAGTTACTAAAGCTTTTCCTTGTGTTGATCCATTATATATTTTCCACTGTAAGTCACTGTAAACATTTGTATTAATTGATGTTTGTGTTTTGCCTTAAAGATTCCTGCTGGAGTTTAATCTGTACAGCTGGTGGAATGTCGATCTCTCAGTGAAAGGTAGAAGTAGCTGATGGTCATGGTGGTCATTTTACTGTTTGAATGTGAGAAACAGAGGTATGGATGTCTGGGAGAGTATGAGTGAGAGATGGAAATATACTCTGTTGATCTGTGGTTTTAATGAATGTCTGTGGCCCAGATTAACTTTACTAGCTTTGTCCGCCTTCAGCTCAGAGACCTCGGGGTAAAACCATGATGGTGCCGTGTGATACAGTATACCCTGCGTTTGTCTCTGAACGCACCATCAAAGAAACGACAGGCAACATTGACTGTGACGGCTGTATCAGGTACGACTTCAGACCAGGGACTCGTGAACTGATTGACCTCTTTTCTAACAACACCTGTTGAACATGAAACCAGTCTAATACTATCGTATTATAATTCTATTATTTGTCTCTGCAGATCTTTTGTTATACAGCAGATCCCCAGCAGTAACCTCTTCATGGTGGTTGTGGATAATAAATGCGACTGTAGCAGTGCTCCTCCAGTAACCATGGACCCCATCGAGATTATGTATATCCTTTCTAGAGGAAACACAGATGTTTGATATGTGGAAACGTTTCTTAAAAACATTTTATCCTTGCATGATTAGTGAGATAATGTGTAAGTTTTTTACTTTTCAGTTCATTACATTTGCTTTCTTATATCTTGTCCTCTAGTTACACACCTTAATAGTTTAATTTTAAATCATGTTATATGAGTTGCGATGTGGGTGAAGCTGTGAACTGTGGCGATTTATTTACATCTTTGACTCCTTTGAACACAACGAGTCACTCAAGTGTGACAGACTGAAGTTTCAGAAGGACAGAAAAAAACCTGAGTCGTGTCATCCTTTCCACCCTGAGGTATGAGAATGTGTGCTTAATTGTTTGCATTCATTGAGTGAAGGTTTACTTGAATGTCTTTAAAGTCATGTTGGTACTAAAGCAAAAGGGACAAACAGTAGCAGTGACTTCCTGAAGTGTTAACTGCTTGTTTGGCAATCAATCTTCATGAAGTTACTCACTGCTCCAGGTAGTAATACAGTCCAACACAGAAACTCCATCAAAACTAAAACTTGTTTTTTATTTAAGGCTAGGTTTAATAAAAATAAACATGATATCACATATAAATGAGTGATTTTGTTTTTTTAAAAGTGCTCATAGAAGTGTTCCCCTGTTATGCTAAGCTAAGCTATCCAATTTGTATCATACATAATAGAGTGATATCAATGGTTTAATCTTCTTCTCGGTATGTAAACACATTATCTTTAGTTTTGTCCTTATTATTGTATATTGTGTACTTTTGGAGTATCAGACTTCCTGAGACTGTTGTGTCACTGAGCACATGATGATATCCAGCCATCTATGATGGTTTCCCTTTTCCATAATTATTATACTTTAACTCACTTTCAAATATTGTCCTATAACATTTTATTGAAAAAATTACATTTTTGGATGACCCTGGCACTGTCACATTTGCCAGAACAGATAACACACAAGCTTTCATCTCTATCACAGATCTCCGTAGTAAAGTCAAATAATTGACAAAACAACCTTAAAAAAAAGTTCCAAATGATCAACACAACAAATCTGTTAGCATCCACTATCTCTCTCCCCAGTTAATCAAAGCTACAGCCTTCATGTTGACATGATCTCTGACACCCTGTACATCATAGATGTTAAACACACGACTGTGTTTGTGCAGGAAAATGCCATGGAGTGTGGTTCAGCAACACGCCTCTCCAGTGGTCTTACAGCGGCTCTGCTGCCCCTGATAGCAGCGACCATCAGCAGGTGACCACAACCAGCAGGACTGGACTTCAGTATGGACTAAATCAACAAGAAGATGCTGACAAACACAGAGAACATTGCCAATCAGATGTGAACTTACTCATACCTCTGCAAAGGCAGCGCTCTTCGAAATACAAATCAGTAGCACTGAGACTCACATCCATTAATGCCAAACACTTAAATAATGCGGTGCAGATAAAGAACAAGACAATAACAGGATTTCCTGGTGTCTGCTGAGAGCATTGCTGACAGTTCACCATCTTTTCTATAATGTGTGCTGATATTAAATAGGAGAAAGAAAGACTGTCAACAGCTTGCAGTAGGAGAACAGGCATTTCGTGTCAATTCATTAAAAAGCCTTTCTTTATTTCACTGGAAAATATTATGGCTAATGTGAAAGTCTGCAGAATGTAAAACACACTTTTTTTTCAAACGTGAAAGAATGCAGAGACGTCTATGTTTTTGGCAATAAATTGCTGAAGTAAAAATGAACATTGCTTTCATAGTTTTCTGTATTCATATAGTTTGAAGTTTATTTTGAAAATCCAGTCTTTTTAATGTCGGTAACAATACTGATCATGTCAAATACCTGTGAGATAAGAGAAAGGTTAAACTTGATTTATTCTGCCATTTCCTCTTTCTCGTTTGAAAGCAGGACATTTCAGACAAAATGAAGATGCATGAAGAAGAAGATCACAGAATGTTACCCTGTTAACCATGTGTTTGACAAAGCTTATGAATAAATAAAAATAAATATTTTCCTTCATTTATACCTTGTGTTATATTTCATGTGTGAAAGAGAGAGAGAGAAATAGAGAGGTGTCGATGCGAGTTAGTCAAATAGAATATGGTATTGTTGGTCAACTCCTACAGTCTATTTACAGTGGTAGTAAGTTGTAGACACAAGCAGGGTGTCCTTCAGTGAGCCTCCACAGTGCTGTACACCAAGTCCTTCTGTGCTGTACACAGCTGCCTCATCAGAGATTGTGAAGTAATAACACGTGGTGTACTGGAGGGGGGAGGGAAAATAAATACATCTGTAGCATCCTTTAATATACATGGACAATGTTTTTAACACCATCTCTCATGTCAGACTTATATAATGACTTTCAGACTCCTGTCGTTTCTGCTCCTCAGAACCTGTTTTAAGAAAAAACACAGTTTGGAAAAGTTTATTTAATGACAAAGTCTTTAATAAAAAGATGATTCATTTAATAAATATAAATTTGCAGTCCAACCCATTGTATTTATAAACATCCCTTCTCAAACAGGGTTTTGCTCTCGTGTGAAACAGAGTGTAATGATCGAAGAAATTAAATTATTTTTGTGTCAGTGCACAAGTGGTTGACCACACTCATGGTTTACTGGTGTGAACTTCAGCTCTTGCTTGCTTGTTCAAGACAAGCTGATAATTACACCAGACATCTCTGCGTGTGATTATTTACTTAAACTAATAATCATAGGGACAAGAATGTATCAAGTAAAGGGATGCCACACACTACATCATTTATAGCCTGTGCTAGTTTGCAATGCCTTTCCCTTTAAAAAACAGAAACAGAAACATTGCCAAAAAAAATATTTAAAAAAATATATCATACTATAAAAATATGTAACACATGAAGCATTAGATCATACATGACTACAAGAATGAGCCCTCTTGAAAACTGTTTCAGTTTGAGTTTAAAATGATCCCAATCAGGATCCAGTATGAGCTCTGCAGGTAAGGCAATTCACATTTTGACACCTTGAAAAGAAAAAGCTGTTTGTCCGAGCTTCACGGTCTCCAATAGATGCTCACGTGTTACAGAACCTGAACTGTAAGTGGAACCACGAGGTCACAGAGCACATCAGGAGTCTGATTATTTCAACATTTTTGGATGAGTTTAAGAAAATTTGATAAAACTTTAAATATTCAATTATTTTAGAACTTGACAACGATGTGACCTTATCGACTTCCTCTCCAAGATTTGACTTGCTCTGTTGTATGTCATCATCAGAGGCCTGATTGTGTAGGTGCTGCTTGGGATCAGAAGGTTACAGAAACAACATTCTCACCTGCTCTTCTTCTGTTGCAGAGAGCTGCAGAGACCAGAAACATTACGCCCACAGTTACTTCACAACCTGCTGCAATGACTACAAACTTCAAGATCCATTTTCCTTTGAAACAACAGAAACCATGAACAAATGTCAGTTTCACTTCTCACATTCTTAACAAAATACATGTTCTGTGTATAAATGCATTACAATTCAGCCGTGGAAACTATTTTAAAAGTAAATAAAGTATTAAGTCACATTCTCACCTGAAGTTGTTTTCAGAGGGATTTCAGGGAAAGTGTTTTCTTTAGTGTCAGGATTACTGACACTTAAACCTAGTGAGTACATTCAGAAAAATGTCATTTTTCATAAACACATTCAGGGTTTCTCATATGTATTAAACAACCTTCATATCAGCACAACAATCAGCATGAACTGTGGAATGACTAATAAACTCACCTGATGGTGGTTTCACAGACGTCAGGAAGGTGGAGACAACGTTACTTGTTGTACTAACAGTCAGACCTGAATGAAGAACAGTACCTATAAAACAAGCCATACTTGTCATACTAGATCAAAACATATAACATTTCTGATTAATTGAAGGTAATGAAAATTGTATCTCTACATTTATTACCTGATGTTTGTTTTGTAAGAGTAATGGAAGTGGAAGCAGGCCTGTCAATATTCTGACCTGGAGTATACAAAGGTTTTTAAAATCTTTAAAGAATAACATTTATGATAGTGAGTGATTAATGATAATGTTCTGCATACCTATTTATTTCATTTTTAGATTTTTTCAGTGTGTGTGTGTGTGTGTCGGGGGGGGGGGGGGGAAACAGAACATGATGGGAGAAGAAGTGGTGGGTGACATGAAGAAAAAGAGTTAGAACATGTATAAAGTATAATATTTCCTACCTGTGTTCATAGTAAATGCAGACATGGTCGGGCTCCTGTTTGACTCTATTTTCAGAATATCTACAACAGAAGAAGACAGAGTTCGATCAGCCAAATTCATGTGTAAGACATTAATGCAATCATCTAGGCAGCACAATTCAGGATTTATAATGACATTTATTTGAATACATACACACACCAAATTATTCTATGGGGGGTGTCTCCCTTAAATTTACACAATTTAAACTGACTTTTTTTTTATGAATTCATATCAGCTGAACATATCAAACACATCAGCTGATGTGGTGCAGCAGTGAATCATGTACCTGCATCTTTTCTGACTTACCCGTCAAGCTGAATCCATCACTCCGAGGAGACAAAGACTTGGGTTTATCTCCTAATGTGTAATCACAGCTGGCATCGCTTTGTTGAACTGAACGATGTTGACTTAGAACATTAAGGATATTGACAGAAAAATGGCAAAATGACTGTTTTTTTTTGTTTGTTTGACTCATTATGGTTTTTGTTTCAACTGGACGACTTGCTTCTCCAAAGTAAAGGTGACATCTTGTATCATGATTAGCAGATACAGGCAGAGAGCAGGTAAAGAGCAACAAATCCCCAGGAGAATGATGAAGACTCAGCTTTGGTTTCTGACCTACAAAAAGAAGTTTCATTGTTAATAATAAAAACAATAAAACCTTTATTCATATAGCACAATTCAAAAACAAGTTACTCAGTGCTATACGATTAAAACAACCAAACAAAAATAAAAACAAACAAAAAAATCAACAAATACTAAAACAAATAATTTGTCAAATACCTGATACTCTACCATCAAGTTATTTGTAAGAGGGTGTGATATTTCAAACACTGCTGGCATTAGCAGTCAAGCTGTGATAAAACCCTGTACACATGTGACTCTAAACAAACTTAAAGGTCACATATGATACTCCTTTTCAAAAAGCTTAAATAACTCTCAGAGGTCCCCAAAACATGTCTTTGAGTTTTCTTGTTGAAAATCCACTCTGATCCTGTATTTTAGCATGCCTTTAACCCCCTGTACTTAAGCCATGCTCAGAACTGTTTCTGTGTCTATAGCTTTAAATTCAAATGAGCTGTGTCTGACCACGCCCCTCTGGAACGGCTTGGCCTGGCTTTGGCTTTCTTGCACCATGTCGTATTGTTTACAGTGGAAAGGCAGACTCAGAGGGCAGAACAAACACCTAGCAGTGGGAGTGTCACCTGCCTGGGGGAGGGGTTACTGCCCTTTGTGATGTCACAAAGAGAAAATCTTTAAACAGCCTGTTTGAGCACACATTCTCGGAAAAGTGGAGCGAGCAAAAGATGTAGAGGAAGAACTTTTTCATAATTGAGGAGTTTGTTGTCAGGCTAGGGACACATATTAGTGTCAGAAAAAACATTGTAAGTGCATTGTACATAATATGTGACCTTTAAATAAAATATTCTTGTATAATCTGATGTGCTCATGTTTAAAAAACATCTCTACTTCTCTTGTTTTGATTATATCTTGATTATAAACTGTCACTCACTGAGTATGGTGATGGAGGATGTCTCACTGTGTGGAGATGGAGATTCCTTGTCACTGAACTTTGATATGTAGAAACATGTGAGTTTAACCTCAGCAGGTGAACCCTGATGTGCCATCTTCAGCAGCTCAGTTCCTGTCAGAGTCTGCAGACAGGAGAGTGTTATTTCTCCACTCAGAGTGTAGAAAAAACACTTAGACACTGAAGCAGATGGTGGAGGCTGACAGTGCACTGTGACTGAGTCTGTCTCGTTGATCACAGGTGGATTCACAGTCAGTTTAGGTGGATGAGAAGCTGAAAAATTAAGCAAATGTCAGATTAAATTTAATTATTTGTTACGCTTAATTTGTTGGTTTATTGTACATGATGACATGACGAGAAAGTGTTTCTTGTTTTTTTTAAACTTCGCAAAGTACCATTTTTAATTTTGCTGATACCGTAGCAAGTACTCAAAATAATCATCCCATAGCAGTTCTCACTCACTTCGAATGATGATGGAGGTCTCGGCACTCTCAGGAGATTGTGATCCACTCAGGTAAAAACATGTGACTTTAACCTCAGCAGGTGAACTCTGATGTGACATCTTCAGCAGCTCAGTTCCTGTCAGAGTCTGCAGACATGGGAGTGCTTTGGCAGGTCGTCGTCTCATAATGAGGAAATAACACATGGACACAGAAACAGATGGAAGCTGACAGTTCACTGTGACTGAGTCTGTTTCTGTGATCACTGCTGGATCCACTGTCAGAGCAGGTGGAAGAAGAGCTGAAAAATTCAGTTAAACTAATTGTGATTTCATGTAGAGCATTAAAATATAGAAAAGGTACTGAAATGCTATAATATGTGTATAAAATAAATGACACATGAGAGCTATTAAAATCAAGAACTGACCTTGTGTTTTTAACTGAGGAAATGAACCTTTTAAAGAAAAGTGTGTAAACAAAGGAAACAGATTAATTAGTGATGAGTACATCACTAAGCTAATGTATTTCTGTAAAACTATAACAAAGCAAAAAGAAACCAATACATATGAATCTAGCATTATAATCAGGGCTTTGAATTAACATCTTTGATCACCAGCCAACATGGCTAGTAGATTTTTAAAGTTAACAGGCAGCCAGATTTTCCACCAGCCAAAATGTACGAGCCACTCACAACCCAACAGCCATTAAAAATAAAAGTCCTAATTTTCTTCTTCTTTTCCCATCCTCTGTAATCTTCATTGTCCTATGTGTCGGCAGCAGCCTTCCTTTTTTGCTCTTCTGGGGCCATATTCATGAAGCCTCCTAAATACTAAGAGTTGCTCCTACTGACAAAATTCTCAGAAAATTCTTCAGATCCGGACATTTTCTAACGATTTCCCTCAAAGTTAGGACTAGATCCTTGTAAAGATGAAAGTTATTTACAAAGTGTCTGAACCCTTAAGAGAGCCCCCAAGGTGTAAAACTGTTAGGAGGACTTTTAACAGGCTGAAGATTTTCTCAAGCTGAGGAGAAAATGAAGAAATGTTCTCCAAACACTACATGAAGAATATTTTTGACTTATAGTTGGGCAGAACAGGATTATTTGTACAGACATTTCAATCCGTCTTTGACTTTTTTCAGTAGAAAGTGAGACATGCATGTTGAGTTTCTGGTTACCTCCACAGGTGCATCCTATCTTTACCTGCTGTTGTAACTATCAGCATGTGAAGAAGCTGCTGCACAAGTGGGCATGTGATTTCAAACATCTTGTAGGCTATACACTTATAAAGTACGTCTTTCAAATTATCACACATATGTTAATTTCAAAGTGTTCATAATTACACAATGTCTGACTAGAATATATGTTTGACTTTTTAATCTCAACTTTTTGATTAACAAATCACAGCTTCTGAAAAAATGTGTTATACCTAGCAATGGGGTCAAACCCGCCACGTCACTAAGATAAAAGTTTCTGTCCATTCCCTGCTCAGAGTTGCTCTGAGAATGTTCTTAAATCACTTCTAGGCTAAGGGTGCATCCGAATTGTCCCTCCTATCCCCTTTCACTATCCACTTTACCTTAACCCCGGGGAAAACAAAGGCCCGTAGTCAACTGTTGTATGAAACATCACAACATAGTGTTCATGGGAAATGACGGATTAGTACACCAAGCAGTGTTCCCAGACCAAGATTATGTTTGAAAATCTAAACACACACAAAAACACCCAAATTTCTTGCCAGAAAACAGCCCAATCTGGCAACACTGACTTGTCGTTTCTGCAGCCTGCCGATTCAAACAGAGGTAGTGATATTTGCTTCATTCATCACCAGCCAAAATGGCTAGTAACTCTACAATGTTACATGCCAAATTTAATTTTTACCCACAAAAGGCGGGTGTTAATTTAAAGCCCTGATTGAAATTCATCAGTGATGAATCTGGTTAGTAATTACATACATAGTCAATGAAAGAACAGAAAGAGCTTAATAAACTTACACATGAAGATAACTAGCAGCAGGTGTCCAGCCATGATGAAGCTCAATAATATGAGTGTTCAATAATCCTTAAAGACTACACTTGTGTGTCTGACTACATGGACCTTGAATAGTCCATTTGCACAAACTGACAGGCCACAGACTGTTTTTAAACGCTCACTGTTCCGGTGGTTTATATTTAGAATGAAACTAATGCAGTGTGAGCTGACTTTTTTAGGCTGACTTTGCCTGGGTTGTTGATTTCTGAAAAACAAAAAGACTAAGATAAATAAACGTTAAGTTAAGTAAGCACGTCTTTTCATACTTTAAAGTCTCATTTGTTTTTGGTGGAAGATTTGGCAAGTTTTTCATGGGCGCAACCCACATACTCATCTCTGTATGGAGTTAGATCAGTCTCAATATTCACAAATGCATTTCCCTGCTAAAAAAGTGCAATTGTGAATCTAACCACAGCAGGGGAGTCTCAAAAATCCCACACACAAATGCAGTGAGCTTCACAAATGACAAACAATTTGTAAATGCAGACTGAACAGTTTATATATTTGTGGATTTCTATTACATACAAAACTATAAATATTTGTGTGTGAATCAGAAATACATTTGTGAATCCTTCTGTGTGCATTTGTGAATATTGAGACTGATCTAACTCCATAGCTCTGTTGCTTATCCCAAAAATACATGTTCCTTGCAAATGTGGCACAATTTTAAAGAGGGAAATAAACAGGCTTTCCAACTGTGTAAGATTTATTGCCAAGTTATCATTGTTACAACAAAAAAATTATCTACCAAACACAAATTTCCTTACTTTTTGTGGAATGTTTAGTTAAAAATGTATTTTGAAAATTCAGTCTTTTTAATGTCGGTAACAATATTGATCATGTCAAATACCTGTGAGATAAGAGAAAAGTTGAACTTGCTTTATTCTGCCATTTCCTCTTTTTCGTTTGAAAGCAGGACATTTCAGACAAAATGAAGATGCATGAAGAAGATCACAAAATTTTACCCTGTTAACCATGTGTTTGAGAAAGCTTATGAATAAATACAAAGAAATATTTTCCTTCATTTACCCCTTGTGTTATATTTTGTTTGTGTGTGTCTGTGTGTCTGTGTGTGTGTGTGTGTGTGTGTGTCTGTCTCTGTGTGTGTGTGTGTGTGTGTGTGTGTGTGTGTGTGTGTGTGTGTCTGTGTGTCTGTGTGTGTGTGTGTGTGTGTGTGTCTGTCTCTGTGTGTGTGTGTGTATGTGTGTGTGTGTGTGTGTGTGTGTGTGTGTGTGTGTGTGTGTGTGTGTGTGTGTGTGTGTAAGAGGTGGTTATGCGAGTCAGTGACATAGCATATGTGTGGTATTGTTGGTCAACTCATACAGTCTATTTACAGTGGCAGTAAGTTGTAGACGAATGCGATAGTATTTAAAATGCAAAGACAAAAAAAGTCTTAGACAAGAAGTACATTGAATACAAAACATGTTGAGAGCAGTTCTTACTTTTATGAGTATATCAAGATGCATTTTTTAAGCACTAGTCACAACAATTTGAAATAATTCAGCGTAGTCTTATATTTTGACTAAACCAAGAAAAAAATCATGTAAGTAGTTCATCAGATTGGTCAACTTTGAACAAAAGGTTAAAAATATGTAGGCGTTTAAGCTGTCCCTCCCTTTGTACAGTATGAAGCAGGGTGTCCTTCAGAGAGCCTCCACAGTGCTGTACACCAAGTTCTTCTGCGCTGTCGCAGCTGCCTCATCAGAGATTGTGGCGTAATAACATGTGTCGTACTGGAGGGGGGGAGGGAAAATAAATACATCTGTAGCATCCTTTAATATACATGGACAATGTTTTTAACACCATCTCTCATGTCAGACTTACACAATGACTTTCAGACTCCTGTCGTTTCTGCTCCTCAGAACCTGTTTTAACAAAAAACACAGTTTGGAAAAGTTTATTTAATGACAAAGTCTTTAATAAAAAGATGATTCATTTAATGAATATAAATTTGCAGTCCAACCCATTGTATGTATAAATATTCCTTCTCAAACATGGTTTTGCTCTCATGTGAAACAGAGTGTAATGATCGAAGAAATTAAATTATTTTTGTCTCAGTGCACAAGTGGTTGACCACACTCATGGTTTACTGGTGTGAACTTCAGCTCTTGCTTGCTTGTTCAAGACAAGCTGATAATTACACCAGACATCTCTGCGTGTGATTATTTATCTTATTTAATAATCTTGTATGTATCAAGTAAAGGGATGCCACACACTACATCATTTATAGCCTAAATTAATTTACAATGCTTATCTCTAGATGGGCCTTTAAAATACAGATACACAAGAAACATTGCCAAATAAACTCAACAATAAAATATACAAAATAAAAAGTTACAGTAAAGTATACAAAGTATCATACTATAAAAATATGTAAAACATGAAGCACTAGATCATACATGACTACAAGAATGAGCCCTCTTTAAAACTGTTTCAGTTTGAGTTTAAAATGATCCCAGTCAGGATCCAGTATGAGCTCTGCAGGTAAGGCAATTCACATTTTGACACCTTGAAAAGAAAAAGCTGTTTGTCCGAGCTTCACGGTCTCCAATAGATGCTCATGTGTTACAGAACCTGAACTGTAAGTGGAACCACGAGGTCACAGAGCACATCAAGAGTTTGGTGATTGAGTTTAAGATTGGAAGACGTGATAAAATTTAAAAACTTTCATTTCAATTTCATTTTTTTTTTAACATGACGATGATGTGACCTTATCAACTTCCTCTCCAAGATTTGAATTGATCTGTTGAATATCATCTACAGAGGCTTGATTGTTAAGGTGCTGCTTATGACCAGGAGGTTACACAATAACTTATATGGAAATACAGAGTGTATTAATATATTATAATACTCTTGGTAAAACAAATGCATTGTGTTATAATCCTGGTAAAGCATATTCCTAGAATAAAGTCCCTGACTGGATTCTAATGTAATTATGGTGCTTATATCTTTAAATAAGTTGTTTAACCCTCTCAGACTGATTAAATCTGAAGATGCAGTGACTATGTACATGCAGCTTCCACAACAAAGATTATAAACATATTTATTTGTGTTTTATTCGACATGCAAACAACATTCTCACCTGCTCTTCTTCTGTTGCAGAGAGCTGCAGAGACCAGAAACATTACGCCCACAGTTACTCCACAACCTGCTACAATGACTGCAAACTTCAAGATCCACTTTCCTTTGAAACAACAAAAATCATGAACAAGTGTCAGTTTCACTTCTCACATTCTTAACAAAATACATGTTCTGTGTATAAATGCATTACAATTCAGCCGTGGAAACTATTTTAAAAGTAAATAAAGTATTAAGTCACATTCTCACCTGAAGTTGTTTTCAGAGGGATTTCAGGGAAAGTGTTTTCTTTAGTGTCAGGATTACTGACACCTAAACCTAGTGAGTACACAGCCATTAAATATTATTTTTAAAATCTCCACATCAATAAAGTTCTTTGATGAAGTGACATGAATCTGAGTCCATAGTACTTGTTTTATCAACAGTTCATGCATATAAATATGTAATATCTGTGTCTTGAAAGCACACAAAAAAGTAGCATATCCATGACATCCCATTAGTCACATTCTCACCTGAAGTTGTTTTCAGAGGGATTTCAGGGAAAGTGTTTTCTTTAGTGTCAGGATTACTGACACTTAAACCTAGTGAGTACATTCAGAATAATGTCATTTTTCATAAACACATTCAGGGTTTCTCATATGTATTAAACAACCTTCATATCAGCACAACAATCAGCATGAACTGTGGAATGACTAATAAACTCACCTGATGGTGGTTTCACAGACGTCAGGAAGGTGGAGACAACGTTACTTGTTGTACTAACAGTCAGACCTGAATGAAGAACAGTACCTATAAAACAAGCCATACTTGTCATATTAGATTAAAACATATAACATTTCTGATTAATTGAAGGCAATGAAAATTGTATCTCTACATTTATTACCTGATGTTTGTTTTGTAAGACTAATGGAAGTGGAAGCAGGCCTGTCAATATTCTGACCTGACCTGAGTGATTAATGATAATGTTCTGCATACCTATTTATTTGATTTTTAGATTTTTTCAGTGTGTGTGTGTGTGTCGGGGGGGGTTGACAAACAGAACATGATGGGAGAAGAAGTGGTGGGTGACATGTATAAAGTATAATATTTCCTACCTGTGTTCATAGTAAATGCAGACATGGTCGGGCTCCTGTTTGACTCTATTTTCAGAATATCTACAACAGAAGAAGACAGAGTTCGATCAGCCAAATTCATGTGTAAGACATTAATGCAATCATCTAGGCAGCACAATTCAGGATTTATGATGACATTTATTTGAATACATACACACGCCAAATTATTCTATGGGGGGTGTCTCCCTTAAATTTACACAATTTAAACTGACTTTTTTTAATGAATTCATATCAGCTGAACATATCAAACACATCAACTGATGTGATGCAGCAGTGAATCATGTACCTGCAAATTTTCTGACTTACACGTCAAGCTGTATCCATCACTCCGAGGAGACAAAGAGTCGGGTTTATCTCCTAATGTGTAATCACAGCTGGCATCGCTTTGTTGAACTAAACGAAGTTGACTCAGAACATTAAGGATATTGACATAAAACTGGCAAAATGACTGTTTTTTTTTGTTTGTTTGTCTCATTATGGTTTTTGTTTTAACTGGACGACTTGCTTCTCCAAAGTAAAGGTGACATCTTGTATCATGATTAGCAGATACAGGCAGAGAGCAGGTAAAGAGCAACAAATCCCCAGGAGAATGATGAAGACTCAGCTTTGGTTTCTGACCTACAAAAAGAAGAAGTTTCATTGTTAATAATAAATACAATAAAACCTTTATTCATATAGCACAATTCAAAAACAAGTTACTCAGTGCTATACGATTAAAACAACCAAACAAAAATAAAAACAAACAAAAAAAATCAACAAATACTAAAACAAATAATTTGTCAAATACCTGATACTCTGCCATCAAGTTATTTGTAAGAGGGTGTGATATTTCAAACACTGCTGGCATTAGCAGTCAAGCTGTGATAAAACCCTGTATACATGTGACTCTAAACAAACTTAAAGGTCACATATGATACTCCTTTTCAAAAAGCTTAAATAACTCTCAGAGGTCCCCAAAACATGTCTTTGAGTTTTCTTGTTGAAAATCCACTCTGATCCTGTATTTTAGCATGCCTTTAACCCCCTGTACTTAAGCCATGCTCAGAACTGTTTCTGTGTCTATAGCTTTAAATTCAAATGAGCTGTGTCTGACCACGCCCCTCTGGAACGGCTTGGCCTGGCTTTGGCTTTCTTGCACCATGTCGTATTGTTTACAGTGGAAAGGCAGACTCAGACGGCAGAACAAACACCTAGCAGTGGGAGTGTCACCTGCCTGGGGGAGGGGTTACTGCCCTTTGTGATGTCACAAAGAGAAAATCTTTAAACAGCCTGTTTGAGCACACATTTTCTGAAAAGTGGAGCGAGGAAAAGATGTAGAGGAAGAACTTTTTCATAATTGAGGAGTTTGTTGTCAGGCTAGGGACACATATTAGTGTCAGAAAAAACATTGTAAGTGCATTGTACATAATATGTGACCTTTAAATAAAATATTCTTGTATAATCTGATGTGCTCATGTTTAAAAAACATCTCTACTTCTCTTGTTTTGATTATATCTTGATTATAAACTGTCACTCACTGAGTATGGTGATGGAGGATGTCTCACTGTGTGGAGATGGAGATTCCTTGTCACCGAACTTTGACATGTAGAAACATGTGAGTTTAACCTCAGCAGGTGAATCCTGTTGTGCCATCTTCAGCAGCTCAGTTCCTATCAGAGTCTGCAGACAGGAGAGTCTTATTTCTCCACTCAGAGTGAAGAAAAAACACTTAGACACTGAAACAGATGGTGGAGGCTGACAGTGCACTGTGACTGAGTCTGTCTCATTGATCACAGGTGGATTCACAGTCAGTTTAGGTGGATGAGAAGCTGAAAAATTAAGCAAATGTCAGATTAAATTTAATGAATTATTTGTTACACTTAATTTGTTGGTTTATTGTATTTGATGACATGACGAGAAAGTGTTTCTTATTTTAATTTTTTTTTCGTAAAGTACCATTTTTAATTTTGCTGATACCGTAGCAAGTACTCAAAATAATCATCCCATAGCAGTTCTCACTCACTTCGAATGATGATGGAGGTCTCGGCACTCTCAGGAGATTGTGATCCACTCAGGTAAAAACATGTGACTTTAACCTCAGCAGGTGAACTCTGATGTGACATCTTCAGCAGCTCAGTTCCTGTCAGAGTCTGCAGACATGGGAGTGCTTTGGCAGGTCGTTGTCTCATAATGAGGAAATAACACATGGACACAGAAACAGATGGAAGCTGACAGTTCACTGTGACTGAGTCTGTTTCTGTGATCACTGCTGGATCCACTGTCAGAGCAGGTGGAAGAAGAGCTGAAAAATTCAGTTAAACTAATTGTGATTTCATGTAGAGCATTACAATATAGAAAAGGTACTTAACTGTTATAATATGTGTATAAAATAAATGACACATGAGAGCTATTGAAATCAAGAACTGACCTTGTGTTTTTAACTGAGGAAATGAACCTTTTAAAGAAAAGTGTGTAAACAAAGGAAACAGATTAATTAGTGATGAGTACATCACTAAGCTAATGTATTTCTCTGTGTAAAAGTATAACAAAGCACAAAGAAACCAATATATGTGAATCCAGCATTAGAATTCATCAGTGTTTAATCTGGTTAGTAATTCCACACACAAACACATTCAGTGAAAGAACAGAAACGAGGTTAATAAACTTACACATGAAGATGACTAGCAGCAGGTGTCCAGCCATGATGAAGCTCAATCATGTGAGTGTGATAACAGAAGTGTCGTTTTGCAGAACTTGATTGCCACAACCACAGCAGGTAGAGTCGAGTCGCACAAACTGACAGGCCACAAAGACAGATCTTCATCTTTAAAGGCTCAGGGTTCTGGTGATCTTTATTTAGAATGAAACTACTGCAGTGTTGGCTGAGAAAGAAAAGACGTTTTTTTATGTCAGTGTTTTCTCTTTGCCTGGCTTGTTGCTTTCTTAAAAAGAAAAACACTAAGATAAATTAACATCAAATTAAGTAAGCACATCTTTTCATAATTTAAAGTCTCATTCATTTTTGTTCTAAAGCTTTTTCATAAAAAAAGAAAGCATAGTAAAGCTTCAGTTAAACTGTTCATGAATAATTTACTTCAACTCTAAAACAGGAAATATGTTATGCAGACATAAAATGTCTTATGTCGGCTACTGAAGGTGAATACAAATACAAAAACATACAAAAAAACATTTAAACATACGCACCATGCACGCTAAAGAGATGCAAGAAACATTTGAAATGCATTTACATAGTTGATTGTAGCCTAATGTCAAAATAATGGAAACATGTAGCTTATTGTAACCAAGCTTTCTGGGTTCATCGGACCGTATACACTTAATAAGAAACTAATAAACGGCACATAGACGGGGAGCTTCTTTATCCACGGCTTCCACTTTATTCCACACACGCCTGTGTACCGCAACAGGATAACAACAACAACAACTGCTTTACGGCAGCTATGGTAACTCTCTAGGGACACCTCACTCTAAATGTGATAAACATCACACAACCTCTGTATCACTGTTGTCACCCAAACATACTTAACATGAACAGCAAAAACACATGAAAAAAACATCCCAGAAAGAGGGAATTAAACACCAAGCATCAAACTCAGAAACTCACAAAATCCTGAAAACGTGAAGGTGGTCGCAGGACACGCCCCCTGCATGACTGCACTAGTTCAGGCCCCGAAAACTCCCCATACAGACTCATGTCCACACCCCTAGTCAGTTGTTGCTCAACCCTCTGCGGCGACAACGGGAGTGGCGAAGCCCCCAAAAGAGGAGATACTTAGGAGGTAGGAGGGGAGCCACCAACAGTCCCTGAAGGCACTGGCAAAGTATAACGTTTCAGTCTGTCATGGTGAACCACCTGAGTCCTCTCCAGAGAGTCCAGAGGGTTGCTGATGCAGTAAGTCAGTGCAGCCTCACCTCCAGACACCAACGCCTCCGTGACCCGGTATGGGCCCTTCCAATGTGGCGCCAGCTTCGTGCGGCTCTCAGTGGGATTATTCAACCACACCATCTCTCCCGCATCATAGGCATGGTGGCAAACATCAGCGTCATAATACAGTTTTTGTCTGAGAAAGCAGCCTCCAGTCCATCCACCATGGATGACACATACCATGGCAGAGATCCGGCCCCCCGCAAGTCTGAAACAACACCAGGCACATGCACATCAGCAGGGACACGCGCCTCCCGACCATGCATGAGGTAAAAGGGGGTGAACCGGGTGCTGGCGTGTCTAGAAGTGTTGCATGCAAAAGCGACCTGTTTTACATAACTGTCCCATTCGCCCCCACGAAAGAGCAACATCTGAGCAAAGCTGGTCAATTAGAGTACGATTATGGCATTCCACCAATCCATCCGACTTCGGATTGTACGCTGTGGTGCGCGTTTTCTTGATCCCCAACATTTGACAGAGACCCTGAATCACGTCCGCCTCAAACTGGTGGCCTTGGTCGGTGTGCAGGACCTCAGGGACTCCATGCACCAAAACATAATCCTCAAAAAGACAGTAAGCAACCGTGTGAGCAGTCTGTTTTGGAAGAGCGTACACATTAACAAAATTAGTAAAATAATCCTCCACAACCAACACGTACCTATTCCCCCGAGATGTCACAGGCAGTTCCAGAATATCTGCGGCCACCCGTTGCAGAGGGCAGTCAACCAGGCGCCTGCGAGGTGGTTGTGCTGCGTTATGCTCCAGCCAGGCCAGAACCACACTAATGTCAGAGTCTTCGCGCTGTGCGACCTGCAGTTCGGAGTTAGTGCAGCAGAGAGAATAAGCAGTCTGTAGGTCAGATCGTGGTCCTGGTGAGACCGGAGGGCAGTCTACTGAGCACACAACATGGTCTGTTGTCACCCCAACAGAGCCGGGGGAAACGGGCCTGCACGAAAGATCGTCCGCATTTTTATGGCTAGGGCCGTCCTTCTGCATAATGGTCCAATTGAAAGGGTCCAGCTCCAGCACCCAACGACCCCTCTGTCCTATGGGGTCATTATCGATGGCCATGTGCCTGAGTCCCAGCAGTGGGTGATGATCAGTCACAATTGTAAAGGCAGACAGTCCCACATAATGTCTAAACTCACGCACGGCCCACAGCTCTCTGTCAAAGGTGGACCAGCGCTTCTGTGCATGCGTGAGAGCCTGGCTGGCATAGACAATGACCCTTTCCAAGCCGTCCACATCCTGTGCCAATACCGCCCCAACAGAGTCCTTCCATGCATCCGTATAGACTTTAAACGGGAGTGCAAAGCTGGGCAATGTGACCACTGGAGACGATGTGAGCACACGTTTAAGATATGTGAAAGCCATCTCACACTCAGCAGTCCATTCAAAAGGCACATTTTTCCCAGCAAGGCGGTTAAGTGGGGCTGCAAACTGTAAAAAAATCTTCACAAATCGCCTGTAATATGAACAGAGACCCACAAAAGCTCTAACCTCAGAAGGAGAGATCAGGTTGGACGCCGGGTCTGGAGACCACATGGCCCAGGAACACCACGTGATCCCTGGCAAAGTGGCACTTGCCAGGATTTAGCTTCAGGGCCGCAGACTCTATCCTGGTCAAGACCTCCTCCAGGTTGGCGAGGTGGTCCTTGAATGTGCGACTGTATATCAATATATCATCCAGATACACCATGCAGATATGCCATGGCAGACCTGTGAGGATCAGCTCCATCATGCGCTGCAAGGTGGCTGGTGAATTAATTCCATCGGCATGGCCCTCCATTGGTACAAGCCACGGCCAGTTTTGAAGGCGGTCTTCTCATGGTCCTCTTCAACCACCTCCACCTGCCAGTAGCCGTTAGAGAAGTCGAGGGTGCTGAACCAGGAAGAGCCGGAGAGGGCGTCGAGGCTGTCATCAACCCATGGGAGAGGATGAGAGTCTTTGATCGTCACCGAGTTGAGGCGACGATAATCAATGCAGAATCTCCAATCACCCCCTTTTTTCTTAACCAGCACCACAGGAGAAGCCCATGGACTGCAACTCTCCTCCATCACACCATCAGCCAGAAGTGCAGCTACCTGACGGTCGATCTCAGCCCTTTTCTCAGGAGACGCCCGATAGGCACGCTGTTTGATGGGCGGATGGTCACCAGTCCTTATATGGTGCTTGACGAGCGTGCACCTGCCAGTATTTCTGCCCGGCAGGCTGAACACACTACTAAATCTCTTCAGCAGTGCCGACAGCTCTGCCCTCTGTTGCTCGATGACAGGCGATCCATCCAGTGTGACAGGGAGAGCAGCAGATGGCGGATGATCTGACTCAGTTACGGGGGGGGAACAAGTGGTGTCACATCAGTCTCCTGAACCGGGTAGAATTCACCCAAGTGAAGACCCTGTTTAAGCTCAACGGCTCTACCAGTGGGATTGAGGACGCGAGCCACAGTCACACCATCTTTCACCCTGGTCACTGTGTGAGCTACCACCAGTCCAGTCGTCTCAGGAATGTTGGGCTCCAAATAGCCGTAGAAGCCTGCAGTGGGAACGCTGGCCCCCGTGGGGGAACGGACATTGGCTAGCACCAAGGCTTCGCTCAAGGGGGGAATGGCCACCACACCAGCTAGGGACACATTACAGCAGCCAGGTACCAATTCCCCACCCTGGAGCAGGGGCACAGTAATATCCCATAACTGTAACACTCTCCGCCCCAAGTCCAGTAGTGCACGGTTTTCTGCCAAGAAGTCCAGACCAAGCAATACATCCTGAGTAGACTCTCTCAGCACAAAGAAGTTGTGCTGCCAAAAGGAGGGGCCAATTTTAAATGTCACTGACAGAGAGCCAAGCGTATCCAGCATCTGTCCAATCACTGCACGAGGGTCAATGTAATCCTTCCTCAGGGGCCTGCTCCGCAGGGCAGGGACAGATTCTTATTTTTGTTCTTGCAACTTGGATCACTTCACAGAGATGTTTCAAAGTGATGACGTAGGTGGTCACATACTGTTCATCAAATAACTATAAATCTGTCTGTTTATGGACAAGACGGACATCTGCTCAGTTTTATAGATAATTATTTAAGAATATTTTGTCTTGATTTTAGTAAGCATCTGGTTAATCCTGTACGTGAGCTGCAGCTTGTATCTTTCGCTGCAACGCATCATTATTATTTTTTTTAAACTTTACTTGCTCCTTTTCTCACTGGATGTTCCCATTATTTTGACCACCCCACTGCTTGTGTTTAATTGTTTGCCTGTGCACCCTGACATAACTTCTCTCTCAGACAGGGCTCTTCTTTGGAGAGGTGGAGGGTGCTGTGATGAACAAACTTCTCCAGATGGGCTCTTTCAAAAGGTCACAAATACAATACAATATGTCACCGCGCGTTCACTGCATGCACACATTAAACCTGAGCTCGAAAGCATGCTGTCATGCTTTTTCATATTTAATGTTTATGAAAACCTCTGCCTCTCTGTTTGTGTTGCAGGATCACGCTGTACGATTATCAGGCCCTGTGCAGAGAGTACGCCGGGAGCAGCGACAGTGCACGCACTTTATCAGACGTGAGTATGCAGAAAGAGCCGATTTAAAGTCAGAGACATTAGAAGCAATCTTCCCCGTTCATCTGCTCTATACTGTACGTACTTTGGCATGACCAGAGAACAAATCATCAGCATACACCTGATGTCTGAGTTTGTGGTTAACACTGGGTAAGAAAATATCAGTGACATGTGGAGCAGTCTCAAAATGAACTCAGACATTAAAAGACATGATTTAGACATGATTTCATTCCTGCATACAGATTCTGACATCATATTGTCTCTCTTTTATCTTCAGCCCTTTTCTGTTGTGAAGTGGCTCCTGAGGAAACTTGTCATGTAAGAACAAAACAAATTGGAGAAATTGTAAATAAATATTTTCCTTCATTTATACCTTGTGTTATATTTCATGTGTGAAAGAGAGAGAGAGAAATAGAGAGGTGTCGATGCGAGTTAGTCAAATAGAATATGGTAATGTTGGTCAACTCCTACAGTCTATTTACAGTGGTAGTAAGTTGTAGACACAAGCAGGGTGTCCTTCAGTGAGCCTCCACAGTGCTGTACACCAAGTCCTTCTGTGCTGTACACAGCTGCCTCATCAGAGATTGTGGAGTAATAACACGTGGTGTACTGGAGGGGGGAGGGAAAATAAATACATCTGTAGCATCCATTAATATACATGGACAATGTTTTTAACACCATCTCTCATGTCAGACTTACATAATGACTTTCAGATTCCTGTCGTTTCTGCTCCTCAGAACCTGTTTTAACAAAAAACACTGTTTGGAAAAGTTTATTTAATGACAAAGTCTTTAATAAAAAGATGATTAATTTAATGAATATAAATTTGCAGTCCAACCCACTGTATTTATAAATATTCCTTCTCAAACATGGTTTTGCTCTCGTGTGAAACAGAGTGTAATGATCGAAGAAATTAAATTATTTTTGTCTCAGTGCACAAGTGGTTGACCACACTCATGGTTTACTGGTGTGAACTTCAGCTCTTGCTTGCTTGTTCAAGACAAGCTGATAATTACACCAGACATCTCTATATGTGATTATTTACTTAAACTAATAATTACATCATTTATAGCCTGTGCTAGTTTGCAATGCCTTTCCTTTTAAAATACAGAAACAGAAACATTGCCAAAAAAAAGATAAAAAAATAAAAACAGTTGTCTTGAAGCTGCTGACCTGTGGCGACCTATGAGCACCTCCCAGACAGACGTCACCTATGACAACCCACCCCAAGTCCAACCTTTGGGCAAAGGGGGCATTCCCAGGCCCATTTATCTGTTCACGGACCTTGTGAACCTGTAGAATGTCTCTGCCCAGTAAAAGGAGTATGTCGGCGTCTGGGTTGAGAGGTGGTACTTGATCAGCAATGCGTTTTAGGTGGGCATGATGGCGAGCAGCGTCTGGGGTAGGAATCTCAGAGTGGTTGTTTGGTACCTGGTTGCGTTCCAAGAGCGTAGGTCGAGGAAAGCTCATTTTCCTGTCTGCTGACTATTATAAACCTTAGTATCTATTAAACTAGATAAACTATTGTAAACCCATGAGCTCTTCTTCCTGCAGTCTCAGTAAGCCCAGCACACATCTTTAAGGTGCATGGGTATGAGCCCCCTGAGATGTTGAAGATGGTGAGAAACTCTGACCGTGCAAGAGAGCGGTTGCTTTGTTCGTCCAATATGGCGTACATATTCTCAGACTCTGCCCTGCACCCAGCTGGATAAACACTCACCAGACAAATCTTTGCACATGCTCTTGCACTCACGCCTTCCCCACAGACCTGCGTACACCTTGACGTGACCTCCTGGTTGCCTGCTTGGTCTCCCTCCCCGCCATGTTCTGAGGTGGGAGGAGACGACTTAGACTTCCATGTACAGTAGGTGGTCCTGGATGGAGTGCTGTCACATGACTTGTGCTGTCACATTCAGTGCAGAACTGAAGCTGAACTGAGCTATCAAAAGTGCTGCAGCCAACTCACTGGCTCATGGTCTACTATTTTACTTTCAGTTTCTCTGATAGAAAGGTAGATAAATACAAGCAAACACCACAAGGTGGCACTGTAACACAACAACAGAAAAGATGTCCTTAAACATGACATTTTATGGGGCATAACACAGTGTTCCCAGACCAAGATTATGTTTGAAAATCTAAACACACACAAAAACGCCCAAATTTCTTGCCAGAAAACAGCCCAATCTGGCAACACTGACTTGTCGTTTCTGCAGCCTGCCGATTCAAACAGAGGTAGTGATATTTGCTTCATTCATCACCAGCCAAAATGGCTAGTAACTCTACAATGTTACATGCCAAATTTAGAGGTGGCGATGCGAGTTAGTGACATACAATATGTGTGGTATTGTTGGTCAACTCATACAGTCTATTTACAGTGGCAGTAAGTTGTAGACGAATGCGATAGTATTTAAAATGCAAAGACAAAAAAAGTCTTAGACAAGAAGTACATTGAATACAAAACATGTTGAGAGCAGTTCTTACTTTTATGAGTATATCAAGATGCATTTTTTAAGCACTAGTCACAACAATTTGAAATAATTCAGCGTAGTCTTATATTTTGACTAAACCAAGAAAAAAATCATGTAAGGAGTTCATCAGATTGGCCAACTTTGAACAAAAGGTTAAAAATATGTAGGCGTTTAAGCTGTCCCTCCCTTTGTACAGTATGAAGCAGGGTGTCCTTCAGTGAGCCTCCACAGTGCTGTACACCAAGTCCTTCTGCGCTGTCGCAGCTGCCTCATCAGAGATTGTGGAGTAATAACATGTGTCGTACTGGAGGGGGGAGGGAAAATAAATACATCTGTAGCATCCTTTAATATACATGGACAATGTTTTTAACACCATCTCTCATGTCAGACTTACACAATGACTTTCAGACTCCTGTCGTTTCTGCTCCTCAGAACCTGTTTTAACAAAAAACACAGTTTGGAAAAGTTTATTTAATGACAAAGTCTTTAATAAAAAGATGATTCATTTAATGAATATAAATTTGCAGTCCAACCCATTGTATGTATAAACATCCCTTCTCAAACAGGGTTTTGCTCTCGTGTGAAACAGAGTGTAATGATCGAAGAAATTAAATTATTTTTGTGTCAGTGCACAAGTGGTTGACCACACTCATGGTTTACTGGTGTGAACTTCAGCTCTTGCTTGCTTGTTCAAGACAAGCTGATAATTACACCAGACATCTCTGCGTGTGATTATTTATCTTATGTAATAATCTTGTATGTATCAAGTAAAGGGATGCCACACACTACATCATTTATAGCCTAAATTAATTTACAATGCTTATCTCTAGATGGGCCTTTAAAATACAGATACACAAGAAACATTGCCAAACAAACTCAACAATAAAATATACAAAATAAAAAGTTACAGTAAAGTATACAAAGTATCATACTATAAAAATATGTAAAACATGAAGCATTAGATCATACATGACTACAAGAATGAGTCCTCTTTAAAACTGTTTCAGTTTGAGTTTAAAATGATCCCAGTCAGGATCCAGTATGAGCTCTGCAGGTAAGGCAATTCACATTTTGACACCTTGAACAGAAAAAGCCGTTTGTCCGAGCTTCACGGTCTCCAAAAGATGCTCATGTGTTACAGAACCTGAACAGTAATCGAACCACGAGGTCACAGAGCACATCAAGAGTTTGGTGATTGAGTTTAAGATTGGAAGACGTGATAAAATTTAAAAACTTTCATTTCAATTTTTTTTTTTTTTAACATGTCGATGATGTGACCTTATCAACTTCCTCTCCAAGATTTGAATTGATCTGTTGAATATCATCTACAGACGCTTGATTGTTAAGGTGCTGCTTATGACCAGGAGGTTACACAATAACTTATATGGAAATACAGAGTGTATTAATATATTATAATACTCTTGGTAAAACAAATGCATTGTGTTATAATCCTGGTAAAGCATATTCCTAGAATAAAGTCCCTGACTGGATTCTAATGTAATTATGGTGCTTATATCTTTAAATAAGTTGTTTAACCCTCTCAGACTGATTAAATCTGAAGATGCAGTGACTATGTACATGCAGCTTCCACAACAAAGATTATAAACACATTTATTTGTGTTTTATTCGACATGCAAACAACATTCTCACCTGCTCTTCTTCTGTTGCAGAGAGCTGCAGAGACCAGAAACATTACGCCCACAGTTACTCCAAAACCTGCTGCAATGACTACAAACTTCAAGATCCACTTTCCTTTGAAACAACAGAAACCATGAACAAGTGTCAGTTTCACGTCTCACATTCTTAACAAAATACATGTTCTGTGTATAAATGCATTACAATTCAGCCGTGAAAACTATTTTAAAAGTAAATAAAGTATTAAGTCACATTCTCACCTGAAGTTGTTTTCAGAGGGATTTCAGGGAAAGTGTTTTCTTTAGTGTCAGGATTACTGACACTTAAACCTAGTGAGTACACAGCCATGAAATATTATTTAAAAAATCTCCACATCAATGAAGTTCTTTGATGAAGTGACATGAATCTGAGTCCATAGTACTTGTTTTATCAACAGTTCATGCATATAAATATGTAATATCTGTGTCTTGAAAGCACACAAAAAAGTAGCATATCCATGACATCCCATTAGTCACATTCTCACCTGAAGTTGTTTTCAGAGGGATTTCAGGGAAAGTGTTTTCTTTAGTGTCAGGATTACTGACACTTAAACCTAGTGAGTACATTCAGAATAAAGTCATTTTTCATAAACACATTCAAGGTTTCTCATATGTATTAAACAACCTTCATATCAGCACAACAATCAGCATGAACTTTGGAATGACTAATAAACTCACCTGATGGTGGTTTCACAGACGTCAGGAAGGTGGAGACAACGTTACTTGTTGTACTAACAGTCAGACCTGAATGAAGAACAGTACCTATAAAACAAGCCATACTTGTCATATCAGATTAAAACATATAACATTTCTGATTAATTGAAGGTAATGAAAATTGTATCTCTACATTTATTACCTGATGTTTGTTTTGTAAGAGTAATGGAAGTGGAAGCAGGCCTGTCAATATTCTGACCTGGAGGATACAAAGGTTTTAAAATCTTTAAAGAATAACATTTATGATAGTGAGTGATTAATGATAATGTTCTGCATACCTATTTATTTGATTTTTAGATTTTTTCAGTGTGTGTGTGTGTGTGTGTGTGTGTGTCGGGGGGGGGACAAACAGAACATGATGGGAGAAGAAGTGGTGGGTGACATGTATAAAGTATAATATTTCCTACCTGTGTTCATAGTAAATGCAGACATGGTCGGGCTCCTGTTTGACTCTATTTTCAGAATATCTACAACAGAAGAAGACAGAGTTAGATCAGCCAAATTCATGTGTAAGACATTAATGCAATCATCTAGGCAGCACAATTCAGGATTTATAATGACATTTATTTGAATACATACACACGCCAAATTATTCTATGGGGGGTGTCTCCCTTAAATTTACACAATTTAAACTGACTTTTTTTAATGAATTCATATCAGCTGAACATATCAAACACATCAACTGATGTGGTGCAGCAGTGAATCATGTACCTGCATCTTTTCTGACTTACACGTCAAGCTGTATCCATCACTCCGAGGAGACAAAGAGTCGGGTTTATCTCCTAATGTGTAATCACAGCTGGCATCGCTTTGTTGAACTAAACGAAGTTGACTCAGAACATTAAGGATATTGACATAAAACTGGCAAAATGACTGTTTTTTTTTGTTTGTTTGGCTCATTATGATTTTTGTTTCAACTGGACGACTTGCTTCTCCAAAGTACAGGTGACATCTTGTATCATGATTAGCAGATACAGGCAGAGAGCAGGTAAAGAGCACAGATTCCCCAGGAGAATGATGAAGACTCAGCTCTGGTTTCTTACCTACAAAAAGAAGTTTCATTGTTAATAATAAATACAATGAAACCTTTATTCATATAGCACAATTCAAAAACAAGTTACTCAGTGCTATACGATTAAAACAACCAAACAAAAATAAAAACAAACAAAAAAATCAACAAATACTAAAACAAACAATTTGTCAAATACCTGATACTCTACCATCAAGTTATTTGTAAGAGGGTGTGATATTTCAAACACTGCTGGCTCTTGCAGTCAAGCTGTGATAAAACCCTGTACACATGTGACTCAAAACAAACTTAAAGGTCACATATGATACTCCTTTTCAAAAAGCTTAAATAACTCTCAGAGGTCCCCAAAACATGTTTTTGAAAATCCACTCTGATCCTGTATTTTAGCATGCCTTTAACCCCCTGTACTTAAGCCATGCTCAGAACTGTTTCTGTGTCTATAGCTTTAAATTCAAATGAGCTGTGTCTGACCACGCCCCTCTGGAACGGCTTGGCCTGGCTTTGGCTTTCTTGCACCATGTCGTATTGTTTACAGTGGAAAGGCAGACTCAGAGGGCAGAACAAACACCTAGCAGTGGGAGTGTCACCTGCCTGGGGGAGGGGTTACTGCCCTTTGTGATGTCACAAAGAGAAAATCTTCAAACGGCCTGTTTAAGAGCACATTTTCTGAAAAGTGGAGTGAGGAAAAGATGTAGAGGAAGAACTTTTTCATAATTGAGGGGTTTGTTGTCAGGCTAGGGACACATATTAGTGTCAGAAAAAACATTGTAAGTGCATTGTGCATAATATGTGACCTTTAATAATACATTTGTGAATAATCTAATGTGATTATATGTTACATATATATTTTGGTTTATAATCCTTTAAAACAAAAAAAAAACATCTCCACTTTTCTTGTTTTGATTATGTCTTGATGCAGCATCAAGAAACTGTCACTCACTGAGTATGTTGATGGAGGATGTCTCACTGTGTGGAGATGGAGATTCCTTGTCACCGAACTTTGACATGTAGAAACATGTGAGTTTAACCTCAGCAGGTGAACCCTGATGTGCCATCTTCAGCAGCTCAGTTCCTGTCAGAGTCTGCAGACAGGAGAGTGTTATTTCTCCACTCAGAGTGTAGAAAAAACACTTAGACACTGAAGCAGATGGTGGAGGCTGACAGTGCACTGTGACTGAGTCTGTCTCGTTGATCACAGGTGGATTCACAGTCAGTTTAGGTGGATGAGAAGCTGAAAAATTAAGCAAATGTCAGATTAAATTAAATGAATTATTTGTTACACTTAATCTGTTGGTTTGTTGTATTTGATGACATGATGAGAAAGTGTTTCTTATTTTAAAAAAAACTTTGCAAAGTACCATTTTTAATTTTGCTGATACCGTAGCAAGTAGTCAAAATAATCATCCCATAGCAGTTCTCACTCACTTCGAATGATGATGGAGGTCTCGGCACTCTCAGGAGATTGTGATCCACTCAGGTAAAAACATGTGACTTTAACCTCAGCAGGTGAACTCTGATGTGACATCTTCAGCAGCTCAGTTCCTGTCAGAGTCTGCAGACATGGGAGTGCTTTGGCAGGTCGTCGTCTCATTATGAGGAAATAACACATGGACACAGAAACAGATGGAAGCTGACAGTTCACTGTGACTGAGTCTGTTTCTGTGATCACTGCTGGATCCACTGTCAGAGCAGGTGGAAGAAGAGCTGAAAAATTCAGTTGAGCAAATTGTGAGCATGAAAATATAAAAAGGTACTTAACTGTTATAATATGTGTATAAAATAAATGACACATGAGAGCTATTAAAATCAAGAACTGACCTTGTGTTTTTAACTGAGGAAATGAACCTTTTAAAGAAAAGTGTGTAAACAAAGGAAACAGATTAATTAGTGATGAGTACATCACTAAGCTAATGTATTTTTCTGTGTAAAAGTATAACAAAGCACAAAGAAACCAATACATGTGAATCCAGCATGATAATTCATCAGTGTTTAATCTGGTTAGTAATTACACACACAAACATATTCATAAAAGAACAGAAACGAGGTTAAAAAACTTACACATGAAGATGACTAGCAGCAGGTGTCCAGCCATGATGAAGCTCAATCATGTGAGCGTTCAATAATCCTTCATGTCACTTGTGCGTGACTAAACTTCAAATAACAGAAGTGTTGTTTTGCAGAACTTGATTGCCACAAAACCACAGCAGGCAGAGTCGAGTCGCACAAACGGACAGGCCATAAACACAGACCTTCATGGTTTCTGGTGATCTTTATTTAGAATGAAACTACTGCAGTGTTGGCTGAGAAAGAAAAGACGTTTTTTTATGTCAGTGTTTTCTCTTTGCCTGGCTTGTTGCTTTCTTAAAAAGAAAAACACTAAGATAAATTAACATCAAATTAAGTAATCACGTCTTGTCCTAAAGCTTTTTCATAAAAAAAAAAAGAAAGCATAGTGAAGCTTCAGTTAAACTGCTCATGAATAATTTACTTAAACTCTAAAACAGGAAATATGTTATGCAGACGTAAAATGTCTTAAGTCGGCTACTGAAGGTGAATACAAATACAAAAACTTTTTTTTTAAAACCCCAAAAAACGTTTAAACATACATACTATGCACGCTAAAGAGATGCAAGAAACATAATAAATGTTTTGTACTATTGTTTCCCCTGCTGGATTTTTAAGATCAGTGGTATTTTCCCTTAGAGATCATCCCATTCATTTTGAAAATGAATATATCAGAATCACAATCACAATCAGATTTATTGGCCAGGTATGCTTACACACACACAAGGAATTTAACTTCGGTGAACTGTGCTCTCAAAATAATCATATTCAGAATAATACTTTAAATAGTACAAACTCCATTGTTATCTTTAGTTTTACACACAGAGAGACCATTTTACATATTTGATTGTAGCCTAATGTCAAAATAATGGAAACATGATGTAGCCTATTATGTTCAATGTTAAAAAAAAAAAAAAGACCGCAGACTCTTCATGTTGCGTCACTGACAGCTTTGTCGTTAATCAATCCCTAATGATTTACACCTGACATGATGCGATTCACCTGGTCTGATTTGACCGGAAGCGACCTCATAAAGACTGAGACGTGGAAAGCGTATCTGTAGCGTATTACTTTTAGACTTCACATAATCTGCTTCAAGAAAAGCCTCGTTTTCAATATTGAAGTCTCAGAGATGCCTCCTAAAAAGACAGTGGTAGACTCTGCTGCTGCTCCTGTGTCCTCCAGCGATGATCCGGTGGAGGAGAAAGTCGAGACAAAAACAGGTCTGACCCCATACGTGATAATGTCAAAACATGTTTTAATTAAAAACAAGACCCATATTCTTCTTCACCCATTTGAAGTGATGAATTTGTACATAATGTATCGTTATTCCCGTAGATGCTGCGGCGCTGCGTAAACTTGCAGCTCACCCCTCGACAGCCATCATGGTGAGAGAAGCACTTAAAGAACTGGATTCCCGTAAAGGCGTCTCATCCGTGGCCATACAGAATTATATTAAACAGAAATACCCCTCCGTCGACTTGGTTCGACTAAAGACCTTGGTCCGTAAAGCGTTGAAAAAGGGGATCGAGACTGGTACGTTGGTGCGTCCTGCCAACGCCACCGTCACCACGGGCGCAACGGGAAAATTTAGGGTAAGCTGTGAAGTCTACAGTTTCTTGAAGGCGGGTGAAATACCGTTTTGAATCATTTTCTATCTTGCTTTAGCTTGCACCCGAAGTCAAGGAGACGAAGGCAAAAACTGAGAATGCAGATCCAAATGTGCAGAAAGTTCCCAAAGCAGCCAAGGATGGAGCCACGAAGCCCAAAAAAGCAGGTATCAATATTAATGTTTACAGGCAGTGAAGTATTATAGGGTATTAGGTTTCTTTATTTGACATCATCTTACTACTTAAAGGTACCACAAAGAAGAAAGCGAATGCCTCTGAAGATGCTAAGACAAAAGAGGTGAGAATGCTTATTTTTGAAATGCTTTCAATATTTAAGTAAAATGCACAATTGAGATCGTGACTTATGATGTTTCTTTACAGTCATTTAGAAAGACATTGTGGACTGTAATGTATTTTGGGTTTGTGAGTTGTGCCGTATACCAGATCAATCCAAAATACATAAATGTATTCACGAATTGTTTATAAATGTTTGGCTACAGCCTTGGCTCAAACTGTCTTTTAATTTTAAGGACTCAAAGCCTCCTAAAAAGTCTAAGAAAGATGAAGAGGCTCCCACATTAAAGTCTGCTCCAGCAAAGAAGCCGAAAGCTAAAAAAGCTACAGAGGAAGCAGACGGTGACGAAACCGCTGTGACGGCCAAAACTAAAGCAGTGAAGACCACTAAGGAGGAAGTAAAGACTACAAAGGAAGTAAAGGCATCCAGAAGTAAGGCTGCTAAAGCAGACAGTGATGCCCCTGCTCCTAAAGCACCTGCCAAACGAGGGAAGAAGACTGCAGAGTAAAGTTGTAATTAAATATTTTATACTGTTTTGTTTGCAATAAAATCTTAATTTTTGGAACTCCTGACTGCTTTTTAAAAAAAAAAACATTTTAACATGAGGTCAAACTGCAGTGCCTGATTCTGACTTGCAACTGAACAATTACATAGCTGCAGTAAGTCTAAACAAAGGCATAAAATCAACTTGCGCCTTAAATTGCCCATTTCTATAATTCGGTTGAACAACACAATATTCTGCAGCAGTTGTGTTTTTAATTGTCCATTGTATATGCATAATGTGTATTTGTATTGATATTCATAAATAGCACTTCTAATGGGTTTTATGGAGTTTCACGAATGTCCTGGGATGATCTGGACTCTTACACTAAGAAAAACTTAAAGGGAAATTAGAATTAATTGTGTTTAGCGTTTGTTGCACGGAAGAGAGAAGTGACCATAGGCTTTTACTGTCTGTGCTTGCTGTGCTATGGATTCCTAATAAAAGATTGCCAGTGGGATACTAGAGATGAGAACATTTTATTAACTCCTTTTCGGGAACTGAGGGCAGATATAATTAAGATACTCCCTCTACCTGTAGTGGTAAGTGGAGTACAAACAGAAGTGTAAAAAGGGTGTGGCCACATGTTTTCAACAGGGGGATGATGACATAGTTGGCCACTGTAGGCGCAAATGCCAGGAGGAATTCCTTAAGTGCTTGCAGCACTCCGATTACTTTTCCAAGAGTCTCTGCAGTTTCATTCTCCAAACCTTTAAGCTGTGCCGTATTTTCCAGTTTGAAGAGACGGGTCTGAAATGCCTCCAGCACCCCCTACAGGTCAGAGATAAAACTGTCAGAAGATGCTCGAGTGTCCAATAACACACTGCACACAGTAGCCACATCTTTAGTCTTAGTTGACCTTGTCCAGAGCCGATCTTTAGGCTATGGCCCCATATTTGCTTATGGTTTCTATATGTGAATATCATATGGACCATCAAAAAGTGGCGAGTGATAAAATTAGATATTGAGAGGGGGATTCTTTCAAGAAAGACCCTTGGTTTGGTAATGAAGAACACTCATTGGTTATAACTTAAGGTCAGTGGAAATTGTGGGTGATTTCTACAAAACCAATCTTTATTTACCAAAAAAAAAAATCTGCTGACACCCAATAATTCTTCAGATATTATGGCTCCCTGAGGTTGTAGACCCTGGGCTACTTGCCTGCTTTATCCAGTTGTTACTGTAAACCAGCATTTTTAAATCAGGAAAACAAAGGGGTGGCCAGTATAAAAAATAAGTATAAATTCCATTACCGGTATATATCATTAGCCTACATGTACAATGGAACAGGCTCACCTTAGTGGAACACAGCCATCATTTATGTTTTTAGTAGCACCTGTGCATTTTCTGTTCTATGTCCAGAGCCAGCTTTAAAAAGACTTACATGAATATCTGTTGCACTTTCACAAGCCAGGTAAGTGATCTTATCCTCCATGCCAGCCAGTTCCTCTTTTAAGATCAAAATCTCATTCTGGTGAAGTTCTGTCAAGTCGTGAATCTGCTCTTCCAAAAGTTCACACCTACATAATAATGGTAACAGTAGAACACAGATAGGTCATGTAACTCTCAATGCAGCAGGACAGTAGAAACATCTACCTGGCCTACCTGTATCGTTCCTCTTGTAGGGCATCCACAATCATGGCATACTTTTGTTGGTATACAGCTTTTAAGTTTTGAAAGCGCTTCTGAAATAGAACTGTGTTTTCCCTAAGCTCTTGTATCTCATGGACTAAAGCATCAAAGCCTGAGGACTGGGCATGGTCTGGGGTATTGTGCCTCATTTCAGTGGGTCCTCCTGTAGCTTCTTCAGAGCCAGCTGCAAGACCTCTAGAGCAGACATCGACTCTGCCATTCTGCTGGACTGACTGCCTTGTCTTGAAGGTCTTTTTTCCACAGAGGGGCAACACACTCATCCCCCTGGTTACACCTTTTCAGGGCTGCAGCGTTTTCAGGTAAGGATCATTTGTACTGCTTTGACACCTTAGCTGCAGCAAAACAGTTTGGTTAGAGTTTTACAGACACCTTCCCACCTGTACAGGATGGTTAAAATTATATTACCTTATAGTCTTACCTGACTTGGAAGTTAAGTCAACTTCTGTTAACGTGGATCATTTCCATTGGTGCCTTCAGCTAACTTAAGCCACTTGACACTTTTTTCAAGATAGTCTTTGCTTAGCAAGCATTAAAGATACAATTAAACGCCAAGTGTCCCAGTTCTGTAAATTATTGACATTCTGTTTTTTAGTGTGTAAATTTAGTCGCCGAAACGGAAAAAGATGGCAACGAGCGTTAATTACATGTTGCTCAGCGACGGAAAGACGAATCAAGAGCGAGGTAACAATGGATGAACCATCGACTGTAACAATGGATGAACCATAGACTGTAACAATGAATGAACCATAGACTGTAACAATGAATGAACCATAGACTGTAACAATGGATGAACACGTCTGAATGTTGTCAAGTTCAGACTCCTCTGACAACGATGTTTTCATCACAGCTGTATTTCTACATTACGAGAAAGCAATAAACGTCAAACCTCCGGAAGTGGGGAGCGGCAGAAGTCAAGTGAGGGGGGCTTTTGAGTTACATTTGAGACATAATTGACTGTTATCGTTTTTGTATCCTACAATTTGGCCCCCTGGCAGTCAGTATTAATTCAATGTGGCCCTTGCTGTGACCAAAGTTGCCCATCCCTGATCTAGGCCTACCCTGATGGGAATAGTGCAAGGGCATAGTTTTTCTACTTTAATTATATTTTATACATCTGAGGATAAACAACAGATTTATC